ATACATTAAAATTGGTTGTGTTTTCTTGATAATTTAAATTCCTTAATTAACTTATTTTCTAGGTTTAAAGTGTATTGTGTCGATACGACTTTCGAATTCTCTTCTTCCTCTTCTTAGTTACGGGTTTAAGGAGATGTTATCGCTCCTTCCGTCGATTATGGGTTGGAACAATAGTGTGGTGGCACGGTGCATCTATTGGGGCTTTCCGATCGAATAATAATGGAGAAAGGAAGGTCTTTCTTGTGGTTGCGTAATAATCCGTTTTAAAAAATATCATACGCTCAAAAAGCATCAAAAAGTAGGTTTTATCCCAAAAATTCGCTTCAATTCTAATTATGTAGAATTTTCTTTTATAAATTAACTGTTAATTTGCGGTGTTATTTAGTTTTACATCCTGTTTCTTAACGATTTGTTGGAAGTGTCACCTTAAGACGAACGAATCCATCCGGTTGGGTTCAATTCTCTTCAACTAAGTCCTCGCGACCACTTTGCGCGATACTATGTCGTTCAAGGTCACACATAACTGTACCGGGACCTGCTTTGCCGCACACACCATACTCAACGAAGAACCCAACATACGCAGTCAAGTGTCCAACTCATTTTTTTGTTCTGCTTTTAACCTTTAAGACGATTTAAAATCGAGGTCGAAAAGTTTTGTATTAATAATCAAATTAATTAAGGATTTTTGATCCCAAAGAAATTTAGGGCAATTTTTGAAATTAATTGTGTATGTAGGACGGAGTTCGAGTAGGTCAACCGGCTAAAAGAATCGAACCTTCTTCAGCGTCATCTTCCCCCTCCTCACTTCTTCAAGTATCTCGAAACTCATTCAGATTTTTTTCTTCAAAATCACTTGGTTCTTTACGTAAGCATTTTCTCCCATGCAAGAAGAATATCCTTAAAAAATTTCACCATTATAATAAAAATTAGAGCTATTGTACAAGAAATCCTGGTAAGTTTTCCTTCTCACGAGTTGTGACTTAAGACTGCGTTGTGAGATCGCGTTTGTTGGAATTATCCCATACATTTAAAAATTCTTCTAAAACACCTAAAACATTCATTTACAAAATTTCAATCTCATAAATAAAGCTTGAAACTTAATGAAATATTTACCTATTAATGAAATAAGTTTCAATAAACTCGATTAAGGTCAAATTCGCGATGAATCCGGGTTAAAAAAGGTATTGAATTAAAAACTTCTTTGTTATTCCGGAGGCCCTCTCAAGACCCAGTTCGCACGTGCCCCCGACGGAATTACAAGAAGAAAAAAAAACTATATAGACGACGTTATAAAAGGCACGAAAACCTGAATAGATCGAATTGCGTCGTCGTTACCTAATGATCCAGTTCTTTAGGCGGAGCCCCCGATACAAAGAAACAAGGACAAAAAATAAATTTTAATCAAACACTCTCAGTTTTTGGAATCTCAGCGTAATTTCATGCTTCATACACATTTCTTTATTAAGATTATGCGATTGAAATCACTTTTAGTTTGTTTTTAATGTAATAACAAAGAGAAAGTTTATGGATTTGGTTAAAAAAAAATAAATGTGATGCAATAACTATATCTCTATGAAATTTACACCGATTTTCTAATTAACCTCGATTTAATTTCAAAACGTCAAAAATTTTTGACATTGTTTCAAGCCGATAATGTCGTAATCGTTATTACCGTTACGTCATCTATTAATTTATTTATTTATCTCTTTGCGTTTAATTAACTTTTAAATCACATTTCAACGCACGTGAATTTAAAACTTACGAGTAGATGGAAAGAAAAAACTTACTCGTTACATAACCAAAAAAAATTCTCCATGAATTCATAAACAAGTTGTGTTTGTGAAGAAAGGTCACGCGCCGAACCGGAAATACTTATTCAAAACGGAAAAAAGGGTCACTCCGGCATCTGTTAGATATCCCGCTAGTTAAAAATTACTCATGCAGATGCACGAGTAAAGTTGCTCTTTGTAGGTAGTTTTAAAATTACGGAGATCGCGTTACGTGAACCGTACTAGAACGCCATCTGGTTCAGGTTTAATTTATCGACAAGTGGGAATTTAAAAATGTTTAACCGGTAATTTAATTGGAACGAGTGGAATTTCAAATAAAATAAAGAAATTTGATTCAATATCAATAAATTAATCTAAAATTAATTTTATTTAAAAAAAATATAGGGAATTTTTTCGGGGTGAGTTTTGACAGTTGGTAGTTTTTGAGTGTATCCGATATGGTCTAGTGGCTAGGATACCTGGCTTTCACCCAGGAGGCTCGGGTTCGATTCCCGGTATCGGAAATTTTTTTTTTTTTTCAAAAATCTATCTCTTTGATTATCTGCTTATAACTGTTTCTAACTAATCAGCATGTTTCACATAGTATTGGAATAACGTTACGTTTTCTTCTGGTTACACGAAAATTCAGGCAGAAGAAGAGTCATAAAAACAAGAACACTAAAATATTGAAGAAATCTAAATCACAAAAATGGTAGAAGCCTGAACATAGCCATGAAGAAAGGCAGAATAATGAGGATGCCAAAAAAATCAAAAAGGAAGACAATGCAGCAATCAGTCATTTTGAAGTAGTCAGAAAGACCCGAGACAGAAAAAATGTGCCAAAGACAATGCAGAAGAATGAAGATGAAAATACTACAGAAGCTAGTAATTTTCAAGTTGTCAGAAATATGCCAGAAAAAAAAACGAGGTGCCAAAGACAATGCTGAAGTCAGTAATCAGTAATAATATAAAAAGCCAAATTCAATGAAGATAAAGGTATTACAGAAACCAGTAATTTTCAAGTTATCATAAAGATGCCAAAAAGAAACGAGGTGCCAAAGACGCAGAAGCCAGGTTCTATGAAGGTGAATATACTACATAAGCTACTAATTTTCAAGTTGTCAGAAATATGCCAGAAAGAAACGAAGTGCCAAAAACAATACAGAAACCAGCAATTCGTAATAAGACATAAAGCCATGTTCTATGAAGGTGAATATACTACATGAACTACTAATTTTCAAGTTGTCAGAAATATGACAGAAAGAAATGAGGTGCCAAAGACAATGCAGAAGCCAGCAATTCGTAAAAAAACATAAAACCAGGTTTTATGAAGGTGAATATACTACAGAAGCTACTAATTTTCAAGTTGTCAGAAATTTTCCAGAAAGAAACGAGGTGCCAAAGACAATGTAGAAGCCAACAATTCGTAAAAAGACATAAAACCAGGTTTTATGAAGGTGAATATACTACAGAAGCTACTAATTTTCAAGTTGTCAGAAAGAAACGAGGACAATGCAGAAGAATGAAGGTGAATATACTACAGAAGCTACTAATTTTCAAGTTGTCAGAAATATGACAGAAAGAAACGAGGTGCCAAAGACAATGTAGAAGCAAGCAATTCGTAAAAAGACATAAAACCAGGTTTTATGAAAGTGAATATACTACAGAAGCTACTAATTTTCAAGTTGTCAGAAATATGCCAGAAAGAAACGAGGTGCCAAAAACAATACAGAAAGCAGTAATCAGTAATAATATAAAAATCCAGATTCAATGAAGATAAAGATATTACAGAAACCAGTAATTTTCAAGTTATCACAAAGATGCCAGAAAGAAACGAGGTGCCAAAGACAGTGCAAAAACCAACAATTCGTAAAAAGACATAAAACCAGGTTTTATGAAAGTAAATATACTACAGAAGCTACTAATTTTCAAGTTGTCAGAAATATTCCAGAAAGAAACGAGGTGCCAAAGACAATGTAGAAGCCAGCAATTCGTAAAAAGACATAAAACCAGGTTTTATGAAGGTGAATATACTACAGAAGCTACTAATTTTCAAGTTGTCAGAAAGAAACGAGGTGCCAAAAACAATGCAGCAAAAATAAAGTTGCTCGCATAAAACTAGAAGAAAGCAAGGTCGTTTGAACGTAGACAAAAAATTAAGGTGGCTTATAGTAGAAAAATTAAATTCAGAAACAAGCCAGATAGAAGACTTAGGTAAGAATTTTAAAAATATAAGAAGTGACCTTACAATTATTTAAGATTAATTACATACTCTATTAATTTGATGTTTTAGTAAGTTGGTACTACTGTAACAGATCCGATATGGTCTAGTGGCTAGGATACCTGGCTTTCACCCAGGAGGCTCGGGTTCGATTCCCGGTATCGGAATTTTTTTTTTTTAATTTATATTTAAAAAAATATTTTTTTGCGCAACTGGAAAAACCAAAAGAAAGGAAATATTACGCAACAGTCAACTTGAGAGAAATAAGCCTGTATCGCAAAAACCATATGTTGTCTTTGAAACGAAAGCAAACGGCCTCCAAGTTACTAGAAAGTAGTAATTAAAATAACTTAAAATTCGTTAAATAACAATTATATCACACCGAAAATCAATTTAATTCTTAAATAATCGTTTTTGTTTTCAAATTCATTTTAATTTACACACTAATAGTTGTTTTAGAAGATGTTTTGTAACCTTTCACCTTATACAACGATGCAAAAAACCATGCCGATTGTATACACGTTGCTTTAATAGTCATAGTCATCAATTCTGGTATTCTCTTGCATCCAACAGAAGTAAATTCTTACGTAAGTGTCTCTTAAGAGGACTTTGAAAACCTCCACGATTTACGTAACTCAATAAAGCAGATTTGGCTCGAATTTTTATCAACATAAATCTTCTAGGTGTTATTTCAAGGATCGTTTTGTAAAGAATTTATTCAAATTACTCTTTGATGATGATGATAATGGGTGTCGCCAAGGTTTTAATTTTCATTCATAAAAAAAAATTTATGTTTATAACCTTGAAAATGACATTTAATATGGCGTATGTAACGTCAAATTTTTTTGAATATATTCGTTTAGAAAAAAGTAAAAAAAAAAAATAAATAAATAAGAGATACTTTCTCCAAAGCGCTTTACAGTTAAACAACCGATTAAAGTTATTATAGAAAGTTTCAAATTTATCTCGGTTAAGATAAATTAAAAAATTTAAAAAAAAAATGAAAATACCTTTTACAAAATTAAAACCATCCAAAAATAAAAACGTCCAAACCAAAAAAACCATCATCCTTCTCCTTCTAGGTTGCAACATCACCACTCAATAAAAATCACTTCACTTTTGATTTTATTAAAATCACCTTATTAATATAATAATTAAAAAAAGATTTATTTAGACACCCATTTTAATTGAAACTAAGTCCAAATTAAAAATGTTTAGTTTTAATTCAAACCGCGACGACGCTTGGCGAAGAACTAAACTCTGCGTCTACAAAACTCAACTTCTTTGCTTTACCACTCGTTTCGCACCGAATGAACGAGAATCACCTGCTGCTGCTGTTGGTGTTGGTTTGCTGGCCAAACGATCAGCAAAAGACCACGGCATTTAGAAAGTCTCCGTCGTCGACAAGAGCTTTGTGTGGGGAAAAAGTGGCTCCGCCGCTCACCTTACCCACTAAACTATGCTGTATAATACTGGTTGGTATACAGATAAGTGTGTTTTGTATGTATTTAAGCGTTTACCTTGATGATCAAAATCTTATAATACAAGTTAGCGCAATATAAAAAAAATTGGCACCATTAAATTGATCGTTTCATTAATCACTTCTTATTAAAGTTTAATTTATTTCCTTTTTAATAGAATAAAACCTAAAAAATTTAAGAATTTAAGCCTATATTAAAGAAATTGAGATTTTTCTAGGGAATATTGATTTTGTGAAATCAACGCGACTTTCTGTCGGCTACTTTCACTTCGACAAATACAGATAAATCTTTCGAATAACCACAAAAGAAGTGTTAAAATAAAAAGTTAATTTAAATTTAGCGCCAATTTCAACCAATTTAAAATAAACCAATCACAGAAGAGATCGTTGTTTACAAATATGGTTTTAACAGCTTTGTCAAATTTTATATTGAAAACTCTTATTTTGAATTGCACCTACCTCAATATTTTTAAGGATAATTCCATATTATCTTCAAATTCGTGTTTGCGTCCTTCCAATTTCATCGTAAACGAAGATATCTCAAATACCATTTACGTGCGATGTTGATAGATGGCGCTATAACCAACATAAATAAGTTAACCTCAAATTTTTTTTATTATAATTAAAAACTAAATGTTTATTGTTATAAAATTTAATTCAATGCATTAACTAATTCAAATAAAATAATTAAATTTTGAAATCAATGAGTTAATTTACGATTATTTCCAACTTTTCTGACAGGTGTCAAAAATTTTAAGTTTTTAAATGTACTCACCTCAATATTTTTAAAGGTTAATTCGATTTTAAGGTGGGTTAATCTTCACGGTGGGGATCAATTTTCTTTTTCGGTGTCTTAAGAAAACTCCTCATTTGAATTCGTGTTTGCCTTCTTTCAATTTTCAACATAATCGGAGATGTGTCAAATACCACTTACGGGTGACGTCAATAGATGGCGTCGTAATCATCATAAGTGAGAACCTAAAATTTTTTTTATTATAATTAAAAACTAAATGTTTATTATTATAAAATTTAATTTAATGAAATAAAATAATCAAATTAAAAAATCAATGAGTTAATTTACAACTTTTTTGACAGTTGACAAAAATTTTAAGTTTTTAAATGTACTCACCTCAATATTTTTAAAGGTTAATTCAATGTTAAGGTGGGTTAATCTTCACGGCGGGGATCAATTTTCTTTTTCGGTATCTCAACAAAAAAACTCCTTGTTTTTTATACGTGTTTGCCTTCTTTCAATTTTCAACATAATCGGAGATGTGTCAAATACCACTTACGGATGTCGTTAATAGATGGCGCCGTATGCATCATAAATGAGACAACCTAAAATTTTTTTTTATTATAATTAAGAACTAAATGTTTATTATGATGAAATTTAATTTAATGAATTAACTAATTTAAGTAAAATACTCAAATTTTAAAATCAATGAGTTAATTTACGATTATTTACAACTGTTCTGACAAAAATGTAAAGTTTTTAAAGGTACTCACCTCAATATTTTTAAAGGTTAATTCGATTTTAAGGTGGGTTGGTTGATTTAAAGGATCGACTTCACGGTGGGGATCAATTTTCTTTTTTGGTATCTCAACAAAACTCGTTTAAATCGTGTTTGCGTGGTTCCAATTTTAGCGTAACCGACGATACGTCAAATACCACTTACGTGCGACGTTGACAGATGGCGCGATAAGCTCCATAAATTAATTAACCTAAACATTTTTCTTATTATAATTAAAATCTAAATGCCATGTTTATAGATGTATCGATAAAGATACAAGGTATTTAAATTAATATTTATATTAATATTGCACTTTAAGCGTAATCGAAGATATTTCAAACATTATTTTCGTTCGACATCGATAGATGGCGCTATACATCAACATATTTACCTAAATCTTTTTCTGATTGGTATTAAAAACTAAATGTTTATTATAAAATTTAATTCAATGAATTAACTAATTCAAATAAAAAAAACAAATTTTAAAATCAATGAGTTAAGTGGTTAATTTACAACTTTTCTGACAGTTGACAAAAATGTTAAGTTTTTAAATGTACTCACATCAATATTTTTAAAGGTTAATTTGATTTCAAGGTGGGTTAATCTTCACGGTGGGGATCAATTTTCTTTTTTGGTATCTCAACAAAACTCGTTTAAATTCTTATTTGCGTGGTTCCAATTTTAGCGTAATCGACGATACGTCAAATACCACTTACGTGCGACGTTGACAGATGGCGCGATAAGCTCCATAAATTAATTAACCTAAACATTTTTCTTATTATAATTAAAATCTAAATGCCATGTTTATAGATGTATCGATAAAGATACAAGGTATTTAAATTAATATTTATATTAATATTGCACTTTAAGCGTAATCGAAGATATTTCAAACATTAGTTTCGTTCGACATCGATAGATGGCGCCATACACCAACATATTTACCTAAATCTTTTTTTAATTGATATTAAAAACTAAATTAATACCATTATAAAATTTAATTTAATGTTTTAATTAGTTCAAATAAATTCAATTAAAATTTTTCTTCATTAAAAGAAAAATTTATTAATTTTAAAATCAACCACTGTCATCTGTCAAAAGATTTAATTTTGAAACGTCATTTTGATTCACGAAAATCTTGCAATGCCAAGAAGTCGGCCCAGAAATCGAAATTTCTTAGGTAATTTATCTCGATTTCTATTCCAAATCTAAAAAAAATGTTTAACATTTTCTTCCAGGATTAGGACAACACAGATCTATGCCAAATTTAGATGAAATGATTGCAATTAGAGGTAACATTTCGAACGCCGGAGATTATCGATCAAATATTTTAGAAGAACTTATCCCCATGGAAGATATAGGTAAGATAAAGTTAATTAAAATTAATCAATTTTAATCCCATTATTTTTTGTTTTAGAATATGAACAAAACAAGTTGAAAAATTTAGTGTTTAACTTCCTTAAAAAAGGAATCGTTACCATCATCGTGTTAAATCTCGCTTGTAAGCCTTCAATGATTTGAAATGTAAACTTTAATTGGATTATTTTAGATTTATTAATCGACCCAAAACCAATTTATAAATCTTTGGAGGCTTTAATTCCAAATTCGAATTCAAAATGCGTTAATTATTGGAAAGAAAGTTACACAAACGAGTTAAAAATGATTGAAAGTAAATTGCGCCACTTGGAATACCAAATTGCAGCTATGAATATGGAATTTTCGAATTTATCTAATTGGAGGTTATTTTAATTAAATTCTTTCAAACAATTAAATTAATTTAATTCTTATTTTTAAGAATTAACCACGAACATGACGTTTTAAACGAATTTATAAAAACTAAAGATGATACGTTGGAATACATTTCAAATTTGGAACAAAAAATGGTTAACACTTTAAGTTTATATGATGCTGATAAATTGGGCATCATCGATTACGCTTTAGAATCTGCCGGGGGTGTAGTAATCTCCACCCCAAATACAATTCCTTACCCCTCAACAGTTACATACGTCTTAATGGGAATGATTCAATTCTACACCACAAGCAGCCCTAATTTAATTATACAACCAGGAACTTTACCAGGTCAATGTTTCGCTTTTTACGGCCCCACCGGAAGCATCCGCATCAAATTAGCCCGAAATGTATTAATCACATCCGTTACGCTAGAACACACCCATCGAAATCTCATCTCAGATAACACAAGTTGCCCGAGAGATTTTAAAGTTTATGTGAGATTATAATTTCGAAAATTCTTTTATTATTTTTTAATATTTTAGGGTTTAAAATTTGATGAAGATGAAGTTATTGAAAAATCCGATTTGGGGACGTTTACATATGTGTTAAATGATGATTCGTTACAAAACTTTGAAGTTGAAAATGATTCCATTGAATCTTTTGAGTTAATCGAGTTGAATGTTTTGAATAATTATGGAAATAACGAGTATACTTGTATTTATAGGTTTAGAGTGCATGGGAGACCTATATAATATAAATAAATAAAGTTTTTGTTCAATAATTTGGTTGAGATTATTAGTTAATTTAAAAATCATATAATAACTATGACTTATAGAGATGTCAATGCTTCTGCAGACCTAAATCCTAATCACGACAAGAATACACCAAAGTTCAAGCATCCTATTCCACTTCACCCTGATGCTGTTCAGAGGTCAATTTGTACTTTGTAAGAGTGCATCAGCGTAATGTTACCATAATGTAAATGGGAATAGGAAAAGATCTAAACCTAGGATTATAATGAACAATGACCTAAGGGTGACGAATTCTCATGGAGCAAGGCGAAATATCATGGAGACCATTATCTTGAAATCGTTGCACTACTTCTAAATTACTCTTACTACCACAATCCCATAGCTAGATGCTATACAGGCTGTTTCTATAAGTCGTGGCATAATTGGACCGCGTCATGCATCACTTGACTAAGCGACAAATAAATAATGTTGAGAAATTTTCGTTTTCATTTCTCTAAAAATATAAGACTTCACAGAATAGACAGGCTCAAACTATTGAAAATTGTTTGCTGTTTGGCTTTATTTTGATAGCCAAATACTCGGCTATGATGTAACCTCTGGTAAACGTGCTCCAATCCGTAACATTTTGTAATTGATAGAAAACCACCGTAACGATCCAGAAAAGGTCCCAGATGAAATTATTAGGGACGCTACTATCGTTGCAGAAAAACTTGGACTGGGAGAAGACATAAAGTCAGTGCGACGTATTGTTGAGATACAACAACAACATCGGAACAACCACCCAGCAGCAAGCCCCTCAAAATTCTCAGCCCCTCTAATCGAGTCTCAGAAGACCCCGTCATTTTCCTATCTAAATTACACCCGGCTCAAATGTTAGACATGTCCCTTGAAGACCTCATAGAAGCTGATGAAGTCTTTCCCCAATTTTACAATTTATCAAATATCAACAACAAAATCGAATTATGGCAAGATAAACGTGACTCAAAAGAACTAAGTGTTGTGATTGTCATAAAAGATGCCGACATTTTTTTCCCTGAAACGAGAAAAGCCTTTATAATTTTGGTCAATTTACCCTGCACGACATAAACTGTTGAACGATCTTTTCGCACTATGGCAGTATGGCAGAATGTAGTCTCAATGGTCTTCCCATGATGAATCCGGTTGTACAAACTCAGGTTTAAAATGTTAACCTCAATTTTGACATATTTGTAATCTTCATTAAAAATCCTTTAAAATGAGTACAAACACGACATATTTATCTCAAATATTAATGAAGTTATGGTCAACTTCCGGTAAGAAATGTCAACGTCAACTTTAACATATTTGTAATCGTTGTGAAAAATCTTTTAAAATGAGTCCAAAACGTTTAATTCCAATATTACTCGAGACATAAGCAACTTCCGGTTTGAAATGTCAACGTCATTTTGACATATTCTTAATTTTTATAAAATGTCTTAATATTTGTCACAAAAACAAAAACATAATAAAAAGAACATAAAAAATTAAGGTTGGTATTAATATTTAAAGATTGAATTGTTATCTTCATCGTTGCTAACTTCGGGTTTAATGTTTTTTATTCTAACTTTTTTGTTTTTTGAGATAAGTGCGTCTTGTTTGGACTCATTTTAAAGGTTTTTTAATGAAGATGACAAATATGTCAAAATTGACGTTGACGTTTCAAACCGGAAGTGATTGTATTTCCATTAATATTAAAGTTAAATACCGTATTTTCTCGAATCTAATCCGCACCTCAATTTTAAAAATTCATAGTGCTAAAAAAATTTAGTTTGCGAATGTAATCCGCATCTTTCTTTGAGTAATTCGACAACACCAAAACGATGCGATGCTTGTTATTAACCATAAATATATATTTTTTTCGTTGACTGATGCTGATGCACCTGAAGAAACCTTGCTTACGACGAGTTTTTATTAGATTAGACTTTAAATTTGCCAAGCCAGAAAAAATTGGAAAATAAATATAATTTTAAAAATAAATAGTAATGTCTAGCACGAATTCAGTTCATATACTGCCTTCGTCGTAGCTCGAACGTGGTGTGTGCTTAATTATACATATATTATAATAGCGTAATTATAAAAAAAAGTAGCAAAAATCGAAGAGGTTCTTCTATACAGCGAAGTTTAAAGAGATGTTATTAAGTTAGCGTTAAGAAAATCGAAAAGCTGGTACTATTTTTGTTGCGGAAAGACAAGGCAGCTATTGCAGACTGAGGCATCGTGCAAAAAATTTTCCGGGCCAAAGAAGAGACGATTTCATGAAATTGACGAGGCAGTTTTCTAGTTCTCGCAAGAAAAACGAAAGGGGGAACTAAAAAATATTTAATACTAGCAAAGGTTGGACTGTGGGATTTATGCGCCGAATGGTGTTATCCTTGAGGCGCAGAACTACAATTTCCCAAAAGCTCCTAATGATTTTCAAGAAAATTTCAATTTGTCTCAAACTGTGAATGCCGACGAAATGGCAGTATATCTGAATATACCAGCCAATTACACACTGGAAAGAAGAGGTGTGTGGGATATTTCTTTATAAACGAGTGGTTGCGAAAAATTGCGCATAACATTGATTCAGACAAAAATCAGTCTGAAATCTGAAAGACTTCCCGAATGGCATCTTAGTTAGGCCACAACAAAAAGGATGCATAATGGAAAAGCTGATGATGGAATGGTTAAGACAAGTATGGAGTCGTAGATCAGAAGGATTATTAAATAAGGATATTAATTAATCATAGACTGATTGCCCTTGGTTTAGACTTCTTGTCATAATAATAATACCTGGTGGAATGACATCCATACTACAACCTGTGTATGTATTAGTTATTTATATTACAAGTGGGTTAGAAACATAATAGCCCACGTGTGATATACAGCATTTTATCTACGACTGCTAAAAATTACTAAAAAATCAATTTCTTTAGAAAAGTCTATTTGACATTTATAAAAATATTTTGAAATGGTTGACAATTTTGAATTGTCAGTTTCAGCAACATGTTTACTCATCTGGAATAAATAGTATTGTTTCTCTGTAAGTAGATAGCACTTTTTCTTTTGTATTGTTGCTCGTTTCAATAAATTAAGTCTGTACTGATTAGGCTAAAAATGCGTTACGTAATGAAACCAGTGCGGTAATGAACTTCATTACGTAACTCAAATCACCTCAAATGAGTGCGGTAATGATGACTTATCCAAGCAGTCGTAGATAATGAGTGCTTTAAGTCTTATGAAACGTGTTTTTATGCTATTTTTTGTAATTCGCGTTTTTATACTTTTTTTTAACAAAAATAAAGTAAATTTTGGTAATGTAGGGAAATAGGTATGTAGCAGTTGGTAACACCGGAACACTTGAAAACAGAAACTTTGAATTGACAATTAGAAACTGTCAAAACACAAAATATATTCACCTGAAAAAATGTTTGATGTACACCTCCCAAAATAAGAGAAACTGCTCAGAGTCAATGTCCTCATCATTGTGGACTTTATATTCGATGCTAAGAACATGTTTAAACATCCATAGACAAAAATTGTCACATTGACAACTAGAAAAATTAATGACCCAATGTCACCAACTTGAACTGGTTCCATAAAATATTACTAAAATCTCATTACAGCATCGGATGCTGTAAGGAGTCTCATTACAGCACCCGTTTGAGTACTGTTATAGCTTCCATTACCGTAGCGAATTACAAAAATTTATATTAACAAACTCGAGAATTAACAAAATCGGGAGCAATTAAACGAGCTTCTGAATTTGCTCAGTGAGTGTAGGTGACATGGAAAACGATCCCTGAAAACAATATTATAACATCATTTAAGAAGTTTTGTATAATCCGAATTGATCCGAAGATGACGTAATATGGGAAGAAAATGGTACATAAAAATGTAAATATCGTTCTAAAACCCTTAATAAAGTCTTATTGTTATAATGTGATTTTATTTTACTATTTTCCAAATTGCAACTATACGACTGCGAATCTAATCCGCACCCGATTGTAATCCGCATTTGATTTTAGAGCACATAAAATTTGTAAAAAAGGTGCGGATTACATTCGAGAAAATACGGTATGTCGAGTTTGGACTCATTTTAAAGGGATTTTTTTGAAGTTGACAAATATGTCAAAATTAAAGAGAATCAGAGATCAGTTTGTACACCCGAACTAGAAGAAAACATTTTAGATTTCGATTTCTCATGATAACATTGCACTGTAAGCATTGAAGAAAATAGAAAGAAAATCGTTATCATTTCCACAGTCTAGTATTTGATTAAAATTATGCCACGATTTACAGAAACACCTATATTATATTCAGCAGTCTCCGACTCGTCGTTGCAAAGTTGACAAGCTAAATCCTCAGCTTGTCTAATATGGAAGAGGTGGTATTTCATCTACCTTTGAGGCCTCCCAACTATTGATTACCTGTTTTAAATGGCTTTTTTATAGTCCACAGCCAGGTTGAGGTCCAATAAACGACGTTTCCTCAATATCTTTGTGACATGGAACCCACCATAGAATAACATCATTGCCCCTAACGAGTTCTCTCAGGTTACTGCTACACTTTTTAATCAGTGTGGAGTCACACGTCAGTTTGACTTGCTTTCTAGGTGTAAAACGATTTTGTCCGAGGTGAGGAGCAATTAAATTCGGTTATTTGGTCCACTAATAAAGCATCGGTGTATATCTTCGTTCAATATCTTCTAAATATGATTTATAGATTCGTTTTAATTTCGGTGAAGTGGTTTAGATAATGAAGCATTTCGAGGTAATATAAATAAAACCATTAAATTTGTGCAGAAGTAATTTATATTATGTTTATATCATTATAATGTTAAGGCTTGGTCTTAGTGTTAACACCTGATGTTAAATTTAATAACCTCATGTGCAATAATTCAAAGGTTTGTCCAAATTTCTTTTTACACTTTCTAATTCAAAAAAAAAACGATCGTTTCCACCTCATCATTTAAATTATAAAATTCTTATTAATATTAAAAAATGTACAGAGAGAGCGACGACGACCGGAAATCAGTCTTGTCAAAAAGTTTTTCCATTCAATTTTTCCAAATGATATAATATCACAAGACTTTCGACGAAAACTAATTTTCGTCTAATAATTAATTTATTTCAATTTTTATTTCATCAGATTTAATTTTTGCTGTGATTCTTTTTTGTTGTATTATTCTTCAAACCTTTGCACGATTGCATTAGAAAAAATTCAAGTTTTAATGATATATTATTGGTTTCTTTATTAATTTTTTAAACGGATATAAAAAGAATCAAGTTTTATTAATTATTAATTATTATTATTACAACAAAACATTTTCTTTTTTTTACCCGTAGAAATATCTTAAAAGGTTTATTTTTTTTTAACATCATCATTTTTTTTTTGTTTTAATAAAACCAAATTGGAATTTAAATCCGTTTAAAAATTAATTTAAAAAAAATTTTTTGGGATTTTCTTCTTTAAAAAGTAATTCTACATACGTTATTACAGATATTTTCATTTTTTTTTTTTTTTTTTTTAAATTTCATTCATCGTTCATTTAAATATACGAGTGGAAAGGATTTTTTTCGTTTTTATTATTTTCTTTAATAACAGGATTTTGCTTTTTTTGGGTATATTTTTCGTGGAATTCAGGGAGAAGGAAAAAATTCTACACGACAAAGTTTTTCCGACGTATATAAATAAATAAGTCGTTCTTTTTTCTTCTTTTTGTGTTTATATCATTAATCATCTGGGTTTTGTGGTTTATTATTATTCATCTTCATCGTATTTTTTTTTCTTTTTGCATTCAGAGCGCATTTTTTTAAAATATCGTTATTACAAAAAATCGTTTACTTTTATTACTTGAAATTCATCTTTTTTTTTCACATCAAACTTCTTTACATACTCACTTTTAAACCATTTACGTTTATACTCATTTTTTCCCATATTTTTTTTATAATTATTTAATACTTAAAAAGAAAACTTTATATTTAATAATATTTACACATTTTTTTTACCTCAAAATTTTCCGTCCTATTTTTTTTTAACCAAATTTTCCCTTTTTTTGCATTATTATTATTACACGAGATTGTATTTTTGATCAAATCAAGTTTCGTTGCAATAAAAATCAATCTTAACCAAAACAAAGGTAAATAAATCCTTAAAAATATTGCACAGTATCATTTTTTAAATTTTTACAACGTATGCACGCGTATATACGACGTCTTTATAATTAAATATGTATATATATAATTTTCATATACCTATATCCTCATGTTTTATCCTGTTTTTTATCATTTTCCATATTTCTTTAAATATGTATACCATAGAAATAAACCACCGTCTGTAACCACCAAAAAAAAATTGTATGCAGCAGACGTCCTTATCACATGTTTTGTTTAAATCGTTAAAAACATTTTTGTTTATCGCATTTTATCTCATTTTTCATTTTCTTCATCTCCACCATTTTTTTAAGTTTCCCAACTATTTTTTCTTCCATTATCAATATTATTGTTACGGTTGTGAACCGTATAGCCGTTCGTCATACTATGGGTTCCTGCCGCTTAAAATTAATATTCTGCGTTGCGCAGAAATCCTCGGTAAGCGGCAGGCAGTTGAAATAAGAGCAAGCTTTGCAATCGTACACCGGGATTATGTAAAACAACAATACAAGACAGATAAAGAGGAATCCCGCCGATAACAAACACACCCAAATTAATACGATCTTTTTCTGTCGATCGTAAGGCCCGAACGAGACGAACGGCAACAAAGCGTAAGATAGTAAAAACCCGAACACAAACCCGAATAAATGCGCGTAATTATCCACCCACGGTAATAACCCGATTAAAAATAAAACCAACGTTACCGAAAGGAGTTTACACAGCGCTTGATTTGGATGTTTTAACATCGGCCACGCGTTTAATACTTCCACTATTAAACAGGCTAGAAGACCAAATTGGGAACCCGCCGGACCAACCTACAAAATTAAAAAAAAAAATTAGGTTATGTCAATAAATTTTTTTTATTATTATTGATTGCGAAATAATTATTACTATATTAGCATGAAATTGGAGTCACTTATAACGAAAACCAATCAAAAATATTGATATAATCAATAAAAAACCATAAAATTGGAAGGAATAAATTGACAAGTATAACCTAAAAATAAAAAACACAAAAGGAGAACTTACTTGCTTATTATTCCTATTATTCCTTGCTATTATTATTATTATAAGGATTATTCCTTTCGTGCTTTTTATTTTATAACATTAACTTGCAACATAGTTAACATCAAGTATAACCTAAAACCTAACCACATACAAACAAATCGAATTAATGATTGTACCCAAAATTTTCGAAATAACACAAAAAAAATCCAAAAATTGATTGATTAATATTAATAATAAGAATTAATTTGTTTTAAAGATAACTTAATAAATTAATAAAATAAAATAACTAAAACAAATTAAAAAAATTTCGTTTCAATTAATGAACGTACCCCATTAAAAAGTGACATTAAAAAGAAATCTTTATTTTATTAATCCTTTTATTAAATTTGATTAAAATCAGCTTATTTTTATTCATTATGTATAACTGTAATTTATAAATTAAATTTCTTTTATTAAAAAAACTAATTTAATAAAAATTTAAAACTGTCAAATGTCAAATTGAGGTTATACTTACATCAGCTCGATAAGGTACAAAAATTGCACTCGCTAAATTCCCCGCAACGCCACTTCCAATATAGATAATCCCAATTCTTAATCCTCCAGTTAATTTCTCCAAATCGCGCATTAAAAAGTATTGAATCAAAACGGTTATCACCAATTGTAAGATCCCAGCGTGTAAAAACAACGATGTCCAAAGCCGATAAAATTGATCTGGTGTATCGGGCATGTAAAACGGAATCATTCCGCAAACGTCGTTCAAACAAGACACCTAAACGCATTAATTTTATTATTAGCAATTATGAAAAGACTAATTTTGTTTGACGAACGTTATATTAAAATCACGTGAGTTAAACAAAATTAGCCGTTTCATATCGTGTTAAGTAAAAAATTGTATCTAATTCCATTGAAAAAGCAATTTTTGTTCAAAACTTGACTTATTCTATTAGTGACAGATGTCAATTTATCAATAGACAACCTAAGCCTGACGTCATAGAGATGGGCGGAGCTTGTATGTATGTATGGTATGGGGAGTGCGTATTCTATACGCGGCACCTAGGTCCCAACAGGCCCCTTGTACAGTCGTGTTCATGGAAAATGCGCACTCAACAGCGCTTCACCTTGAGTGCGCATTTTCCGTGAACACGACTGTACATCCTCCCTCTAAGAGGTCTGAGATGTTATAACGACTTCAAAAATTTTCGTTGCTAACGGTAAATCACCATATGCAATTTTTCAATTAGCATTAAAATAAAATAAACTAAGTGACGATTTAAATGACATTTTTATGGCAATTTATCGTTAGCAACGAAATTGTTTGGAGTCGGTATAAGCTCCGCCCATCTCTGTGACGTCAGACTGAGACAGTCTATTTGTAGTTAGGTAATGGATTTCATTACATCACTAGTTATAAAAAAAGTGACGTTACATAATGTCAGAAAGACATGTAACGTTTAATTTTCATAATGGAATTAGGTAAACATTATTATATACCTGTGAACATAACGAAGCTTCTTCGTGAAAAGTTCCTTGAACGAAATCGCAATATTCTTTCGTGGTGATTTTGCATTGCCCATGGATTCCAATGCAGCAAGGATGTCCGATCACCTCGCAAACCATGTGCTCGGCGATTTTATCTTTTGAAGTGCCGTTTTTTTGCGTCGACGACATCAAGGTGGTCTTTTTTCGGCAAATTGGCCATTTTGTGATATCATCGGGCCATTCGTATGGGTGGACACTAGCTGGAGCATCACAAAATCTAAAAAATAATTAACATCATTAATAAAATTAAATAATAATTGAGGTTATACAGGATGTCTCAGCGAGACCGGTCATTAGACGTTTAAAAAATAAAAATTTGAATTCAGATTTAAGTATTATCAATTGGACCGCGTTATACATCATTTAACTAAGCGACATATTATGGTTTTTCGAAAATTTCATGCTGTCTGGCAGGTAAAGTTGTAACTTATCTTAAAAAAAAATGCAGAATACCGAAAGACGTTACACGATTTCAAGTCCGATTTGCATCATACGTTTAAGAACCGACTTAGATACACTAAGAAATTCTACAATAGAAAAAATAGATCCAACTTTCAACTTTTAATTTTGACATATTTGTCAACTTCATAAAAAATCCTTTAAAGTAAGACCAAACTCGACATATTTAACTTTAATATTAACGGAAATACAATCACTTCCGGTTTGAAACGTCAACTTTGACATATTTGTCATCTTCATTAAAAAACCTTTAAAATGAGTCCAAAGATGACGCACTTATCTCAAAAAACAAAAAAGTGAGAATAAAAAACATTAAACCTGAAGTTAGCAATTTAATTTTTAAATATTAATACCAACCTTAATTTTTTATTTTATTCTTATTATATTTTTGTTTTTGTTTTGGACTCATTTTAAAGAATTTTTCACGCCGATTACAAATATGTCAAAATTGACGTTGACATTCTTAACCGGAAGTTGACCATAACTTCATTAATATTGGAGATAAATATATCGTGTTTGTACTCATTTTAAAGGATTTTTAATGAAGATTACAAATATGTCAAAATTGACGTTGACATTTTAAATTTGAAGTTAGTTATCATATAACAGACAAATGGATAACTTCATGGTGTTCTTTCATGATGTATTTTTTATTAAAAAAATCTTTAAGATGAGTCGAAACATGACGCATTTATCTCAAAAAAACAAAGAAGTTAGAAAAAAAAGCATTAAACCCGAAGTTAGCAACAATGAAGATAGCAATTTAATTTTTAAATATTAATACCAACCTTAATTTTTTTATTTTTATTATATTTTTCTTTTTATGACAAATATTAAGACATTTTATAAAAATTAAAAATGTCAAAATGACGTTGACATTTCAAACCGGAAGTTGCTTATATCTCGAGTAATATTGGATTAAACATGTCATGTTTGGACTCATTTTAAAGGATTTTTCACAACGATTACAAATATGTATGTCAAAATTGACGCTGATATTCTTAACCGGAAGTTGACCATAGCTTCATTAATATTGAAGTTAAATATGTCGTGTTTGTACTCATTTTAAAGGATTTTTAATGAAGATTACAAATATGTCATAACTAAGGTTGACATTTTAAACCTGAAGTTAGTTACCATATAATAGACAAATGGACAACTTCATGGTGTTCTTTCATGATGTATTTTTTATTAAAAAAACCTTTAAAATGAGTCCAAACATGACGCATTTATCTCAAAAAACAAAAAGGAATCAAATTGCAAAAAGTAAAATTATTCATAAATCTTAAAAACAGACAAATCAAAATATGTAAAGATATACATGGTGTTCCATTTAAAAAAATAAAGTTGGTGGCGACTTCCGGTATAACCGGAAGTGCTAGAAATCTGAAAATATTGAGTCGAAGAGAACGCAATTGATAATACTTAAGTCTGAATCTCAAATTTTTATTTTGGCCAGTAACGTCTAATGACCTGTCTGGCTGAGACACCCTGTATTAATTTACTTTGGATCTAATCCGCAAACTGAACCGGAAATACGTCCCCCTGGTCCGGAATCTCCAGCAGACCATTTTTTCCACGTCGAAATTGTTTTCTATGAAACAAAAAGAATTGATTAAAAGATTGAGTTAAAGAGTTATTTTAAATCATGCTTAAAATATTACTAAAAACATCTATTTGCTCTAATTGGTGGATTTAAAATCGTGAATCGTATTTAAATCATGCGATTTTTTGCATGCTAAAAAAGGTTGCAACATAATACAGTTGATGTTGATGAAATAAACATACCGATGGACGTATTCCACGTACAAGTTGATTGGGCGAATATGACAGCTAATAAAAAAATGTTTTTTTGGATTTTTATTGACACTATCTTAAAAATAAACGAAAATGAATAAAAATATCTCACCGAACAATCTGCTTGCGACGATTGGACACATCCGCTATCATCGTTTCGTATACAACAAGCAGTTTCGCGCTCTTTCGCCCTCCGCTTTTCAATATCTTGTAAGATTTTGTTGTCGACTCGCATACAGGGGGCGAATTTCGCGCCTAAATGGATTAGATCGGCGGCGCGGGGGCCGAACCAAAAATTCGCCGGTTCCATGTAGTCCACTTGTTGCAGCGACAAGCTCGTTACCAATACCTGACTTGATTTTGCGTGCAAATCCAAACCGAAGGGACCCAAACCGTAACAGAACAGCGAAATGAAAAGGACGAGAATTTGAACTGTTGTGACCCAATAAGTAAACATCGGTCGATAATCTTCCATATCGTCTAATTGTTCTTTTATCGTTTCGTCTTGTATCACCGAACGGCGAGTTGAACGACTATGAAAATAATATTAAATGAGATGTGTTGATTAAATTTTTTTTTGGTAGAATTTACCCAAACATTTTACCAACCCAACCCATCCCGTATTGTCTCCGATCGGAATTATCTAAAACCCGATCTAAAAGTCGCGTGAATATCCGATTACATCCGATATCTTGTCGCGATTCTTCCGGAGTTGAATGATGCGATCTTCGCCATCCCGACGATCTTGGAATGTAGGTTGTTCTCGTCGTCGTCGTCGGTGAAGTTTCTAAAGGTTTCGTGTGATCCGCTTCGTCTATCCTCTCGATGACATCGCCTCCGGCTAGTTCTTGTTGTGGTTGTCGTTGCTCTGAAGGTGATAACGATCGTTTTGAACGTTGGAAAAACAATCTTTCGTCGTGAGCTTCCGCATCCGATGGTATTTCCGCAGGGTAACTTCTCGACCATTGTTCAGTTTGTGCCCTTGCACGACCTTGATGTCTTGTTAAAGTCTAAAGAAAAAAAATTAAAAAAATAAGTGACATTTTTTTCGAAGGTTATGTTAAAAATGTTATTTTAAGTATTTTCTTAACATTTTCAAAATGAGGAAATATTTATTGCGAAAAGAAATAAGTAGTATAAATAGGAATGTTTTAAATGGGACTTTCAAGTTGAGTTATTTCTTACGAGGGGGAAAAATGAAAAAATTAATCGTTTTATTGGTTTTAACCTTATGGATGGGATTAATTTGCGGGGGTAAAATTAAAAATTTATCGATTTTGATTGTAATAATAAAATCTAACTTGCTTTGTAGATGAATGCGTAAATAATCGGACGAAAAAAAATAATTGTTACTACTGCTTGTGCCTCGGAGGACATTGGGCTTGTTCCAGAAATTCGTGCCCACCAACTACAACACCAACAACGACTACGTTATCAACAACAACAGGAAGTAAGATTGTTTATTGTTTATCGGATTTTTAATTAATCATTTTTGTGATTATTTAGCGATCATATGCACTCCAGGGGAATCTTTCAAGAAAGATTGTAACACATGTAAGTGTAACGACGATGGTACAAGTGCTGCATGCACTGCAGCATTGTGTATAAAAGAAAAATAATGTTCTAAAACAATAAAGCTAAATCAGAAAACAAGGTTGTTTACTCCAATTACTTCAATTAAAGTGCAAAACACGCAAATTACTTACTTTCGTTTCAATCACTAAAAAAAAATTAATTCAAATAACCTACAAGAACTGTCAAAAACAATTACAATGATACCAACCCTAAATCATAAATGCCACTTTTAACTATCAACAATAAAGTTGGAGATTAAAATGGTTTTTAATTTAAAATATAAATTAAAACGTTTATGTTAATTTTATTTTAATTTTTATAAACTATCTAGTTACCATGGTTACAGTCGATTTAAATTAAAACATGCGCTTGATATACTCGAATTTTTCTAGGTTAAAACAGTTATTTGATTCAAAAAGATACGTTCAAGAAAGATTGTAACACATGTAGGTGTAACCAAGATAGTACAAGTGCTGCTTGTACTGTATAAAAGAACAATAATGTTCCAAAACAATAAATCGAAATCAGAAAGAAAGCTTTGTTTACTTTAATCGCATCTATATTAATTCCCCCATAACCTCCTATTATTTTAATCGAAGCGCAAAACACGAAAATTACTTACTTTTATTTCAATCACTAAAAAAAAGCTTAATTTAAATATTAATAGTGAAATTTCAATAAAAATTACGAATTATACATAACCTATAAAAACTGTCAAAACAATTTCAATAATACCAACCCTAAATCATAAACGTCACTTTTAACTATTAATCCTAAAGTTGGGGATTAAAATGTTTTTTTTAATTTAAAATTAAAATATAAATTAAAACGTTTTTGTTAATTTTAATTTTTATAAACTATCTAGTTACCATGGTTACAGTCGATTTAAGCGCCTTCAAAGAAAGTTAGTAATGGAGGATCTAAAAAGTGTGTTCTATTTAACTTGGTGAGGATTGCTAAGGTTAACCCTATTTTTTCAACGTCAAATTAAAACATGCGCTTGATATACTCGAATTTTTGTAGGTTAAAACAATTATTTGATTTTAAACGATTCTTTCAAGAAAGATTGTAACACATGTAGGTGTAACGACGATGGTACAAATGCTGCTTGTACTGTATAAAAGAAAAATAATGTTCTAAAACAATAAATCCAAGTCAGAAAAAAAGCTTTGTTTACTTTAATCGCATCTATATTAATTCCCCCATAACCTCCAATTATTTTAATCGAAGCGCAAATACGAAAATTACTTACTTTTATTTCAATCACTAAAAAAAAGGCTTAATTTAAATATTAAATTGTTAAATTTCAATAAAAATTATACGTAACCTACAAGAACTGTCAAAACAATTTCAATGATACCAACCCTAAATCATAAATGTGACTTTTAACCCTAAAGAAATTAAAATGTTTTTTTTAATATAAAATTAAAATATAAATTAAAACGTTTTTGTTAATTTTAATTATTTTAATTTTTATAAACGATCTAGAGGATAGTTACCATGGTTACGGCCGATTTAAGCGCCCCAAATAAAAGTTGGTAATGGCGGATCTAAAAAGTGCATTCTTTTTAACTTGGTGAGGGTTGCTAACCTTAAACCTATTTATTCAACGTCAAATTAAAACATGCGTTTGATATATTCGAATTTTTCTAGGTTAGAACAGTTATTTGATTTACTTTTCTTTAATTTTCACGGTAATAATTTATTTCAATAAAACCTTCACGAAAACCGTTTAAACGTGCTTTTCTTAAAGCCGTTTTAAGTATAAAAGATGCAGTTTTCTTTGCATACTTCAGTCTTATTAATCAACTTTTTCACCAAGAAAAATGAAATACTTATCCGTTTTTTGGATTGTAGCTGTTGCTATTGCAGTGGTTTTTGCTGGTAAGATAAATTAAAATTATCTTTATTCTTTAATTATTTCGTTTCTAGATGAGTGCTTGGAGGGGGAAGTAAAAACTGTGGATTGTAATACTTGTATATGCAATGATGGACTATGGGGTTGCACTAAAATGGCTTGTGGACCATGTAAATTTCTTAATTTCTTTGTAAATGATTACTTAATTTTGTTTATTTTAGCCGGTTGCACCCCAGGAGAAAGTTATTTAAAGGATTGTAACACCTGCTTTTGTGGTGATAATGGAGAAGAAGTTGGTTGTACTAAAATGGCTTGTGGACCATGTAAATTTTTTAATTTCTTTGTAAATATGTTTATGTAATTAATTTATTTTAGCTGGTTGCACCCCAGGAGAAAGTTATCTAAAGGATTGTAACACCTGCTTTTGTGGTGATAATGGAGAAGAAGTTGGTTGTACTAAAATGATATGTCCACCATAATTTCGAACAAGTTATAAATAAATTGATATAGCATGCATAAAATAATTAATTCTTACTGTAACAACGTAAGCTAATCCATCCCATGTCATCCTAGCCACAGAATCTTTTCTCCGTATCTTCCCAGGTTCTCGAATTTGCTCAGATGGTAAATCTGTAACATCTGATGGTCCTGGTAAAACATCCGGGCGATCACTTCTTTGTTGCACATCATTTTCAGTTAAAGTATCCCGATTTTGTAAATAATCCTCTTTTAATGGTCCATAAGTCCTAGAAGCTAACCGTTTCCGTCGATCCAACCACCGTTGTTGTTGTTCATTTTCATTCTCTTCATCGACCCCAAAAAAATTTGCAGTCTCCTTTTTAATAAAATTCCTTATAACTTCTTTCCTTGACGTTGACCTGACAATTCTGGGTCTACGCTCGCTTTGGCTATAATTCACTCTGGGTTGTGGTTGTTGTTGAGAATATCTTTCATTAACACTCTGTGCTGGCATTGAAACAGCCCTTTGAAGTTGCTTTTGTGCCACATTTTGTTGTTGTGGTTGTTCGTTTTGTTGATTTTTCGTGGGCGTTTTTAATTGTTGCGTTTGAATTGAAGATGTAGTCGTCACTGTTGTTTGTGGTTGAATTTGTTGTAGTTCTTGTAATTGTTGCTGTTGAGGAGGTGACGTTCTCCTAAAATAAAATTAAAAAAAATCGTTTTCTATTTTCAATCAATCATTGTCTGGATGAAAGAAAATTAATAGGGGAAGTGAAAATTTGTACGAAAGGGGACACGTTAAAATGGGGCGCAGATTCCATTGACAGATGACGTCGGTTTTATAAATGATCTTCCGGTTCAATCTTTTATCAAAAAGATTATTAAGTAGGTGAAGAGAAAATTGAAAGTTGAGAGGCTAAATTGAAAAAAAAAGTTTTGATTTCTTTTTTAAGAAGTCAATTAAATAATTGTTGTTTTTATAAACATTAAAGATGACTAATAACTTTTTAAACACCAAACCTAAGAAAATCTAGGTTAGATTTTTTTGTTACTAATTATTTCTTACTTTTCACTTAATTCCATCTCATTTTTGTATTAACCATACATATTTTCATTAATAAATAAATAAATCTTTATTGCACCATCCGAATTGCACTGAATTTTTAACACAAAAAACGATTAACCAAAAAAAAAATACATTGAGGTTAGATGACCCAATTTGCAACTTTCAAGGTTATGTGTCACCGTGAATTTTATTTCTCTTCAAAACGTGGCATAAAAAGAGACGGATTCTTTTTTAATCATAAATTTTACCTGCGTTTAAACCTGTTTTTGCCTCATTGTTAGTTTATTTTCTTCATTAACATTTCCATCATAAAAAAAGAAATTTTCATTTTAAGAGGATGGTAACACTGTCAATTTTTCGACAAAAAATTTCAATTTAAGTAATATGTAGTATACGATTTAATTAGTTTCGTATTAATTAAATATATTTGTTAATGTTTGAAAATAAATGACTCCAAGCAAGGGGGGACTTGCTGTGACGTCATTGGAAGAATTGACATTTAAGAAGCTACTTAAGAAGCAATACACAAAAATATATAAAAAAAAATTAAAATATAAAGCGAAATATTAACGGTTATAATTTTATTATTGTTAGGTTATCCAACTTGACTCGGTTACCATGGCGATTAAGATCCAAATATTACAAGTGTTTATCAAAATTGACGTTGAATTCAGTTGTCAATATCACCTGTAATTTTATTATTATATTCGTAATCTTCATAAAATAACTTTTAAGGTAAGTCCAAACTTGACGCATTTATCTCAAAAAACCAAAAAGTTCGAACTTTCAACTTTTAATTTTGACATATTTGTCATCTTCATTAAAAAACCTTTAAAATGAGTCCAAACATGACGCATTTATGTTAAAAAACAAAAAAATTTTAATAAAAAAACGTTAACCCCGAAGTTAGCAACAATGAAGATAGCAATTTAATTATTAAATATTAATACCAACCTTAATTTTTAATTTTTTTTATTGTTTTTATAATAAATTTTAAGACATTTCATAAAAATTAAGAATTTGTCAAAATGACATTGACATTTCAAACCGGAAGTTGCTTATATCTCGACTAATATTGGAATTAAACGTATCATGTTTGGGCTCATTTTAAAGGATTTTTCACGACAATTACAAATATGTCAAAGTTGACGTTGACATTTCTAACCGGAAGTTGACCATAACTTCATTAATATTTAAGATAAATATGTCGTGATTGTACTCATTTTAAAGGATTTTTAATGAAGATTACAAATATGTCAAAATTGAGGTTGACATTTTAAATCTGGTTAGTTATCATATAATAGACAAGTGGACAACTTCATGGTGTTCTTTCATGATGTATTCTTCATTAAAAAACCTTTAAAATGAGTCCAAACATGACGCATTTCTCAAAAAACAAAAAAATTTGAATAAAAAAACGTTAAACCCGAAGTTAGCAACAATGAAGATAGTAATTTAATTATTAAATATTAATACCAACCTTAATTTTTAATTTTTTTTATTGTATTTTGTTTTTATGATAAATTTTAAGACATTTTATAAAAATTAAGAATTTGTCAAAATAATATTGACATTTTAAACCGGAAGTTGCTTATATCTCGACTAATATTGGAATTAAATGTATCATGTTGGGGCTCATTTTAAAGGATTTTTAACGACAATTACAAATATGTCATAATTGACGTTGACACTTCTAACCGGAAGTTGACCATAACTAAATATTGAAGATAAATGTGTCGTGTTTGTACTCATTTTAAAGGATTTTTAATGAAGATTACAAATTGAGGTTGACATTTTAAATTTGAAGTTAGTTATCATATAATAGACAACTTCATGGTATTCCTTTATGATGTATTTTTTATTTAAAAAAAATTTCACTATTTTGTATATTTTTATTGCAGTAAAATTAGAACTAACACTAGACCTAGAATTAGAAAAATTCGGGTTTAGCCTGAAGACGCACGGCTAAACCCTTTCTACAGACCTTTCTACTTCTAGGTCTAGTGTTAGTTCTAGTTTTAATTGTTACTAAGTGTTAAATTGTTGTCTATTTTCACTGAAATAGAACTAACATTAGACCTAGAGTCGTACGTCTCTAAAGACGGCTAAACCCGAATGTTTCTAGTTCTATATCTATATCTAGAGTACTAAAATTTTACGTCATTGTAAAGAGAAAATAATTCTTAATTGAATGCCTTATTATGGCAAACAATATATTAAACAACTTTTGTATAAAATGTTTTTTCATAAAGTTGATACTTACCAAGATATATACTATATTCCATACATAATGGGCACCTGTATATTATATTATACTTTTCCTCCAATGACGTCACGTTTCCTACCTCACCCCGTCAACGTCAATTTTTATTCGAGTTGGATAACCTTGGGTAACCGCAATTAAAACTGGTAATGGCGGAATTAGTGAGGTTAATAATTTAGAATTGGTGGTAGTTTCTCATAATTTTTATGTGAAGCCACGAAGTGGCTATGATTTGATGTCTTTTCTTCTGGGCAAGTTGCAACGTGCTAACAAAACCTGCTGTAGAGGTCGTTTAACCCGGATAATATTGAATTCATTTTTATTAAAATTAAATTACTTAAAGTAATTGAGTGTAAACCTAGATTCTACTACCATTAACTTACCATACTGTTAACGCCAAAGAAGTATTTTGACCCCTTTTAACACAACACTGATCACTGCAAACGGTCACTTCGCCGGAACTAACACTACCCCGTGGAGGTGGAGTGGCGCACACGTGTCTACCGCCGCTTTGGCCCACATACTCCACCCCGACACCGATCCCACCAACACCATTATTAGTACAACAAATCCCGTGTCTACACTGTTGCTGTTGTTGTTGTCCCTTTCGATGGTGATGGTGATGACCATTCCCGGAAACCGATTGTTGCGTCGTCCCGGTTTGATAACCGCCGTTGCATTGCACGGCCTTTTCCTGCTGGTGGAAGTAACTTTGGCACTGAATCTCCACACTACCACTTCCGGACTCTAAAGTTGCGTTGTTGATGTTGCTTTGACTGGTAACGGAGCTGCTCGAGCTAGATCCGGGGCTAGATTTTTGAAAGTGATGCTCGTTGAATTGGCAACATTTGGGTCGGGGCGCCGGAACGTATCGGACCCTTTGGAATTGGCCCTGATATTGCGGTACCGGAAGTCGGTAGTGATAGGGAAGGTCCCTTCGCATATACGGATCGCCGTTCGAAGAGGGCGTCGAAGATGATGAGGTAAATTTGTAACGATCGAACGTTTGATAAGCGGCCCCGTAATAACTCTCCGGTTGTTGCGGTTGCGGTACATATCGTTCAACCGGAATATGAGCGTGAGGCGGTACGTAACGTTCGGAGGTGTTATTATAATTTTGAAGGTTATGGTACCTGTTGTCGTAGTACCGCGTGGTATCTTTTATTCTATCGTAACTCGGTGATGAAGATGAGGAGTAATATCGTTTTTCGTACCTTTCGAGTTTCTTGGGTGAAAAATTTTCTGTTGGTGATGGGGATAGAGGTGGTGGTGGGATGAACCTTTCTGGTGTTGGGTTTGTTGCGGTTGGTGATGGGAAAGCGTTCGCCGAATAACATTCGGGACTCGGTGTGTTTGCCGGTGATAAAGGAGGTGGTGGGATAAATCGGTCGCTTGCTGGAGCGGGGGAAGGTGGTTCCAAATATGGCACCCTTTGTTCCGGGCAAGGGATTGGTAAAAATCGTTCGGATGGGTACCTTTCGTACTCGGAAAATCTTTGGTACCTCCTCTCCTTAATTTTATACACCTCCGGAGGTAACGTTTTGATAACATCACTAGAATAGCGATCCAAAATGTGGTAGGAACCTCTCCCTCCGAACCTTTCCACGTAATGACACCTCTCCGGTTGAAAAATTTGTTGCTGTTGGGTGCCGCAACTTTGAATTTGGAGCCGATCCGAAGAAACTGAAACCATCGTGTTTCTTTCGCCCAAAGGGTACCGCTCTGAAACACCTTGGTACCGCTCCCCGGAAGGGAGTCGATCCGAATTGCTTCGTTCGGAACCGAAACGATCTTGTTGGTTTCTTGGCGTATGCTCAAGAGTCGAAGTATTACAACCAGCTGGACATTGGAGGGACGCCGGGGACGTCGCCTGATGATGGATTTGCCTTCTTCCATATCCGTCTTCGTCAGTAGGCATTGTGTTGGCCCTAGGCCCGAAATTAAGACATCTACAAAGAAAAAAAAACAATTAATTCAAAAAATTTATTTCTTTCAAATAAGAACATCATCTAATGCTGATTCGAGGGACGATTCATCGGAAGAAGACGCGGATGGTATCGATTTATAATCGGCTTTACTCCCATTTGTCCATTTTTCGTACAAATCCGGTCTATAACCAACGGGTTCATCCCAAGCTTTCCTGCAATACCTTTTGATCCATTTTTCTTCGTTCAACGAAGGTATTTTAAGGGTTTTTGTTGGGTCGTGTACGCTAAAAACGCAACGTACATTGGGGTCATAAAAGCCATACCCGCAATCGTAACAACCCGGTGGAATTTTCCTTGGAACATCTTCGTTTGTTAATCTTTCTTTTCGAGCAGGATTAAACCCGTTTTCTATGGTTGAGGAAAATCGGCGATCTTTAGCTTTGCAATATTTGAAGGGGTAAACGTATTCTAATCCATCGGGGTAAACAATTGCGCCTTTTATTAAATGGGATTTACACCAAAAACCGTCCACTTTATATCCGGATGGATAAATTAACGACCCAGCGCCGTGGAAATCGCCGTCCATCAATCGGCCTTCGTATTTAACGTTATGCAGCATCGTGTAGGTCCCAGATCCCCACATTTGCATCCCCATCCATTCGCCGGTGTATTTACTTCCGGTGACGAATACCTTCTCGGGTTTTGTGATTTTTATGTATTTTCGACTTGGACGCCGAAATCGCTTTATATTTATCAACCAATCCGAACGCACTTCCGGGTCGGGATTTAATGATGGCGCACTTGGTTCTTCGGGGGGATCGGAAATTTTTTGTCTTATCCCAAACATTTTTGTATTAAAAAAAAAATATGACGTGACGTTTAAGATTACATTACCAACTTAAATTTTATCAAAAAATTAACATACCTGTATTGGTCGCCGTGTTGATCCTCAATGGTGGCGCCAGGATTGTAGGGGGCGCTACCCCCTACCCCCTCGCCTACCACATTTCTTCTAATCCAATACTAAAACGAAAACAAATTAATATTAAAATTATTAGAAATGGTACAATTCCGTGACAGGTGGCAGATGTCAATAGATTAGATTATTAATCCCTGATGTGGAAGAGTGAATACTTAGAGGATGACCACTATTATTAGTTAGCCATATGCAAGGCGATTCAACGAAAGCAAGGATTGGTGATGGAAGTTGAAGAGAAAATAGAGCCATTTCATTCATGTCCAAGTGGTAAAAGATCACGTGGGGCAGATACGAGATGAGAAAAGGTTCTCTTTCACGTTCCAGTACAACCATAGAAAAATTGCAAAGCAAATTTGAGGAATAAGTAAGAGATATTGAGGAGGGAAGAGGATGGGAGAGATGGATCTTAGTCGGTGGGCGATACCAGAAGATTTGAGACTTAATTCTTCATTATGTTGCTTTGGAGTTAGATTCGTTGCTTTGATATAGGTTGGGTTACTTTCAAGTGAGATTGGGTTGGATTGCTTTGAAGTAGAATTGGATTACTATCAAGCTGGATATGTTGCTTGGATATGAGTTGGGTTGTTTTAGAATGAGATAATTTTAAGTTAATATCCTTTGAGACTAAATTAGCTTGTTTTGGAGTTAAATTGCATTGTATTAGGCTTGGATTCGGTCCTTTAGCGCTGATCTAATTTGCTTTAGCTTCAGCTCGATTGTATTAAGTTAATTTCGGTTGGATTAGTTTGCTTTGAAGTTGGATTGTATTGCTTTCGGCTTGGATTCGTTCCTTTGGGTTGGATTACTTTACTTTTGAGGCTTATTTATTAAAAAGCATTTTTGAGCAATAATTCATACCTATAAAGCCAACTAAAAATCACATCGAGAAGGATTTTGGGGGTATTTTCCGGGTTCCATGAGTTCCGGGGCCTCAAACGCATCTAAAATTTAAAAAAAAAGTATTTTAGAAATTCCCCGACTTTTTTGAATCTTAAAAATATTATTTAAAGAGGTATTTTTTCTCCCCTAGAAGTAAAGACGCAATAAACGGGGTCCAAAAGTGACCCAGATCGCATCTAGCGTCGCGACGCCAACTTTACGACGGCATAACTCACACATACAGAGAGGCATTGTCAAAATTTTATTGGAACGTGTGCGACTTGTAAAATAAAAAAAGTATAACCGTGTAAAACGGGCTTAAACGTCAAAGTCTTGCGATTTCAATAAATTAATTAATCTCAAACAAAGATAATAAATAATAACGATAATAAACGATAATAATCCTAATAATAATAATAAACGTAACCTAGTTACCAATTTATAACACGTAAAAGAAAGATTTACGAAAAGTCGAAAAGGGGGTAATAAAAATTGAAAAAGGATTTAATTTTGATGATCGTAAAATAATCTAGTAGGTGAAACAAGTGAACGCCTTAACGTCAAAATGGCGTTGGTATACGTTGAAGGGGAAAAACAAGATTAATCGCCCGGAAATCGGTTTAACCCCATCAAAAATAATTACCTATTTTCGATTGATGTCGTTTTCATAAAACATTACGTTCGAAAACGTTTCGAAATCGCCGAAAAATAATCGAAACATCCCCTCAAACATGGAGTCAAACTGTCACCACCACGACACCCACACACCGAGGAACGAGGCCGAGGTTTCCTTCTCATCACCCCTCGAACCGGAAGTTCACTTTTAACGAAATTTAACGCGTCTTACCATAGCGCACTCAACTCTCACAGCGTTAAATGTACCCTTAAAAAAGGTGAAATAAAAAAATAGTTTCAGTGCCGTATTTTGTGGTGGTAATAACGGGGACGCGGAAACTTGCGATTTCTACAAACTCTGGGGTTGTCGCGACTTGCGTCGTAGCGCGGATGCGAAAATTTCGGTAGGGTGGGGTACGTTTCAGGGGTAGTTTCCCCTACAACTTGGAAATTTTCAAACAAAATCGAATAGAAACTAAATCTAAATAAAACTAAACCCGAAACGTTTCGGTTCCCGTCTAATCGTGAAATGATTATTTTTAGAACTTAAAACAAGAAGAGGTTGTCGACCTAAAACCCTTTATATCACACTTCACTTCCTAAAACAAAAAAAAAATAACATTTAAACGATTTAGAAGATAATACTCAAAAATTAATTTCAAAAAGTAATTGGAAATTAAAAAAATTTAAATTTAATAATTCGCTATACTAACGCTCTCTATACGAAAGACAACGAACGATGCTACAATGGAAAACGCAGCCCCCCAAATACAACACAGTCAATATGGGCCGAGTTTGCGCACTCCAAAGGGTACATTCCCCTTTTTTTCGCGCGGTGACGTTTGTTGTTGTTGTGGTACATTCTCAAGGGAAGAACATTATTTCAAACATGCGGTTCTTCTTCAACCTAAAAAAACAAAACAAAAAAAACAAAAAATATAAAAAAAAAAAAAATTTTAGGTTATGTTTCTAAATTGAATCATTTAAGGCACAATTTTTAACGAGTTAAAAGAAAATTATTGTTTTCAACAAATTAAATGTGTTAACTTACTTTCTTTATCCAAATTACAACTTATTTATAACGTATTTAATAATAAATTTGATTTTAATTTCGAATTGGAATTGTGGTTATATTTAAACGTCAAAGATTAGTTATTTCAGAGATACCAACTTAATTTTTTTTAAATTTGGTTAGATTTTTGAATTGTTACGGAAATTGCTTAATTTTCTTTTATCGCCTTCTTCTTCACTCTAAAAAAGTAAAAATGATTATAAATTATGTTATAGAAGTAAAAATCAAAAATGTTGGTAAAAAAATAATTTTTTGATTGAATCATTTATGTATCAAAAGAAAATTGGTATTTATAAGAAGCTAAATGTACGTACTTACGTGTAACATTCAAATCATAAAGAGAAAATCAAAATAAAACGTCGATTTAAGATAAACACGGCATTGAAACCACAAAGGAAACAAAACAACAAAACAAACATATCAATGATACCAACAAATTGGATATGAATTAATTAGAATAACAATGAAGTAATATAATAATGAAAATAATTAAAAAGAAAAAAAATGAAAAAGAAAAAAATAGAACGTAAGCAAAAATAAAAAAAAAACTAAAACATCAATAAATAAAAAATTAAAAGATCAAAACGTAGACCTCACAAACCTCAAAACGAAATTAAAAACGGCCACCAAATAAGAAAAAAGAACTCTTTTTATTTAAACATAATTAATCAAAAAGCTTGATTATTAAAAAAAAATTATTGCAAATATTTTTGTATTGTTTAATTTATTACTTTGTTACCAAAGTTTTGTAGATATCAGCTGCGGTGTCCGAGTGGTTAAGGAGATGGACTTGAAATCCATTGGGTTCTACCCGCACAGGTTCGAATCCTGTCCGCAGCGAATTTTTTTTTATTGATTAATCTAGGTTAAAAATTCAAAATTGCGCTTATTAAGGCAAATTTTTTACGCTGACTTTTATTTTATTCATTCCTTTTGAATCAAAATTGCTTTAGAAACAAAAAAAATTAAAATGGGAAGGAAGAAATACATTTTTATTTTAATTTTGTTAATTTGGATTAAAAGTTTCCAAGCGAAAGAAAGCCCAAATAATGTTGGATTAAAAAGCAAAACGATGTTGGAGCAATTTTATGAGTACATCCAAGGAGAAAGAGACGCCATGGAGAAGGAAATGGAAAATAAGCGGTTCCATTTGGATAAGGTTATCATGAAAATTCCGAAAAAATCAGGTAAGTTGACATAAATAAGTGATTTTGGGAGGTTATTTAAACAAATTTTAGATAAAACAAGAATGAAACGTTCAATTCAAAAGAAAGATTACAATGTTAATAAGATTAAAAAGGAAATTGAGAAATTAAAGGATTTAATAACGATTCTAAATGATCAAAAAACCGTGATTGATGGCTTAAATAGTGTTAATCCTAAGTTTAATTTAACGATTACTCAAAAAGAATTGAATGACTTGAGAGGTTATGTTAAAAATTTGGTTGGTAAGCTTGAAAAGGAAATTGTTGATAGAAAAAGCGTTGATAAAGAAATTCTTAATGAGTTAGATAATCAAAAAGAAATTGTTGCAATGCTTCAAAATAAAAAAGAAAATGATCAAATCAATGAAAAAGATGAAATTATAAACGACGTTTTTGAGGAGTTAAAAAATTTGGAGACTCACCTTTCCGGTTTGAGAGATAAATCCAAACCCAATGAAAATGTATCTGAAAAAATGAGAAAATCAAATTTAGAGGAGATATTAGAAAATGAGGAAAAAGAAATGAATCAAAGTAAATTGTTACAAAAACTGATTAAAATGGTTGAAGATAACAACAAAAAGAAGAAAGAAAAGACTTTTTTAGATATATTATTTAATAAAATCAACGAAAACGCAAATAAGTTAGAAAATAGGGAAGAAAATACAAATTTAAATGATCGTTTGGACGAATTAAAAGAAAAAATCGATGATATGCAGAACCCCGATGAGATAGAATCAAAAAACCTTGACGATATACTCAAAAAGTTGATAAAACCAACCGAAGAAAAAATTAACCTAAAAAAAGACACAAAATTGGAAGATTTAATCAAAAAATTAATCCAAAAATTAGACCAAAAATCGAAAAATGACGAAAAAAAATTCAATTTGTATAATTGCAAACACATTCAACCGTTTAATTACGATTTATACCCCAATTTTGGGTTTAACTCGGAAAATTATCAACATCCTAACCTCAATTATCAATCAAACGTCAATTATAAACATCCCAACCTCAATTATCAAAATTCTAACCTTAATTATCTAAATAATAATCTTAATGAGCAAAATTTGAATTTATTTCATGATCAATTTGAAAATAATTTTAATCAACAAACAATTAATGGATATAATACACAAGAAAATCGGCGTTATTCACCAAAAAATTTCGTCCCTACAAAATTAAATTTAACAAGTACAGAAAATAAAGAAGATGATAACGTTTTGAGGAAATCAAAACGTTCTTTGAGTTTGGAAGAGAATTTGGTTGAAATTCTCAAAGATGAATTGAAGAATGAAGATGATAATGAAGATATAAATGAGGATTTAAATGCAAATGAGTTAGGTAAATTCGATTATTTTTCTTTAAGTTATAAATAAATTTCTTAATTTTTTAGAATCCCAAGAAATTTTTGATAAAAACGATAAAGAAAGAAGTTATAAAAATTTTTCATCGAAAAAAGTGACACTTTTTGATAAATTTTTCAACAAAATATTAAATAAGATCATTGATAAAGCTCAAATTGCAATTCCGAAGATAATTAGAGCCATTTTCGATATAAAAACGATTTTCGGAATCGATTTAAATAATTATGAAAGTTTTAAAAATTTTGGTTTATTGGGGATTTTACCCACGTTTATGATTAAGTTGGCGACAATGTTTAATTCTTTTATGTACCAAATCCAAGGATTTCCTTTTATTAAAAACTTTTTAGTACCCGGATTAATACTTTTAGCGGTTTCCGGGATGGTTGTATTTTTAATTTGGTGGTTACAACCAAATTATAATAATTATTACCAACCCGATTCTTATAATTATTACAACAATTATAATCAGTTCAAAAAATATAAATGAGTAATGAAACAATCCATCGGGATTATAAAAAAAATACAAGAAATTAACAAAACTTTATTTTTTATTGCTATTCTCAAGATTTTCGTGATTTCCAGACAAAATCTTCTCTAAATTATTATTTGAAGGTTAGAAAAAATTACGTTTTAAATGTCACTTAAAATAATCGAGATGAGTGAAGTTTGATGTAAACGTCAGCTAACTTCATGTTAGTGTCAAATTTAAATAAAATTATAAAAATGCTTAATTTAATCATTTTTGAATCCAATTTGATTAAAAATTTGTTAATTAATGTGGAAGAAATGATTTTAAGGACTTACTTGGTTATGTTTTTCGGGAAACTTGATATTGAATCTTTTTGGTGGATCAGATTTGATTTGCAGCCTCCCACGACGCATTTAAACTCATTGTGGGGTTCTTTTCTTCTTCAGGATCTAGAATAGAAAGGAAAATAACGTAAGTTAGTAAAAATAAGGTTCCTAATAATTTGGTACTTAATAATAACAATAAAAAGGTAATAATAATCAATTAAACATAAAAAGGATCAACATACACCACTAATGAAGCATAAATCGCCCCAAAATTTGAAAATAAACCACTTTTTAATCAAATTTTAGAATTAAACGAAATCAAAACAAACTGATTACAGCGCTACCTGACGCTAACGGAGGTACTTTGAACTCGTTTATTTTTGAGTTTACTCCATTAAACGCTAGATGTCGCCCTATTTTTATTTATTAATTATTTTTAAAACATGCTTTTCCATTATTTATGATTCCCAACCAAACAATAATAATTATTACCAATCCGATTTTTATAATTATTTCAACAATTATAATCAATTCAAAAAATATAAATAAATAATGAAACAAAAAATGATTCATTCATATCCCCATCCTTTTCTAACCTCACCGAATTGATACAATCCATCTCTTTTTATTCCACGTTTTACAAACTGTCAGATTTTAAGTTCTAAGAAACAACATAACCTGTTGATTCATTCTCAATTTAAAAAAGAGAAATAAATTTGAAACTCCGGAAAGGTAAATACTAAAACGTTTTTATTATCTCTAGATAATAAAACAGAATGTGTTTTCCTATCTGATAAGCCCCCCGATTTAAAAAATATTAAAATAACCATGATAAAATATTCCATATAAAACTTAATTTTATTGTTTTAGTGAAACAAAATGGATAAATTGCGGAAATTTTTAAGCGGAGATGATACATCACCAGACGAAGAAAGCGGGATCATGTCTCAAGTAAAAAAAAAAACACCACACCAAAAATCAAACAACTAAATTGTTTCATTTTTTAGTTTAGCGAAAACACAACATTTAGTTGGTCAACACGAATAAAAGGATTCTTAATATGCTTTATAGTCGGAATATTGTTATCATTTTTGGGATCTTTTGCGTTATTTTTCAACGGCGGATTAAAACTGTTCGCTATTTTTTACACCTTGGGTAACATAACCTCAATGGCCAGTACTTGTTTTTTAATGGGACCTTTTAATCAATTTAAACGAATGTTCGCTGAAACGAGGATTATTGCAACAATTATCGTACTCCTTTCGTTAGCTTTAACATTAATGGCAGCGCTTTGGGTAAAAATTCAACAAAAAAGAAAAAAGTGAGGTTAAATTTAATCGATATTTTTTTAGTGGAAAAAAGCGGGTTTGGCTTTATTATTTATAATAATACAATCTTTAGCGATGACGTGGTATTCTATTTCCTATATTCCTTATGCAAGGGATGCTGTGAAGAAGACAATTTCAGCTTGTGTTGTGTAAGATGGGGAAAAAAGCATTTTTAAAGAAGCATTTATGTATTAATGAGAATTATTTTTGATATAAGTGTATATAAGTATTAACTGGTGTATTTACTAATTATTTATGTGTGTTAAGAAAGAGCCAAAAGATATTTAAATAAATTTTTAAAAACTTTATTGATTAATTTTTTGAGGTTAGATGTTATCAAGGTCTAAAGGTTCCTGTAAAATGTGATTACTACAAAAATTTCTCGCAAAATCGTAAGTTCCAAAGAAAATGTAACCACCTAAAGTTATCCACAAAACTCTAGGAACAAACCCAGCGAATAACCCTGCAACACCTTTTTCTTTATAAACTAATTTGAACATATTATTAACAGTTAAACTCTTATCAGCTAGCATTATTCGAGTTTTTACAACATCTAACGGGGTTGTAATCGCAGCGGAAACTCCACCTAATGAGATAAATAAATAAATAATCCCTGTAAGATTTTTTAAATAATTAATCACCTGCAATCGCGCCACAACTAGCAACTTCAAAACTACTCAACATTTCATTATTTTTAAATTTAATTCGATACGTGCGTTTCAAAAACTCCAAAATTGGGAATTGCACGAAAGAAAACGGGACTTCCCGTATAATCGTAGACCCAAAACCGCGATACAACCCCTTTAAAAGCCCCTCCGATCTCCAAGCATCCAACGCGATCGCCATAGAAGTCGAATTTTTAGGACAAGTTTGTCGCCGTTGCTTAACAACTTCCATTGGAACCCTAACCAAGCAAGCGACCTTAAAAAATTAATTATAAAAATTTAGTTCTAAATGTTGGGTTAATTTTTATACAGACAACTTCAGCTAGCGATGCCCCTGCCATATAAACGATCGGTAAAGCTTGTTGAGGCACTAAGGGGGTCATAAAATATTTGCAACTTTCGTATGTGCAAAAAAATAAGGCAGCTTGTGGGGCACTACCGATTGCTTGGGGACCAATTCCTTTATAAATTCCGGAAAATCCTCCGGCGTTTCGAAAACCTTGGGAAAAGTTCAAGAATCATCGTGTGGCTTAAAAATCGACGACTTTTTTTTAATCATTGTGAAATTACCCAAAAAACACGTTAAAAATAAAAAGAAAATGCGGAAAAGTGTAGAATATACCGAAAAATCACATCAAATCACACTCATTAAAAATAATCGAAATACGGGGTACTTCCGGTTTGAAATATCAACCTTAATTTCGTGATATTCATAATCTTTACAAAAAATCCTTTAAAATGAGCCCAAACACGATGGGATTATCTCAAAAATTAACATTTCGTTGCCAACTTCACTTTGTTAACTTTAAATTTATCAACTTTTTTGGTATCTTTCTTATTTTTTGAGATACAATAGTCGAGTTTGAACTTATTTTAAAGGATTTTTCGTAAAAATTAAGAATTTATTAAAATTAAAATTGATATTTATAACCGGAAGTCGACCATTAAAGGTTATTTTTAAGTTAATCAATACCAATATAGTATTGGTATTTATTTTAATGAATGTTTGATGAATATTACAAAAAAAAACAGTATCTCAGACAATAGTTTCTCCCAACAATAGTCTTCTCCAAGCAGATTGTAATCTTTTCCACCAGTACCTAGCATTTTGGAAGCAGTAGGTACCTTTTTTGGAGAGCATATCTCTTCTTTCCATAGTTATTAGTCTTTTCCAATAGCATTTAGCATTCTGGCAGCATTAGATAGCTTTTTGGAAAGCATATCTCTTTTCCAAACAATTATTAAAGTCTTTGAAAGCTTTTTATTAAAGTCTTTTTCTGCAGCATCTAGCATTTTAGAAGCAGGAGGTAACTTTTTAAAATAGTATTTCCTCTTTCCAAGCAGTTTTTAGTCTTTTACTAGCAGTATTTAATCTTCTGACAGCAATAATAGTCTTTTACCAATAGCATTGAGCACTCAGGAACATAGATTTTAGGTTATATTTAGTTTATAGATGGAGAACGACATTTTAGGCAATGACGTCACAAAAAGTGACGTCACGTCGAAACATTAAAGTGATTTTTCGGTAAATTTTACACTTTTACGACTTACTTGAGTGATTTCCCGTCGATTAAAAAAGAAATTGTCGATTTTTAAGCGATATGATGCTTCTTGAATTAACCAAACCTTGTGCTGATTGCAAACGGGTTTTTATGGTATCTAAAGGAAAAAGAATCATATCTACGGATAAACCAGCTGCTGCTCCACCCTAAAATTACCCACAATCAATATGATATCAATATCTTAATATAACTTACGAAAAGTGAAGAGATATACAAATTTTTCTCACTCATCATTCTGGGATTATATTTAAGCGAGGTTATGTCCATAGAAAATAGCGCATATTTATTGAACGCATATGGCGCCATCTGTTGGGGATATTTTGGAATTATTCAGCTAAGAACCGAACCACTAGAATACAGGTTGAATTGGGTTTACATATAAAAGCTCCAACCACAGAATAACTGTATGGAAAGCGTTTGAATTAATGTTCCCACTGGTTGGGAATTCCTCAAATGCAATTACCTATACCCATCAAATAATGAGGCTACATTTGAATACCACGCATCATATAACATGTGAGATTGCATCTGACGAGCTTCCAACCAGTTATAACGTTAGCTGAAATAAGGCTATAATGCCAATTATAATCTAATTAATTAATGATACCATTATTACTTTATTATACTTTTACCGAAAAATCACTTTAAAATGACGTTTTCATCTGTCATTCTGATCAAACTTCAACTTTTAAAATTCGTAGCGGCAAATTTAAAAATATAACACGAATTGGAATCTATACTTTTTAAATAAAAAGATTGATACTGGTAATAATTGTTATTGCTGTCTCTCATCATTCTAACTATTAAAAATAAAATTGTTAGTTTAATTAAATTATTTCAATATAGACGCTAATGCCATCTTACGGTGGGATTTCGAGTCTCAAAAAATTAATTATTTCATATTAAATAAAGTAAATTGTGCTATGGGTTGTTTTAATTTCAATTTTTATTCTTAAATAATACTAATGTATTAATAAAAAGAAATAAATTAAGAATAAAAATTAAAAATATTAATAAAAAAAAGTGAGGTTAGTTTTAAAATTTTAAGGTTATGTTAATATGTCATCATCGACGTCTTCTTTAATTTTCGTTCAAATTTCAACGGAAATAACGCATATTTATCGATGACAAGTTGCAAAAATTACGTAATTATTACCTAAAAGAACAAACGCGTCGAATCCTGCACGAAAATCTTGCAAAATATAAAATAACAATGAGTAGAAACGTTTTAAAAAGTAGCCTCCAAAACGCATCGTTTAACATTATTTTTCAGGTAATTAATTAATTAATTTCCCTTTAATTTATTATTAATAAGGTTTTTTAGATCCTTTTTAGATGTGTTACGTTCGTCTTAAACGCTTTTATAATACGATACGTAGGCCAAGATGTTTTGGGGATAATGAACGTTCGATTACTACTTTTGGAGTCTACGATTTTATTTTTATCGCGCGAACCACTTTTAAAAGCTTGCTTAACGGATACTAAATCGCATAATTGGGCACAAGTTATTAATCAGATTTGGTTATCGTAAGAGTTAAATTAGAAATAAAATGAAAGTTTAAATCTTTCTTTTTAGGGTTCCTTTATCTGGTTTATTAAGTATTTGTTTGGTTTATGTTTGGATTAACGTTTTATCATCAACGGATGATCAATATTTGATGCAGTACCAAATTGGTTGTTATGCGGTTGCCTTTTCGTGCGTAATTGACCAAATAGCACAACCAGTTCAGTTAGTTGCGCAAAGTTATTGTTTTGTGAAATTAAAGGTTATTTTTGAAACGATTTATATAACGGCGAGAACAATTACTTTTGTTATTTTGGTTATAAATAACCCGGAAAATGCGATACATGCGTTTTCGATAGCTCAAGTTTCGTCGTCTTTGTTACTTTGTTTGTTGTATTACGAATTTTTTTATTATTACATTAAGAAATTCAACAATATTAAAGTCAAAGACGATTTTAAAAGTGATATGGAGAAACGATTGTTTGGTGATATGCAAGATTTTAAATTTAAATCCATTTTGGATTTTATCCCTGGATTTATGTCGAATAATGTAAGCTTTTTTTTATTGTTTTTGTAATTCGCGATTACTTTTGTATATACATCTTTGTATTCATGGGACTTCTCTGGAAGTAGTCAAATTGCAAAAAGTAAAGTTATTCATAAGCCTTGAAAACAGATAAATCTAAACTTGTAAAAATATACAGGGTATTCCATTTAAAGAACGCCATTGGACCGCGTTATGCATCACTTGACTAAGCTACAAATGATTAATGTTGAGAAAAACGAGATTTTCGTTTTCATCTCCCTAAAAATATAAGACTTCTCAGAATAGAGAGGCACAAACTATTAAAAATTGTTTGGTGCCTGTCCATTTTTATCACAGAACACTGATGACACCTATCACAAGCACAGAGGGCATACAGGGTGTTTCTGTAAATCATGGCATAAATTTAATCACTAAAATTAGGGACAAAATGATGACGAATAATCACGTCTGTCGACTTGGCACTACATCTTGCGATTTGAATAAAAAACTATTGCATTAATTGTCGCTTGATTTGTTGCGTCCTTTTTTATGAATAATTTTTGAGGTATTGCACTTTAAAGGCATACTAAACGTACGTTAAATTTTCGCCTACGTCATCAAACGTTACTAAAGATTGGTATGACGTCATATTAAAGCCACAATTGACCAATTACAGTTTCAATAGTAGCGTATTAATGACGTACGGCTCAAAGGTGAAAAACCAACATTACCATACTAAAATCATGAGCAAAACTGTTGTACAACATCAAACGTGACGAGGATCTATCAATTCTGAAAGCATACACCCTTTTATTTTATGGCAGCCGTACGTTTCTACCTTTATATTGTCATCTTCTTCTAAGGCCCACTTTTGCCACCTCTTAATAAATTTAACCGATAGATAAATTGGCGCTCTTAGCCAATGAGAGCGCTTACAACCATTGTAACCATGGTAATTATCTATCGGATAAATTTATCGAGAGGTGGTAAAAGTGAGCCTAATTGATGTATGCTGCACAGCCTTAGATCTACTTCCTGCATCACGCGATTGACGCGACAAATTTGTAAACTTTACGACAAATTACAACAGTTTATTGTTATCTCCACTCTTTACCATAGATTCCCACTGTCAAGTTAGCACTACCTCAAAAATGCACTACCTCAACATTTCAAATATTGTCAAGAGTTTGATTTTGTACTTTTAAACTGGTTTTTATTTTGTATAGAATTTAAGTCTAACCAGTTTCGGCCCTTGACAATCTTCAGAGACTCTACAAATAGATTAACATCTCTCATCTTATCCATTTTACAAACAAGTTTCTTAATATCTCTTTTTGTTTTGTTAAAAAAGACCACAGATTATTAGTTACTAATTAACAAAATTAAAGTTTAAAAAGTTGTAAAATGGAATTAAGGACGAAAAAATGTTTAATAAAAAAAATATTAAGACACTTGGGAAAAATTCAAAAATCATCATGTGGCTTAAAAATCGACGATTCTTTTTAATCAATGTGAAATGACCCATAAAACACATTAAAAATAAAAAGAAAGTGACTAACACTAGATTAACTCAGTTATAAAACTTCAATTATATGATAACTAACTTCAGGTTTAAAATGTCAACCTCAATTTTTACATATTTGTAACTTTCATTAAAAATGCTTTAAAATGTGTACAAACATGACATATTTATCTCCAATATTAATGAAGTTATGGTCAACTTCCGGTTAATGTCAACGTCAATTTTGACATATTTGTAATCGTCGTGAAATATCCTTTAAAATGAGTCCAAACATGATACGTTTAATTCCAATATTACTCGAGATATAAGCAACTTCCGGTTTGAAATGTCAATGTCATTCTGACACATTCTTAATTTTTATAAAATGTCTTAATATTTGTCACAAAAATATAATAAAAAAAAATAAAAAATTAAGGTTGGTATTAATATTTTAAATTAAATTGCTATCTTCATTGTTGCTAACTTCGGGTTTAATGGTTTTATTCTAACTTTTTTGTTTTTTGAGATAAGTGCGTCTTATTTAGACTCATTTTAAAGGTTTTTTTAATAAACAATACATCATGAAAGAACACCATGAAGTTGTCCATTTGTCTATTATACGATAACTAACTTCAGGTTTAAAATGTCAACCTCAATTTTGACATATTTGTAATTTTCATTAAAAATGCTTTAAAATGAGTACAAACATGACATATTTAGCTCCAATATTAATGAAGTTATGGTCAACTTCCGGTTAATGTCAACGTCAATTTTTCCATATTTGTAATCGTGAAAAATCCTTTAAAATGAGTCCAAACATGATACGTTTAATTCCAATATTTCTCGAGATATAAGCAGCTTCCGGTTTGAAATGTCAATGTCATTTTGACATATTCTTAATTTTTATAAAATGTCTTAATATTTGTCACAAAAACAAAAATATAATTAAAATTAAGGTTGGTATTAATACTTAAAAATTAAATTGCTATCTTCATTGCTGTTAACTTCGGGTTTAATGTTTTTTGTTCTAACTTTTTATCTTTGGACTCATTTTAAAGGTTTTTTAATGAAGTTGACAAATATGTCAAAATTGACGTTTCAAACCGGAAGTAATTAAGTTTCCATTAATATTAAAGTTAAATATGTCGAATTTGAACTCATTTTAAAGGATTTTTTATGAAGTTGACAAATATGTCAAAATTAAAACTTGAAAGTTCGAACTTTTTAGTTTTTTGAGATAAATGCGTCAAGTTTGGACTCACTTTAATAGTATTTTAGGTATTTCGGTATTTTTTCTAACAATAAGATAAGTTATACCTTTTTATTATCTAAAAACGATAAAATGTCGCTTAGTCAAGTGATGTATAACGCGGTCGAATTGAACTCTGACCAATTTCTCTTATTTCGGGGGTGTAGATGAAACATTTTTTTCAGGTTAGGTGTTGGAATTGACAATTAGAATTGTCAATTCAAATTTCTATTATCAAGTGTTACCAACTGCTACATACCTATGTCCCTACATTGTCAAAATTTATTTTATTTTTGTTAAAAAAAAAGGATAAAAACGCGAATTACAAACAATAGCATAAAAAGCACGTTCAAAAAGCACTCATTCATTAAAAAGCTTGTTTTTCAACTTGAATTCGTGCATTTCAAGCGTGTCTTACAAAACTTTTTTTGTTTTTTAATATACTATTAAGCGCTAACTACAAGATGATTTTAGGATAAACCTTTGAATAAAAAGTTGACAATTTTAACGATAAGTTTTGCGAAACAAAGTGTGATAAAACAAGTTTTAACGGAGGGTGAAAAATATGTTATGACGATTTCACCCGTTTTAACGTTTAGCCAACAGTCGATGTACGATATTGTAAATAATTTAGGTAGCTTAGCTGCCAGGTAAGTTTTTTTTTTAAACAAATTAAGTTGATATTAACCAAACAAAAATTTAATTTAGATTTATTTTCCGCCCGATAGAAGATAGTGCTTATTTTTACTTCACCCAAATGATTAAAAGAGATTCGACACTAACACAACAAGATCAGGTAATTAAATTTTAATATCATTATTTTTAATAAATCTTTTCGTTTACAGAAATCTGTATCAGAAGCAACCATAGTTTTAAGCCACTTATGTAAAGTTGTAACATCAATTGGATTAATTGCGGTGTTTTTTGGGAACTCTTACAGTTACACTTTATTATTTCTTTATGGAGGCACAAGTTTAACAGAAACGAACCTTCCAACAGTTCTCTTAAAGTGTCATTGCATTGCTGTTCTTCTTCTTGCTGTAAATGGAGTTACTGAATGTTATGTATTCGCTACGATGAATAACAAGCAATTGGATCGATATAATTACCTTATGGTGTTATTCTCAATCTCGTTTTTGTTGCTTTCTTACATCTTAACGATGTTTTTGGGCCCTGTTGGGTTTATATTTGCGAATTGCTTAAATATGGCGGCTCGAATAATGCATAGGTAAACAATACGCTTATTAAACAATGCTGTTTAATGATTCAATTCTTTTTTAGCGTTTATTACATATCCCACAAATACAAAGATACAAATTACAAACCTTTAGACGGTTTAATTCCAGGAAAATTCTTTATTTTTTCGTTGATCTTATCATTATTTGTAACAAAATGGTCAGAGCACTTTTATTTAGAAAATGTCACCATGAAATCAACCTTAATTCACATATTAATAGGAGCCATATGCTTTTTAATAACAATTTCAATTTGGGTTTACGAAAATAAGCACTTGGCAACAATCGGATTTAACAAATACAAAAGGAGGTTATCCTTTAAAAGTGATTAAATAAAAATTAAAAAGAAATTTTGTTTGTTTAAATGTTCTTATAATAAGCAGCCGTGATCGTTCCTTGCCGATGAATGATACATTTCTTTGAATTATTTTCAAAAACAATGATTGGATCTTTATTTCTCGGCTCTAATTTAGCGGCTTGTTCAGCAATCGCCGTTATAATCCCAGCACTTTCATTAGAAGCTTCTCCTTTCGCTTAAAAAACAATAATTTGACATAACCAAAAAACATTAAGGATTTAATTACTTCCTAAACACAATCCTTGCCCCTCCGCGAAAACACACCCAAAAGTATTTGGCTCCGAAATAATCGCTTCCATAACACGATCTAAACGCGTTTCCATGATTATTAACTCAAAAAACTACTTTAAACTTAATAATTTACTCAATAAAGAGAAACGTCAAAAAATGACAGCTAAAAAAACGGGATCTATTTTACCCACTTCATCCTAATGAACAATAACAATAATTTTTATTCAAAAATTAAATAATTAACATGGAAATATGTCGATTATGTTTCAATTCAACATCAAATTCATATACACCTTTAAATTTAACCGACGGAAGCGCCCACCGTAAGCAATTACAAATAATTCTCCCAGAAATAGTGAGGTTATGTCTCCTAAATAATGCCCTTATTAATATTAATTTTTTAAGGATTTAAAGGCGATTTTATCGCCGGTGTTGTGTTCAAATTGCTCAACAACCCTCGAAGACGTTTTTATTCTAAGAAAAACTTGGCTAGAATGCGAGAAAAAGCTAAAAAACTACTTGGAAAACACACATAACCTCAACAATCCTTGTTTATTTGATGTAATTAAGGAAGATAGTAAATTGGGGATTTCAAACGCTCCCATTAATTTAAACGAAGAAGAGGAAATAAAAAATGAGCTTGAATTAGATGATTTTAATTTGGATGAGGATATAAAAATCGAAAAAAATGAAATTTGTGATATTTGCACGAAAAATGAGTGTGATTGTCAATATTCTTGTTTGATAAGCCCCTAAAAGTTTAAATTATTAACTTAAAAAACTACTTTAAACTTAATAATTTACTTATTAAAGAGAAACGTCAAAAAATGACAGTTAATAAAAGGGATCTATTTTATCCACTTCGTCTACACGAACAATAACAATCATTTTTATTTAAAAATTAAATGATTAACATGGAAATATGTCGATTATGTTTCAATTCAACATCAAATTCATACACACCTTTAAATTTAACCGACGGAAGCGCCCACCGTAAGCAATTACAAATAATTCTCCCAGAAATAGTGAGGTTATGTCTCCTAAATAATGCCCTTATTAATATTAATTTTTTAAGGATTTAAAGGCGATTTTATCGCCGGTGTTGTGTTCAAATTGCTCAACAACCCTCGAAGACGTTTTTATTCTAAGAAAAACTTGGCTAGAATGCGAGAAAAAGCTAAAAAACTACTTGGAAAACACACATAACCTCAACAATCCTTGTTTATTTGATGTAATTAAGGAAGATAGTAAATTGGGGATTTCAAACGCTCCCATTAATTTAAACGAAGAAGAGGAAATAAAAAATGAGCTTGAATTAGATGATTTTAATTTGGATGAGGATATAAAAATCGAAAAAAATGAAATTTGTGATATTTGCACGAAAAATGAGTGTGATTGTCAATATTCTTGTTTGATAAGCCCCTAAAAGTTTAAATTATTAACTTAAAAAACTACTTTAAACTTAATAATTTATTTATTAAAGAGAAACGTCAAAAAATGACAGTTAAAAAAAGGGATCTATTTTATCCACTTCGTCTACACGAACAATAACAATAATTTTTATTCAAAAATTAAATAATAAACATGGAAATATGTCGATTATGTTTCAATTCAACATCAAATTCATACACACCTTTAAATTTAAACGACGGAAGCGCCCACCGTAAGCAATTACAAATAATTCTCCCAGAAATAGTGAGGTTATGTCTCCTAAATAATGCCCTTATTAATATTAATTTTTTAAGGATTTAAAGGCGATTTTATCGCCGGTGTTGTGTTCAAATTGCTCAACAACCCTCGAAGACGTTTTTATTCTAAGAAAAACTTGGCTAGAATGCGAGAAAAAGCTAAAAAATTACTTGGAAAACACACATAACCTCAACAATCCTTGTTTATTTGATGTAATTAAGGAAGATAGTAAATTGGGGATTTCAAACGCTCCCATTAATTTAAACGAAGAAGAGGAAATAAAAAATGAGCTTGAATTAGATGATTTTAATTTGGATGAGGATATAAAAATCGAAAAAAATGAAATTTGTGATATTTGCACGAAAAATGAGTGTGATTGTCAATATTCTTGTTTGATATGCTCCAAAAAGTTTAAAACGTCGCTTAAATTACAACGACACAGCGTAACACACAACTCTAATAGACCACGGCCTTATTCATGTGATATTTGCCAAAAATGTTTTTATGTAAAATCCTCTTTAATTAATCATCAAGCAACTCATTCTGAGTCACGAAAATTCTCATGTGATCAATGTGAAGGATCTCAATTTGCTTGTAAAAAATATTTAAGTGACCACATAAGACGAGTGCATATAAAAAGGGAAGAAAAGTTATTCATTGGGGAATTCCGCTGCGATGTTTGTTTAAAAGTTTTTAGTACTTTATTAAAAATGAAACGGCATAAAGCAACATTGCATAAAACGAGGTCAAGGAAGCACATTTGTGAAGATTGTGGCCAAAGCTTTTATACAAAATCAACGCTAAATAATCATAAAGCAACGCATGTAATATCAAAAGAATTTTCTTGCGAAAAATGCGGATTGTGTTTTGCATCGAAAAAGTATTTAATGGATCATTCAAGACGGTTACATGAGACTTTAAAAAAAGTACAATCTGAAGTTGGCGTTTTTGAATGCGACATGTGTAATAAAAAATTTACACAAAAACGCTACCTCACTCAACATATATCAAACATACACATGGGAATAAAAAAAAAACGACCCCCAAAAAATTTAAAATGCGAATATTGTGGGAGAATTTTTACAAGCGATAACTTATTAACCCTACATTTACGCACTCACACCGGTGAGCGTCCCTACAAATGCGACGAGTGCGAAAAAAGTTTTGCTCAAGCAAGTTCGTTAAGAACACACAAACAAGCGATACACAGCAACGAAAAACCTTACGCTTGCGAGTATTGCGGTAAAAAATTCTCAACGAAGGGAATGTTATTAAAACATATTCAAAGTGTTCATATCGCCGATTCGATCCCAAAAAATCATAAATGCACCTTTTGTGGGAAAGCGTTTCGAACGCAAAGCCAAATGCTATCTCACATGAAATGGCACACAAACGATCGGCAATTTAGTTGCGACTTATGCGAAAAAAGTTTCGTTAATAACGGCGGTTTAAGAAAACATCGAAAAATTCATTTCGACGAAAAAGAACATAAATGCGAATTTTGTGGGAAAGGATTTCATCAAAAATTTAATTTAAAAATACATATGAAAGTACATATAAGAATTGAGTAAATAAAATATATATTTAAATTATTTTTTTTTGTTTTAAACGGTTTTATTTTAGACATTATCTATATTTTAATTCGGAGGAGTCTTTTCAAATTGAAGCGCCAGAAAGAGGGTCAGTTTTAACCAAAAATTACACTAGGAAAATTCGAGATGTTGCACGTCTCTCAGTCTAGGTCTTATGTTAGTGATAGTGCCAGTTTTAGTTCAATAAAAATATACAACATAGTGCGGAAAAGTAACTAACATTAGATTAACTTTAGTTATAAAACTTCTATTATATGATAACTAATCTCAATTTCAAATGTCAACCTCAATTTTTACTTATTTGTAATCTTCATTAAAAATCCTTTAAAATGAGTACAAACACGACATATTTATCTTCAATATTAATGAAATTATGGTCAACTTCGATTCGTGGTTTTCTATTATTTCGGGGGGATACAATTTAATTTCTTTCTGTCAAATTGTAAAGTTGATGACAGTTGGTAACAATAACAGGGAATTTTGTTATATTATGTTTTGAAATCAATTTGTGACATTATGACGTTTAAACTTCAGTTATTTAAAAAGAAAACCCAATTTTTGGTTTTATATTTAATTATTTCTGTAATAATTATAAACATCTCAACCTCAATTAACTAATGTCTAACAATGATACTAGAAATTTAAAAAATTATTAAGACACTAGGCAATAAAAACTTAAATCCTGACAGGTATAGATAAAGAGCCAACAAATAATTTTTTTAAAAAATTTGTAACTATCTTTAAATGTATTAAAACTGTTTATATAAATTATTATTATTATTAAAGATTTTTAATTTCAATTTTCGTACAAATGTCAAACAAAAAGGAAAATAAAAAAAAGGCTTGTTTTTTTAGGCTTTCGATGCATAACGACTGAATACATAAAGCTAAACCTGAATTTTTCTACTTCTAGGTCTAGTGTTAGTTCTAGTTTTAGTGCAACAAAAATATACAACATAGTGATATCTAACAACATCATGTTTGGACTCATTTTAATGTTTTTTTTATAAAGAATACATCATAAAAGAACACCATGAAGTTGTCCATTTGTTTATTATATGATAACTAACTTCAGATTTAGATTATGAACCTAAATTTGTAATCTTCATTAAAAATCCTTTAAAATGAGTACAAACATGACATATTTATCTTCAATATTAATGACGTTATGGTCAACTTTCGGTTACAAATGTCAACGTCAATTTTGACATATTTGTAATCGTCGTGAAAAATTCTTTAAAATGAGCCCAAATATGATACTTTAATTCCAATATTACTCGAGATATAAGCAACTTCCGATTTGAAATGTCAATGTCATTTCGACATATTTATAATATCTTATGCTAATTAGCGCTACCTATCACTGCTCCTAGAACTAACACTACACCGAGACCTAGAAACATTCGGATTTAGTCCCCTAAATTCTGTTATTGTTATTTAACCCTAAATTCTTGTACATTTTAATTGATCTAAAAAAAAAATTTTTTTCTTTATTTAATCCACTTACCTTGCTTATAATTTCATCCATTTACCCATGTTGAATTAAATACAACGTTTAAATCCAATTAATTAAGTGTTTTTCATTAAAAAAACTTAAATTTAATTTTGACAAGCACCTGCAATATTTGGATCTTAATCACCATGGTAACCGAGTCAAGTTGGATAACCTTAAAATAATAAAATTTTATTCCGATTTTTGTATCAATTCTAACCTAATTTTTATTAATTTGAAAACAATTCGTAAAGAGATTATCTCGCATTCACAACAAATTCGTTAATTGTAATTAATTTAAATCGAATTTAAATCTAATTAAGAGAAATAAATTTTTTGATTTAATCCACTTACCTTGTTTATAATTCCATAGATAAACCAATTTTGAGTTAAATACAGCCTTTTAAACCAATTAAATAAGACTTTTTTCTTAAAAAAAACAAATTTAATTTTGACAAGCACCTGCAATATTTGGATCTTAATCACCATGGTAACCGAGTCAAGTTGGATAACCTAAAAATAATAAAATTTTAACCGTTAATATTTCGCTTTATATTTTAATATTTTTTTAAATTTATTTTATATCTTTTTTTTTTAATATTTTTGTGTATTGCTTCTTAAGTGAAATACATTGTATAAATAAAAACATAGAAATGTCAATTCTTCCAATGACGTCAGCAAAACCTTTGCGGGGGGGATACGTTCATAAATTCATAACCTATGGAGTTGGATAACCTTATTAGTTTATTTATTACAAAATTTCATTACTTTCAATCAAGATGTCTTAAAAATTATAATAATAAGTATAGAGTGCAGAAGAATTTAAATAGATGGTGTAATAAATTTATATAATTAATTAATGGTAATAATAATAATGTAAATATTAAGATTATTTTAAAAAAATCTATTTTAAACAGTCCATTTTAGACATCGAGTTTCATAATGAGTATCCAAACACTTATTACTACACAATTTCGTTCCGCACGCAACACAAATATAGTTTCCATAGAATCCGCACACTGCACAAAAAGATAACGGGGGGAATTGGGAGTCTTCCACGGTGATAGATCCAAAAGAAATCCTCCCCGTTTCTTCGGCTTCTTTCCGATCATCCTCAATTAGTTGTTGAAACGTTTTCCGATACTTTAAAGGATAATACTCGGGGTTACGTTCCTTCTTTTTACTTCTCGTTCTCGACTCAAGATTATCCTCAAATTTCGGCAACTTTTTACTCATGACTAAATCGGCGTGAGGATCATCGTGAAAATTATCCATTTCAAGACTCTCCAAAAACTTTTTATGCCGCCTTTTTCGGGATGTTTCATCGACGATTCTTCGTTTCTCGCCTTCTTTGTAACGTTGCGATCCGCGCAGAACGGGTTTTGCGGACATAATAATAAATTTTTTAGGTTAATTTTTATTTGTTATCCTTTTCGCTGATTGGGTAACTAATTTGATCCATTAAATCATCAATTTTCGTTTGTAAACTATCCAATATATCGGCGGAGATAAAAAGGTGCCCTTCGTCCAAATCTTGAATTATAAATTTTCGCCCCAATTTCATCGTTTCATCTAAATGCAACAAGAATTGTTTCATTGCTGGGTCGCTAAAATTCATTTTTATGGGGGAAAGAAAGATTGGTGTTAATTCTACTTACCATTTAACTAAAATTCCTTTCATAACGTTCACCATGGCTTTTTTATTACTTTAAAAACGACACAAAATAAACTTTTATGGTTATAATATGACATAACCCCTCAAAAAAAGATTTGGCGATTTCGCCATCTCTCGGATGTTTTAAAAATTATAATTATAAGTGAAAAATAATTTAAATAGATGGCGCAATACTTTGGGAAATAATAAATTTATATAAATAATAATTAATTATTATTGGTGATAATAATAAAAATGGCGTATTAATAAGATTATTTTTAAAACGTTTTATTTCGCTTGACCCCATCACCGACTTACTTCCCATTTTCCATCCTTTTCCATCGCCTCATTAACGGTTTCTTTGTTCGGCCCTCAAATAGTTCCAATTTTCTCTGATAGTATATGGATTTTCGACATAAACTCGTTACCAATCAATTCCCCATGATCTTTTTAACGATCTTTATGCGTTTTTTTATCAAATTTTTTCGTCGTTTTGTTTAAATAAATGAATGTTATAAATAGAGGTGAACCGGTGTTGGAGAAGGATGGAACGATGAGTAAGCAGCGCCACTCCGTGTTGCCCGGGATCGTTCCAGCTGATTCTCAAGGCTGTTGCCAGGCGAGCACTTCATAAAATCGCTAGGCGCGTTCCCATTGGCTAAAACGGAAACCAGTACCGTATAGCATCAGCTGATGTTCCGTGTTGTTGCCACTTGGTTACAGTCGGTGTTGGGACGTCGAGTTGGCTGGGTCTCACAACCAGGCAATTTTCGATTTCACCAACAAAATCATTTAAACAAATAATTAACAATATCATTCATAACAATAATCTAATAATTTATATTAAATTAAATCCCACTATTAAATAGTAACACTTTGACTGATTTTTATTCGTGTTGTTTGTTGTCTTTGTTCTTTTTGGGACGTTCAAATAAGAAAGATAATGGAAAGTTAGACAAAAAAAATTACTAAAATGTTTAAAAACGGTTTTCAAGAAGAACGAGTCGAAGCCGATTCCAGGCTTCAACACGTCTTCAGCAAATTGACCGGTGTTTTTCCGAAAGCTGGCGACTTGGGAAACGGTCAAAATCAAAAAGTTATGTCTTCAGATATTATTGAATCAGTTCTCGCCGATTCACCAATTCCAGTTCAAAGTAAGTAAAAAAAATTTTAAAAAAGTAATTTTGACAGTTAATTGTAAGGTTAAGTATAAAATTAATTCAAAATTAAACAGTACCGGTTAATCCGGATTCTTTTTCACCTCATTTTCGCAAGAATTAACGTTTTATTATATATTTACGATTTTAACACCACTTTTTAATCATTTTAATTAAATCTTTTCAAACAATTTAGTTGTCACTGTCAACTTTAAACCTTTAAATAATACCAACCCAAAAAAAATACTTTTGATCCTTTTAATCTTAAAATATCGGTCAAAATCAAAAAGGTATGTCTTCGGATATTATTGAATCAGTTCTCGCCAAATCACCAATTCCAGTTCAAAATAAAAAAAAAAAAATTTTGACAATTAATTTTGAGGTTAAGTATAAAATTAATTCAAAATTAAATAGTACCGGTTAATTCGGATTCTCTTTCACCTCATTTTCGCAAGAATTAACGTTTTATTACACATTCACGATTTTAACATCACTTTTTAATCATTTTAATTAAATCTTTTTAAACCATTTAGTTGTCACTGTCAACTTTAAACCTTTAATTAATACCAACCTAAAAAAAAATTCTTTTGATCATTTTAATCTTAAAAAATCGGTCAAAAGTTAACTTAAAAACCATCAAATTAACAAATTCAATTGTTTTTTTTTATAATATTAATTCTCTTTTCAAACAACTTTTTGATTTTTTACTTAATTTTACCAAAAATTTTTTTTTAATAAAATTTGTTAAAAAGGATAATTTGATGTTAAAGATCGTCAAAAATCCTTTATTTTGATACCAAACTCGATATATTTCCGTTAAAACCCAAAAAAGTTAGGTTAAAAACCATCAAACGTCAAATTAAAAAATTCAATTGTTTTTTCATAATTAAAAATTAATATCTCCAAAACGATTAAAGATAAATAGGTGGTGTTTGGACTCTTTTCAAATAATTTTTTGATTTTCTACTTAATTTTGTGTTAAGAACCCCGATTTTCTTTATTTTTATTTATCAATAATTTTTTCAAAAAATTTTTTTTAACAAAATTTATTAAAAACAACAATCTGGGGTTAAGGATGATTAAAAATCCTTCATTTTGACACCAAACTCGATATATTTCTGTTAAAACCCAAAAAAGTTAGGTTAAAAACCATCAAATGTCAAACTAAAAAATTCAATTGTTTTTTTAATTAAAAATTAATATCCCCGAAACGATTAGAGATAAACTCGTCGAGTTTAGACTCTTTTCAAATAACTTTTTGATTTCTTACTTATTTTTTAATAATTTTTCCAAAAATTTTTTTGTTAATAAAGTTTATTGAAAAGAACAATTTGGAGTGAAAGATCGTCAAAAATCCTTTATTTTGATACCAAACTCGATATATTTCTGTTAAAACCCAAAAAAGTTAGGTTAAAAACCATCAAATGTCTAACTAAAAAATTCAATTGTTTTTTTATAATTAAAAATTAATATCTCCGAAACGATTAGAGATAAACTCGTCGAGTTTGGACTCTTTTCAAATAACTTTTTGATTTCTTACTTATTTTTTAATAATTTTTCCAAAAATTTTTTTGTTAATAGAGTTTATTAAAAAGAACAATTTGGAGTGAATGATCGTCAAAAATCCTTCATTTTGACACCAAACTCGATATATTTCTGTTAAAACCCAAAAAAAGTAAGGTAAAAACCATCAAACATCAAACAAATTCAATTGTTTTTGCTTAATTAAAGAAAGAGTTGTTCGAGGCTTTAGTGTAATGTCAAATGACATTGACATGTTGCATTTTATGTGTTAAATTTAAGTAAACTGTACTTAAAATCCTCTCTGGTTTTAAAACAATAAGTATAAATTTTGACAGTTAATTTTCAGGTTAAGTAAACATTAATTCAAAATTAAACAGTACCTGTTAATCCGGATTCTCTTTCACCCCATTTTCGCAAGAATTAACGTTTTAATACACATTCACAATCTTTACACCACTTAGAAACACTTTTTAATCATTTTAATTACCAAAATCTTTTTAAACAATTTAGTTGTCACTGTCAAACCTTTAATTAATACCAACCCAAAAAAAAATTTCTTTTGATCCTTTTAATCTTAAAACATTTTTTAATAATTAAAAAAACAATCTTAATTTATTGTTTTAAATGTACATTTTTATTTAATTTATATAAATTAAATAATAAATTAATTAAAAAAGAAAATTAATCCATATAGTAACGCCATCTATTATCACAAATATGTACTACATTATGAAGTGACAAATTATAACAATTTTAAAATGAATTTCATTTTTAGATTGGAATTTCGATTCATATTCATCCCAAGAAGATTGTAATTCATCATCGATTACTTCATTATCGAATCGTTTGGAAATGGAATTAAGAACGGCAAAGCGTACCCATTTATCGTGCGGTGAAGTTTTGTTACCATGCGGGCTTCTTCAACGGATTGCGAGGGATGTGTTGGCTATGGCCGAATCAGAACCTTGTGGGTTAAGAGGTTGCGTGCTCTATTTGGAGTTTGAAGGTGAAAATGGCAACATGAAGTTATCAACGATTAAATGTGACCCAATGACAGCTGCTACCTTTGAGTTGTATTTAACATTGAAGCAGTCTGTTGCTGGATGGAATTCGTTTATACCACAATTTATTAAGAATTTAACTAGAGGAGCTGGAACGGTTATGATAAGTCCAGCTTATACATTAAGCAAAAATAAATTGTATCGATCTTATATTGATTGAGGATGAGATGGAGGATGGTGAAGAAAAGTGGTTGTTTTTTTGAAGACTGACGAATCAAGAAAAATAGAAGACGTTGATGAAAACGAAATATTTAAAACATTTTTTTGTAAATATGAGTGGGTCGATTGAAAATTCTACGGTCTAATTACATGATTATTTCTTTTTTCTTATTGGGTTGATCATAAAATTTTCAGTTGTCCTACGATATAATTATTTAAAAAGATTATCACGAATTATTAAGGAAAAAAGCTTTTTCAAAGCGAGGTGGTGATAAAGTATTAGTAGTTGTTTAAGGTAATCGACTGAAAAGAAGAAGATTTCGCCCCTGAATTTCTTATGTGAGCCTTTTCGGTGGTGATATTAAACAAAAATTGAATGAATTTTCAAGGTGATATACAAAAAAAATTATTTAAAAAGAATATGTAACGATCTTTATATCCAATGTAATGAGTACCTGCGTAATTTTGCCCCCTTTATTTTTGTATTATTTTTTATTTAAACAAATATCGTACTTATAAGTTAAGAATTAGAATTTTTAATCGACAATACCGTTAAAAAACTTAAAAAAAAAATTAATAATTATTAAAAAAAGATAAAAAATAATTTGTAGAATCTCTAGTTTTTTTTTGTGATATTAATTTGTATGTATTATCAGTATTTTATAAGTATGTATTATTTCATAAGTATTATTATTATTAAAAAAAAAAAAGAAATTTAACAAAACTTCTCGAATTTAACGAAAAAAATAATAAATAAAAACTGCCAAAAATAAAAATAAAAGTAAAAAGCAGGACGAAAAATGCAGGGAATCCCAGAGTTGCATCAACTTAAACTTAAAAACATCTTGATATCATTCTGGGATACCCCAATAAATAGTTAAATACAAAAAATAATAAGTCTGTATACGGTAGAAAAAAAAAGATAACTTTTCGCTGTATGTTCGTATCTATCTCTGTCATAATCATAAAATAAAATAATATATCCTGTATTATACACGATTACACAAAAAGTAACCTAAAAAATTAAAGAACAAAAAAAAATATATAACAAACACGTCTTAGAGAGTTTTTAACAAAAATTCATTCTTTGTATTTATCGTCAAATTAAATTTTTCCTACTCCTTTCACTCTTCATTTTCGTTTCATTTACAACTATTTTTCAACGCGACTATGTGATAGTACGTTTAAAACTCGATTAAAAAAAAATCCCTTAAGAAAGCTTTTATAAAATAAATACAAATTATCAGTTATAAAATATTTAAGTAAAGATTTAATAAAATATGTCAATAAATACTTATTAGAAAATGACTTTGTTTTTATTTTAATCTTTTTATTCAAAATAAAGCTTTTTTAAATCAATTGTCAAAGCATTAAGTTGGTAACACTGCCTTTCAAGTTTTTAACACTTTTTTTATGGATTTTATCAAATTACAATCAAAAATTACAACAAATAGCTATTAGAATAAATTATGCGGGGCTTTTATAAAGACTTCCTGAAATAAATATGTTGTTTTTAATTAAAAAAAAATTATTAAAATGACCGTGAAGTTAGAAACGTTCGTTTTTAATTTTGACAGTTCCTAGCAAAAATTGTTTTAAATATTTTACAACAATAACTCATCTAAAGGAAAGTTTGGGTATATTAAGATGTTTTGGCAGATTTTGGAAGGCAAAAGATAGATGAGTTTGGGACGAGGGGACGCAGAAAATTGTAAACTTTTAATTATCAAAAGTTTTTTCTTATTATATTTCTTAAATTAATTAAAGAAGCACATTTATTTCTTTATTAATATCTTTGATTATATATAATATGGATTGGGCCAACGAGAGAGATAGCTTGCGCAAGGTGATCGAACCGAGATAGACATAGAAGCGTACTGACATATAATGGGCGTGCGTTCATTTTGGCGGTAAATTTAAAACAAAATTAATAAATGAAAAAAGAAAAAAAAAATAAAATAAAATTTCCTTATTATTTATAATACTTACAGGTGATGTGAAGCTGTATTATCGCGAACTTTGCACACGAAACAATACATTTTTAAACATAACGGTGTGACTGGCTGTGACACAACAAAACGATAAACGTCAGGGTTTGTGCGCATGCGCCCATCTGTTTAGTACAGTTTTATGTCTATCTTTGTTACACTTTCACATTATCGCTTTCCATCTGCGTCCATTCACCTTGAGCCACATTTTTGTTAGTAGATATATTCAAAGATATAATCAAAGATTAATATAGATCAGTATTTATTATTATTAATAAGAACTACAATTTTATTACTATTTAAATTATTGAGTAATATTCTTTAATAATGCAAAGGATAATATTTCGACAGTTTTAAACTTAATCGATAGATGGCACTGTTTACATTAGTTTATAATTTATTTCTTCATTAATATAAATAAATAATTATTTGTATGGATTAGTATTTATTATTACTAATAAGATTTCCTATTTGTATTCCTATTTAAATAATTGAGAAATAGTTTTTAATAATACAAAGAATATTTTGACAGTTCTAAACTTAATCGATAGATGGCACTGTTTGTATTATTTTAAAATTTATTTCTTTATTAATATAAATAAATAATTATTTGTATGGATTAGTATTTATGAGTACCATAAGATTTCTTATTTTTATTACTATTTAAATAATTGAGAAATATTTTTTAATAATGCAAGGAATAATATTTTGACAGTTCCAAATTATTTTTAAATTTATTTCTTTATTAATATAAATAAATAATTATTTATATAGATTAGTATTTATTATTACTAATAAGATTTCCTATTTTTATTACTATTTGATTTTTTTTTAATAAAGCAAATTTTAATATTTTTTTGACGGTTCCAAACTTCCTCGATAGATGGCGCCATTTGTATTATTTCATTATTTATTTCTTTATTAATATAAATAATTAATTATTTATATAGATTAGTTTTTATTATTACTAATAACAATTACTATTTTATTCCACAACTTAATCGATACACCATCATACTTAATCGTTTTATTTGACACGCCTTTTCGATTTTAACAATTTATAAGCTTCAATAACCTCTTTTTGTTGTAAATCTAATTGCCTTCTCGTTGCGGTGGGGAGATCTTTACGTTTACCTTTCCGATCCACACTTAATTTTAAATTTTCTTTAAGTAATAAATTCTTCATTCCAGGCTAAAAATGTTTCAATTATTAAATCAAATTTAATTAATACAAATTAATTAATACTCGGTGTGTTTCTTCAGTATTCCCTCCTTTCCTTGGTAAAACCAAACTAGGAGGACCATGCACAACCTCCCCAAACTTCACCTTATCCTCAAAACTTTTAAACTCATCATAATTAATATTTTCTTTCTTTTCTTTTTTAGCTTTAATCTTAACCGCACGTTTTTGCGATTTACTTAATTTAATAATATCATTTTTTTTCTTTTTTTTCTTCCCTTTATTATTATTATTCGTTTCTTTTTTAACTTTTTTATGATACTCCTCAATTTCATCTTTTTTTCGCTTAACAACTTCAACTTCCCCGGTTAAGGTGTTTCGTTTTATGTCAACCCCATATTTATCCTCAAATTTCGACTCCAAAATGATATTGTGACAAACGCGATTTACACGGTGCATAAATCTTTCATCACTTTCATTCTTATCCTGTTGAAAAACAGGTTCTGGTTTTTCACCTTCTCTCGGAGGCTTCACACCGTGTGGATGACTCGTTATTGGTTTTAAACCTTTACTTCGTTTCCGAATTCGCTTTAAACTAATTGTACCACTTTTTACTTTATCTTTTAAGGCAATTATTCGAGATAAACTTTTTGGGATTTGTTGATCCTCCGAGTTCGTTGGGGGTGCATTTATTTTGTTTTTAAGACTAAAATAAAAACATTAAATATATTTATTATTTAGATTAAATTATATTACAGCTCGTTTCTTTGTTGTTGCTGCTTTTCTGGGTCTCTTACACCGTGGTGCTTTCTTCCTGGTATTTTTCTACCCATATTTTAAAACTTTTTTAGGTTATATTAATGTCAAACGCGTTTTTTCATTTTTTTTAGGTTATGTGTCAAATGATCTAATTTTTTTTTATTATAATTTATATTAATAATTAATTATTAGTTATTTATTAAGTATTAACAATAAATAAAGTAATAAATTTATAAAACTTCATAACATTTTACTTTATTTTTATTTAAATTAAAAAAAATTCATTTAATCTAACTTTGACGTTTTAACCTCAAATTCCATAAAAAACCTTATAACCTTTGGCAAAGGCAGCCAAAATAAACCCAAATACACGATGATTATAGTTAATAGGTAGTGGTGAGACCCGAAATGATCCGGGGTATGCGTTGCATTAAAATTTTCCTTTAAATAAATTAACAATTTCTTTTTATCAGGGAAATTAAGTCTAAATTTGCTGTTGTGCACCCCATTTAGGGGGTTTTGTACCAAATCAAGTAATGAAACGAAAACTTCAACGGGGAAAAAAGCCTTGCCGGAACCACCAACGAATTGTTGCATGAGCGGTTGTGCGAATTGCGTTTGGTTGGATTACGCGGATGCTTTGACTGAGTATTTCAAAGATGGGGGTAAAAACGCTGTTATTGAGATCGAAAAAACCATTGATGACCCGATGATGAAGGCTTTTTTGATGCACGAACTAAGAATGAGGAAGAAATGAAACTAAACAAAGTGAAATAAAGAATTTATTTTTTGTAGCTTATTTTAAATAAAATTATAAATAAGGTGCTGAGATTATTTGTGCCCCATTACTCGGTGCACAAACATAAAACGTCGCTTTTCCTTTATATTTATCTCCAATGTTATTAATTACTTTATTCACAGCATCTTTTTGTACCTAAAAGAAGTTAATTAAAACAAATAATCATAAATTGACTTAAAATCTTACTAAAGTAACAGTACACCCCCCAAATCCACCCCCGGTAATCCTAGAACCATAAACACCATCAACCTCTAAAGCCAATTCAACTAATTCATCAATTTCCGGGCAAGAAACTTCATAATCATCTTTAAGGCTATAATGACTCTCAATCATTAATTTTCCAAATCGAACGAAATCTTTATTTCTCAACGCTTCGGCCGCCTCCGTCGTTCTCTTAATTTCCGAAATAACGTGTTTAGCACGTTTTATTATTACTTCATCAACATTTAAATTAATTAATTCTAAAAAAAATAAATTAATAAAATGTGAGCCATTTTGAATCGGTTTAGTTTATAATACGACCGCGAGTGGCGCTAGTGAAGAGAATTGTTAGGTTAAGAACGCCAAGAAAAGAACCGTTAAAAGTAGAGTTAAATTATAAATTAGAGGAAGAGGAGTGGAGTGTTTTATTATTTAAGAAAAGGTCGAACCGACAAACATAACCCCACAAAAAAATTACCTTCAACATCTTTTTTATCGGCATCCCTTAAACTAATCTTTTTTAATAAACTCGCAGCTTCGTAACATTGTTTCCTTCTCGTGGGATACTCAGACCCGGTCAATTCGTGCTTTACATTCGAATTAGTGATTAAAACGGCCACTTCATCGCTGACAAACGGAATTAATTTTGAGGTTATGTTTTGACAATCGATTAAAAGTGCTGTGTTTTCTTTACCCATAACAGATATGAATTGGTCCATAATTCCACAAGGAACACCCGCGTAATCATGTTCAGCACGTTGGCATGCCAAAGCTTTATCAGTCGGTCTAAAAAAAATATTTTAATTTTAATACATCGTATTAATTTTTTGATTCTTTTTACAAGACATCGTTTAATCCATTTAAAGCATCCAAAAAAGTGTAAGTTGCCACTTCTAAAGCTGCGCTACTCGATAATCCGCCTCCTAAAGGAACTGAAGAAATTATTACAGCTTCGAACGAGGAGGTTTTTCCAATGTAATTTGCTATTACACCTTTAATGAATTAATTTTTAGATTAATTTTGATTGATAGAGTTGATTTTTAATTTACCGAGAACGTAATTGGCCCATTTCGGTTTTGGATCGCTTTTAATACATTTTTTGAGGTTATCGATTGAAACTTTTTTATTTTCCTTTATATCTTCGCTTAAAGTTATAATAACGCTTTCGTTATTTTGAGTTTTATTTCCTACTATAATCGTAACCAAGGGTAAAGCCTAAAAATAAATTAATTTGTATTAATCAAATTGACAATGACATAACTTAAACGAGGTTATGTGTCAAAAATCAAAACGGCAACTTAAATCTTATTTTTTGCTTTTTTATTAAAATATTTATTTATTTTATTTATAACGATAAATTAACTCCTCTCACCATCGGTAACACAAATCCATCGTTATAATCAGTATGCTCCCCGATTAAATTAACTCTCCCAGGGGCGGCTACAACTATCTCAGCATCCGAATTAAACTCGTTTTTATAAACTTCTTTCGCTTTCCCCACCAAGGTTGTTAAATCGGGAATATTTGCCATTATTCGGTTAAAAAAATCAATTCCGTATGTATATTACCAGCTGTGTCAAATGTGTCGATTTGTGTTTTATGTTATTTAAACTTTTCGACCTCGACGTTTATTTCTATTCCACTGACTTTGAATTGCAAAGGACTTTCTGAGAGCCAGCATAAAATAATCATGTGATAACGGTTCAGATAAGTTATAAAATAATAACTCAAAAGGATTTTTTCCAATTTAATACAATGTCAGTATCGGATCCCCTTATAAAAGATCTTAAAGGTAATTTTAGATATCTACAAAAAAAAAGTGATTATTAACTAGCTGATTATAAATAAATACGAAAAGATTATTTTTAAATTTTGAGGTTATGTTATTTTTTTTTTTTATTATCTTAATAATGTTGTTTATATTTATTAGTTATGTATAAAACCCTATATGATCAACCTAAATCGTCGTTTTCACTTAATTTCTAATTATTTTTAACTTATTTCACCTAAAAAAAGTATTTAAATTTATTTTAAATTTGAGGTTATGTTTACATTTTAGGTTGTATTCTAAATTTTTTCGAAGAAATCAAAGAACTTAAGAATTAACTCTCCCAGGGGCGGCTGCAACAATCTCAGCATCCGAATTAAACTCGTTTTTATAAACTTCTTTCGCTTTCCCCAATAAAGTTGTTAAATCGGGAATATTTGCCATTATTCGGTTAAAAAATCAATTCCGTATGAGTATTACCAGCTGTGTCAAAAGTCTCGATTTGTTTTATGTTATTTAACCATTTCGACCTCGACGGTTATTTCTATTCCACAGACTTTGAATTGCAAAGGATTTTCTGAGAGCTAGCATAAAATAATCATGATAAGTTTTAAAATAATAACTCAAAAAGATTTTTTTCCCATTTAATACAATATCAGTATCGGATCCCCTTATAAAAGATCTTAAAGGTAATTTTAAATATCTAAATCACTCGATATCTACAAACTTATTTGAAGTTTAAATATAAACTTAACATAACCTCAAAATTGTGTTTTGACAATTGACATCTTAAAATTCTACCAATTTAATTCAAATTTATAATCTTTTTTTAATCATTTTTATAACGATTATTATTCAAAACAAGACGTTAATTAAACGTATTTTTATAAATGTTTAAAGATTAATTTTAATTTGTAATAAAAAGTGTTACCAACTTTTTTGGGTCGTTTTTCATTTTTTGACGTTATCGATTACAATTTTTTTATTTTCCTTTATATCTTCGCTTAAAGTTATAATAACGTTTTCGTTATTTTGAGTTTTATTTCCTGCTATAATCGTAACTAACAGTAAAGCCTAAAAATAAATTAATTTATATTAATCAAATTGACAATGACATAATTTAAAGAGGTTATGTGTCAAAAATCAAAACGACAACTTAAAAGTACTTAAATTTTATTTTTTGCGTTTTTATTAAAACATTTTAGTTTATTTATTATATTTATTTATAAACTTTCGCTTTCCCCACGAAAGGTGTTAAAATCGGGAATATTTTGGCATTATTAGGTTAAAAAATCAATTCCGTATGATTATTACAAGCTGTGTCAAAAGTCTCGTTTTGTGTTTTATGTTATTTAAACTTTTCGACCTCGACGATTATTTCTATTCCACTGACTTTGAATTGCAAAGGATTTTCTGAAAGCCAGCATAAAATAATCATGTGATAACGGTTCAGATAAGTTTTAAAATAATAACTCAAAAGATTTTTTTTCCATTTAATACAATGTCAGTATCGGATCCCCTTATAAAGGATCTTAAAGGTAATTTTAGATATCTACAAAAAAGTGGTTATTAACTAGCTGATTATAAATAAATACGAAAAAATTATTTTTAAATTTTGAGGTTATGTTGTTTTTTTTTTGTTATCTTAATAATGTTGTTTATATTTATTAGTTATGTATTAAACCCTATATGATCAACCTAAATCGTCGTTTTCACTTAATTTCTAATTATTTTTAACTTATTTCACCTAAAAACAGTATTTATTTAAATTTATTTTAAATTTGAGGTTATGTTTACATTTTAGGTTGCATTCTAAATTTTTTCGAAGAAATCAAAGAAAACGGCATAAACGATTCGAACCCAGATTTATTGGTGTTTTGTTCAACAACAGAAAAGATCTTCAGCACGGGATTAAATCAAATCCACAATACTTTGGGTTTTATAAAAAGCATCAATAATCCTTGGTTATGGCTCGATAAAATCGCCTCTGATAAAGCAATTTCTTTCACTTACCTTAATTGCGTTGAAAAAGTAAGAAAATGCAAAAGCATTCAAACCAACTTAGGGAGATTACGACTTCTCATAAGACTTTGTTTGTCTCAAAAATGTTTACACATTCCGTTGGAATATTTAGTGAGTTTTTAAAGATTTAAATTAATCAAAATTAATTAATTAATTTTTTAGATAACTTCAAAGAAGTTAAACGTGTATTATAACGAAAATTGCATTATTGGAGATGAAATTTTAAGCGAAATCTTACTTTCGGTGTTCCGACAAGTTTCAAAAATCCCTTTTCACCTCAACGTTAACAATAATTCTTTCTTGGATACTTCGTGGAACATGCCGGAAGTTTTACATGTTGAATTTGTACCTTGTGACACTCTCGGAATGACTGTTAGGTACTATTTTAATCAATTAAAATAAAAAATCATCAATCTTTTTGTATTTATAGCTTCTCTGGAGATAAAGCAGTGATTATGAGCATAAAATCAAACAGTGTAGCTTCAGAAAATGTAAAAGTAGCTTAATAATTCAATTTTGTTTTAATTCGTTTCAATTTTTAGGGGAACATTGAAATCGGTGATATCCTCGAATCATTAAACGGTTGCCTTATAACTTCATCAACAAAAAATCGTCTTCGTCACATTTTTAAAAGCGCAAAAGGACGTCCGGTAACCCTCACGATAATCAAAGCGGTTCGGGGTGATTTAAAACAAATTTATGGCCCAATTTTAACCGTTTTAAAGGATGTTCGATTAGATCCTGATATTTTAAGGAGTAGATTGTCTGAATGCACTGATTCAAACGATAATTTACGAAGGAAATACACCGGGAGTGGTTTGCGTGTAACTTACATGGGTTATGTGGTTGTTGGTTCTAAAGGTGATGTTAAACAAATTGATAAAGCCGTTTCAAGCGTTTTTAATCCGTCGATGAATAACGAGGCTACGAAATATTTTAAAACTCGCAAAGATGTTTGTTTTGAATTGGGGGAGTTGGGGGTGAAATGTATTGATTTGGCGACGTCGGAAATTGTTACGAAACATTCTTATATGGAGATTTCTTCGTGTGGGAGTGTTGCTTCATTACCGAATTATTTTGCTTATATTGCTGGGTAATTAATTAATAAAAAGTTGGGTTAATTTTTTTTTTAATATTTTTTTTTTAGTGATGATTATTGTAACACAGCGAAGATTTTTACGTGCTACATTTTCTTCGGGAGATCAAATGAAATGGTTATGACAATTTTGCAGAGTATTGGTCAAGGATTTCATCGGACTCACTTTGCCGTTTAAGGCTGTGATATTATTATCATTACAAAGAATAGATTCTTACATTAATTTATTTTACTTTTAAGATATAAATTTATTGTATTTATTTATTATCTACATTAAATATAACATATCATTACATTTTTTTTTAATTTTAGTCATTTTCGTCGAGGTTGGTAACACTTTTTATAACAAATTAAAGTTAATCTTTAAACATTTATAAAAATACGTTTAATTAATGTCTTGTTTTGAATAATAATCGTTATAAAAATGTTATAAATTAAATGTTTAAAAAAAGATTATTAATATGAATTAAATTGGTAAAATTTTAAGATTTGTCAAAACACGATTTTGAGGTTATGCTAAGTTTATATCAAATAAGTTTGTAGATATGAAGTGATTTAGATAAGTAAATAAAACATAACTTAAGTAACATTCAAGAACGAATATTAAAAAAAAAAAAAATAAATAAATTAGCGCCATCTAGGGACAATCCTCCGTATTAATAGTATTTTGACATTTCAAAACCACCGTTTGTATTCCTTCTTAAAATCATCGAATTTTACAAAAAATAAGTTTAATTGCACCAAATAACCCATCAAAACACATTTTTGAACGCGCATAGTACCTATTCAAAGTGATTTTAGGTCCCACGAAAAGATTTTTGTTCCACAAATGTATCAAAGAAGTTTTTATTGAAACATAACCTCACTTTTTTTAAATTGGAATTTGGGGTTATTCATCAAAATAAAGTTGTAAGTTCATTACTTGTATAATTTATGAATTTGTTGGGTAAAACTTTTACTATTTCTAAGTATTTTTAGGATCAATTTTATTCATTTATTTTTTTAGGAAAAAACTTGGAATTTATTAATTTATTAATAAGATGTTCATGTTACATCTCAATTGAATCATCTTTACGCCGGGATTTAGTAAGATAAGTAAGTAAAACATAACTTAAGAACGAATATTAAAAAAAAAAATAATTAAATTAGCGCCATCTAGGGACAATCCTCCATATTAATAGTATTTTGACATTTCAAAACCACCGTTTGTATTTCTTCTTAAAATCATCGAATTTTACAAAAAATAAGTTTAATTGCACCAAATAACCCATCAAAATACATTTTTGAACGCGCAAAGTACCTATTCAAAGTGATTTTAGGTCCCACGAAAAGATTTTTACTCCACAAATGTATCAAAGAAGTTTTTATCGAAACATAACCCCACTTTTTTTTTATTGGGAATTTGGGGCGATTCATCAAGATAAAGTTGTAAGTTCATTAATTATACTATTTATGAATTTGTTGGGTAAAACTTTTACTATTTCTACGTATTTTTATTATCAATTTTATTCATTTACTTTTTTAGGAAAAAATTTGGAGTTGATAAATGCAAAATTGGTTTGTATCGGATATTTTCTTCATGTTACATCTCAATTGGATCATATTTACACCGGGATTTAGTAAAATAAGTAAGTAAAACATAACTTTAGTAACATTCAAGAACGAATATTAAAAAAAAAAATAAATAAATTAGCGCCATCTAGGGACAATCCTCCATATTAATAGTATTTTGACATTTCAAAACCACCGTTTGTATTCCTTTCTTAAAATCATCGAATTTTACAAAAAAAAAGTTTAATTGTGCCAAATAACCCATCAAAACACATTTTTGAACGCGCAAAGTACCTATTCAAAGTGATTTTAGGTCCCACGAAAAGATTTTTACTCCACAAATGTATCAAAGAAGTTTTTATCGAAACATAACCTCACTTTTTTTTATTGAGAATTTGAGGCGATTCATCAAAATAAAGTTGTAAGTTCACTAATTATACTATTTATGAATTTGTTGGTTAAAACTTTTACTATTTCTAAGTATTTTTGGAATCAATTTTTTTAATGTTTTAAAATTAATTAATCAAATTTAATGAAAGAATTAAAAGTTTACTAAAATTAATTACTTACAATGAAACAAGAATTAGAATTTAATTAATTTTCGCATTTCCGCCTGTTCTTTTCTTTGTTTGATTTTGGATCATTACCTAGTAGTAAACATCTGGCGCGTATTTCTCTAACATTTACAAAGTCAATTTGGCTTTACCTCTTTCTTTATCGCATTTACATTACTTTACCATGGCTGATAAGCTCGCAAAAACCTTATTACGCCATAATATCGAATTGAATCGATTGAAAACGTAGAAGGGCTTCGAACCTTAGGATTTCCTTTGGATTTTTTAGTACTTAATATTTTACTGCAAAAGATCTCTCTAAAAAAGCTCTTTCGAAATTCCGACGTTTCTTGAAGGGCACGCAAAACATAGAAAACATGTGGAAAATGAAATTTTCTACTTTTAGGTCTAGTGTTAGTTCTAGTTTTATATCATTAAGACGAAGACTAGACCTAGAACTAGAATTGTTCAGCTAAACCTGAATGTTTCTAGTTCTAAATCTATGAACTCAACTTACCCTTAAAATGACTTATTATAATATACCCAGGACATATTCAAAATCAAACATGCACCTTATAATAAAGTTATAATAATAAATTAATAATGAAAATACAATTATATACAAGTATATTTAAAAATTAAACCTTCGTCATTTGGTTATTTTAAATATACCAACACCTTTCTTTCCAGTTTTTCCTTCATTTTTCACTCCAGGTCCTAATAACATACAAGCTTTATCCTCTTCGTGCGGGGAAGAACTTTCATTTGAAGCACCAATATTTCTTTTAAACTGCAATTTTTGTTTGATTGCTTGTGATAAAATAACTTTTCGACTATCGTTATTAATAGCCATTAATAAATCTAACCAAGTCCAAGTGACATTGTGATATTCCAACGTGGGAATGATAAGGGAAAAATCTCGGATATCCTCAAGATTTTTTTCTTTATTTCCTTTGTAACTAACTCTAACCGGAACTTCGGGAATTTTAATATAAATAAATAACTTATTTTTTTCAGCCCGTTCCTTCATTTTCTCAACATCATCAACGGGAATGTAAAAATTCGAATCCCGGCTTCGTTTCGTAGACGATCTTAACTTTTTATTTTTAGTGAAAGGCTCCGCGGGTTGTTGTTCGATATCTTCCCCACGATCAGCTTCGATATTATCCGGATCCCTCTCGGGAAAACAAAATTTCAACATGGTGTTATAAAACTTCTTAGTTAAACCGATCGTTAATGGAACAACGTTTATTTCAAAATGTTCTTTAACGGAAATCCCTCCAACGGGGGGTTTTTCCCTACAAAATATTCGCACAACCCTTTTATGCTCAACAGGCATATTGCTTTGAATTTCAGTTGGGCAAAGAACTTCTTTATATATTTGATTAGGTAACAAATTCGTCATGCGTAAATAACCTAATTCGAGGAGATGTTCAACGGAATCATCACTTTTCGATGTTTTCGTATAAAGAAAATTACTTAGAACTAAATCGGCAATTCCAATTTGCCCATCGGCCTCGGTTAGTCTCCATTGGGCGTGTTTAAAAAAAATTTCGTTCGCTTTTACGATTATTAAGGGTTTATCACTACGTAAAGTGGCTAAACGATTATTTGCAAGCAATTGGGATTCTTTATAACAAGATAACATCATGTCTAATTCCTCACTGTGAGCGTTTAATTGATTTTTGCACTCATAAACTAAGCTTTCTAACGATTCCATTTCTTTTAAAATTTCTTTATTTAATGGATCTTCCAATAAAGTTTTATGAACCAAATACGTCTCTTTTTCTAATCGTCTTAATTTACTCATTGTTGATCTTATTTGGGTTTGCAAATTTTGAATGGGACGACGTTGATCTTCAATACTATGTAATTGCAATTGAAATCGCATTCGCGCTAATCGTTCCGATGCTTCTTTTCGATGGGGTTCAACATATAATAATAAATTATTTACTATATCCAATAACATGGTATACTAAAACATTTAATTAGTATTAATGATTCAGTGAGGTTAAGTTACGAGCGTAGCGAGTGGCATAATTAATAATAATATAATACTTTTTTCTTCAAACGTCATTAAATGACAACTTTGTTGTCGTGTTTACTCGCGGTAGAAGTAAGTCATTGTTGCATAACGACGGTTGCTAAGATCAACATAGCAAAAAAGTACTTCAGCGTTATGGCGCTAAAGTAAATTTCACTTTAGCGCCATAACGTTGAAGAACATTTCACTTTAGCGCCGTATTATTTGCAACGTTTGAAGAAAAAATACTATGTTTTATTCGGAAGAGAAGCAGATTCGTTTGTGGCTGGTCCGTCATTGCCGGACTCACTTCGTTCGTCCGGCAAACTGTCGGACACGCCACAATTTTAACGGCTCATCTGTCATTAGCGACTCACTGCGTTCGTCGCTAAGCGACAGACCACGCCATAAAAAGCACTGCTTCTCTTCCATATAAAACAATATACTATTTCCACGACTACTATTGATATTGATTCCATAAATTATTATTTTTTTAAATAAATTTTTGAATAAAGTTTAAACGTCAATGTGACATAAATTCAATGTTACCAACTTCACAATTTGTCAAAATTAAATGTCAATTTTATGAAACGTCGTTTTGTTTTAAGAAAATTAATTAGTTTTCCGTTGATTATCTTTTCAACTAAATAGAGAAATTCCATCATTGAAAAATCACCCAATTCTATCACTGGCAAACTTTAAGAAAGTCTAATAAAGCAGTCAATTTAATAAATATTCTCGAATGAAATCTGTAATACCGACCCGACCGACCACTATATCTATTCGGTAAGACTACAATATTAAATTTCGACGTTTGACACATTAAAAGTGAGGTTAGATTTTTATATTAAAATAGGTGTCATTAATAAATGATTTTGTATACATTTATAAATCATATAAATATACGATCGACGGAAAAAGAAATTTGTTTTTGAAACCTTTAAAAAGTCCTAAAAAAATTATTTGACGTTTTTTGAAATTTTGACGTTTCAAATAATTATTATTAGTCTGTCAAATTGATATGTCCTTTTGTATTAGAAAACTCATTTATAAAGTATATATTATAAGATAGTTGTGGACAAATTTATTTTTTTAAATAAATTTTTGAATAAAGTTTAAACGTCAATGTGACATAAATTCAATGTTACCAACTTCACAATTTGTCAAAATTAAACGTCAATTTTTTGAAACGTCGTTTTGTTTTAAGAAAATTAATTAGTTTTCCGTTGATTATCATTTCAACTAAATAGAGAAATTCCATCATTGAAAAATCACTCAATTCTATCACTGGCAAACTTTAAGAAAGTCTAATAAAGCAGTCAATTTAATAAATATTCTCGAATGAAATCTGTAATACCGACCCGACCGACCACTATATCTATTCGGTAAGACTGCAATATTAAATTTCGACTTTTGACACATTAAAAGTGAGGTTAGATTTTTATATTAAAATAGGTGTCATTAATGAATGATTTTGTATACATTTATAAATCATATAAATACACGATCGACGGAAAAAGGAATTTGTTTTTGAAACCTTTAAAAAGTCCTAAAAAAATTATTTGACGTTTCAAATAATTATTATTAGTCTGTCAAATTGATATGTCCTTTTGTATTAGAAAACTCATTTATAAAGTATATATTTGCACGGAACTTTTGTAACAAAACAATACGATTTCCCCCCTCCACTCGTTCTCAGCAGAAAATTTCATACAAAAGTTGTTCTAAATTAAATTCTAAAACGATTTTCTCAATAAAAATATGTATAAAAATATACATACACAAATTTTTTTGAGATTATGTTCCTAATTATTGATCAAATCAAAAAGTTTTATTATTAACAATATTTGTTTAAAATTACTTCAGGAACAGTGTTTGTTAATACAATTTTTTGCTAACTTGAAATTTTAATTTCCCTCTGAATAGTATTCTATCAAAATTAATTATCTCAATAATTATTGTTTCTATCAAAAAATGTTTTAAATAAAATTTGTTTCAATTTCGATTTTGAATCAATTATCTGAATAAAAAAATTTTACATCTCTATTAATTAAGCATCTAAGTATAATTATGTATAAACATGGAAAAATTATTATTTTGAGGTTATCTCCTTAATTATTGATTAAATCAAAAAATTTTGTTAACAATGTTTGTTAAGAATTGCTTCAGGAACAATGTTTATTAAAACAATTTTTTTCTAACTTGAAATTTTAATTTCCCACTGAACAGTATGCTACAAAAATTAATATTTTTGAGGTTATATCCTTATTGTTGATTTAATCAAAAAATGTTGTTAACAATATTTGTTTAAAATTACTTCAGGAACAGTGTTTGTTAAAACAATTTTTTTCTAACTTGAAATTTTAATTTCCCACTGAACAGTATGCTGTTCTTTTAATCACAACGAGGGGAGGGGGGAAATCGTATCGTTTTGTTACAAAAGTTCCGTGCCCTAATTATAAGGTAGTCGTGGACAAATTTATTTATAAGGCGAAAATTAACTTACTTGCAAAGAATTTGTGCAAACATCTAAATCGTGATGCATTAATGTAAAAGCATCGATTGCAGTTTGGCGTTGATCCCAAGGGCTTACATCTTCTTGTGGGGGTGGGGGAACTTCCCCAACAGCTCCCGGATCAACGCTAATATCCCCATAACCCACGTAAAAAAATTCGCATTTACAGCGAGATACAATTCTTTGTAATTGAATTGGGGAGTTATCGGCTAAACTGCTTGCTCCAACCGTATCACTAACGACGGCCCCAACTGAAACTCCACTCCCAACCATATTTGGAACCTCCGAAATCATCGCCATTTCGTTTAAACTCGATGAATCTTTTTCTTGGATGTTATCGACCGTTAACCACATGATGTTTTCTAATAAATGAATTCAAGAATCATCATGTCGCTTAATAATCGCAGTTACAAATAAAAATAAAGTGCGGAAAAGTTTAAAACTTACCGAAAAATCATACATTTAGTTAAAACGCATATTTTCGAGTGAAATACGGTTGTTTCTTAGGTTTTCGACGCACAACGACTAAAATGTCGTTATGTACCATCTATAAAACCCTCAATCCCTAAATTTATTGGTTCCTAAATGCTAGATACAGTTGGCCAAAGACTAGTTATTGCTATCAAAAGATTAAATGCTGGTAAAAGACTAAAAACTGTTTTGAAAAAGGAAATACAATTTCAATAAGTTAGCTACTGCTTTTAAAATGCTAGATACCGATAGAAAAAGACCACAACTTACTTGGAAAAGACTAGATACTGTTTTCAAAATAATACCTATCGCTTCCAGAACGCTAAACACTCCTATTAAAGGTTTCGACCTACTTGGCCAGGAGAAATACTGCGCCCAAGACTACTTATTGCTTTCAAAGACCTTAATAATTGTTTGGAAAAGAGATATGCTCTCCAAAAAGCTACCTACTGTTTCCAAAATGCTACATACTGGTGGAAAAGATTACAATCTGCTTGGAGAAGACTATATAGTGCTAACAAACAATTACAAACTGATTGGAAAGACAAGATACTGTTTCCAAAAGACTATTAACTACATGCAGAATGCTAAATATGGTTGGAAAGACTATTTAATGCTTTCAAAAGACTATCTACTGCTGTCAAAACACTATTATGTGCTTGGAACTACTCTTCTGTTGAGTGATATCTTTCTGTGTCCCCTCCTCCTGATCGACTTCCGGTTATAAATATTAACTTTAATTTTATTAAATTCTTTATCTTTACGAAAAATCCTTTAAAATTAGTCCAAACTCGACTATTTTATCTCAAAAAATAACAAAGATACAACTAAAAGTTGATAAATTTAAAGTTAACAAAGTGAAGTTGGCAACGAAAAGTTAAAAATGTTCATTTTTGAGATAATCCCATCGTGTTTGGCCTCATTCTAAAAGATTTTTCGCAAAGATTATGAATATAACAAAATTGATGTTGATATTTCAAACCGGAAGTACCCCGTATTTCGATTATTTTTAATGTTGAATGTTTTTTTTTGTAATATTCATTAAAATAAATACAAATATAGCATGATTAACTTAAAAATAACCTTTAATGGTCGACTTCCGGTTATAAATATTAACTTTAATTTTTTTAAATTTTTAATCTTTACGAAAAATCCTTTAAAATGAGTCCAAACTCGACTATTTTATCTCAAAAAATAACAAAGATACAACAAAAAGTTGATAAATTTAAAGTTAACAAAGTGAAGTTGGCAATGAAATGTTAAAAATGTTCATTTTTGAGATAATCCCATTGTGTTTGGCCTCATTTTAAAGGATTTTTCGCAAAGATTATGAATATAACAAAATTGAAGCTGATATTTCAAACCGGAAGTACTCCGTATTTCGATTATTTTTAATGTTGAATGTTTTTTTTGTAATATTCATTAAAATAAATACAAATATAGCATGATTAACTTAAAAATAACCTTTAATGGTCGACTTCCGGTTATAAATATCAATTTTAATTTTATTAAATTCTTAATTTTTACGAAAAATCCTTTAAAATGAGTCCAAACTCGACTATTTTATCTCAAAAAATAACAAAGATACAACTAAAAGTTGATAAATTTAAAGTTAACAAAGTGAAGTTGGCAACGAAAAGTTAAAAATGTTCATTTTTGAGATAATCCCATCGTGTTTGGCCTCATTCTAAAAGATTTTTCGCAAAGATTATGAATATAACAAAATTGATGTTGATATTTCAAACCGGAAGTACCCCGTATTTCGATTATTTTTAATGTTGAATGTTTTTTTTTGTAATATTCATTAAAATAAATACAAATATAGCATGATTAACTTAAAAATAACCTTTAATGGTCGACTTCCGGTTATAAATATTAACTTTAATTTTTTTAAATTTTTAATCTTTACGAAAAATCCTTTAAAATGAGTCCAAACTCGACTATTTTATCTCAAAAAATAACAAAGATACAACAAAAAGTTGATAAATTTAAAGTTAACAAAGTGAAGTTGGCAACGAAATGTTAATTTTTGAGATAATCCCATCGTGTTTGGGCTCATTTTAAAGGATTTTTCGCAAAGATTATGAATATAACAAAATTGAAGTTGATATTTCAAACCGGAAGTACCCCGTATTTCGATTATTTTTAATGTTGAATGTTTTTTTTTGTAATATTCATTAAAATAAATACAAATATAGCATGATTAACTTAAAAATAACCTTTAATGGTCGACTTCCGGTTATAAATATTAACTTTAATTTTTTTAAATTTTTAATCTTTACGAAAAATCCTTTAAAATGAGTCCAAACTCGACTATTTTATCTCAAAAAATAACAAAGATACAACAAAAAGTTGATAAATTTAAAGTTAACAAAGTGAAGTTGGCAACGAAATGTTAAAAATGTTCATTTTTGAGATAATCCCATCGTGTTTGGCCTCATTTTAAAGGATTTTTCGTAAAGATTATGAATATAACAAAATTAAAGTTGATATTTAAACCGGAAGTACCTCATATTTCGATAATTTTTAATGTTTTTTTTTTGTAATATTCATTAAATATTCATTAAAATAAATACCAATATAGCATGATTAACTTAAAAATAACCTTTAATGGCCGACTTCCGGTTATAAATATCATCTTTAATTTTATTAAATTCTTAATCTTTACGAAAAATCCTTTAAAATGAGTCCAAACTCGACTATTTTATCGCAAAAAATAACAAACATACAACAAAAAGTTAATAAATTTAAAGTTAACGACGTGACGTTGGCAACGAAATGTTAAAAATGTTCATTTTTGAGATAATCCCATCGTGTTTGGCCTCATTTGAAAGGATTTTTCGTAAAGATTATGAATATAACAAAATTAAAGTTGATATTTCAAACCGGAAGTACCCCGTATTTCGATTATTTTTAATGTTGAATGTTTTTTTTGTAATATTCATCAAACATTCATTAAAATAAATACAAATATAGCATGATTAACTTAAAAATAACCTTTAATGGTCGACTTCCTTTTATAAATATCAATTTTAATTTTATTAAATTCTTAATTTTTACGAAAAATCCTTTAAAATGAGTCCAAACTCGACTATTTTATCTCAAAAAATAACAAAGATACAACTAAAAGTTGATAAATTTAAAGTTAACAAAGTGAAGTTGGCAACGAAAAGTTAAAAATGTTCATTTTTGAGATAATCCCATCGTGTTTGGCCTCATTCTAAAAGATTTTTCGCAAAGATTATGAATATAACAAAATTGATGTTGATATTTCAAACCGGAAGTACCCCGTATTTCGATTATTTTTAATGTTGAATGTTTTTTTTGTAATATTCATTAAAATAAATACAAATATAGCATGATTAACTTAAAAATAACCTTTAATGGTCGACTTCCGGTTATAAATATTAACTTTAATTTTTTTAAATTTTTAATCTTTACGAAAAATCCTTTAAAATGAGTCCAAACTCGACTATTTTATCTCAAAAAATAACAAAGATACAACAAAAAGTTGATAAATTTAAAGTTAACAAAGCGAAGTTGGCAACGAAAAGTTAAAAATGTTCATTTTTGAGATAATCCCATCGTGTTTGGTCTCATTTTAAAGGATTTTTCGCAAAGATTATGAATATAACAAAATTGAAGCTGATATTTCAAACCGGAAGTATCCCGTATTTCGATTATTTTTAATGTTGAATGTTTTTACTAATAGTCAGTCGTTATGCATCGAAAGCCTAAGAAAAACAACGGTGTTTCATCCATAAATATACGCTCTAATTTCACTTAATTTAGTTTATCAGATTGATTTTGTGCGTGGCTATCAAATAAACAATTTCTAGGTTATGCGTTGACCAGTTTAATAGGAAATGTTGATTGATTCTACTGATTTTTCGGTATGTTCTTGAATTCTTCCAAACATAATCTTAATAATACAAATATGAATTAAATACCGTTTAATGTGTCGTTTTCCCCCGCATTTACCGTAGCGTAATACTGCAAACATTCCAAATTCCCGACCCAAGTCGTTTTGGAAACCAAGGTACGTTCTTTCCATGCCGGGCGATGGATTCTTTGTACAATTTCAGCTTTCGCAGCGCTTAAAATAACGTATCCTTTCGTTTCACAACCTTTCAGTAACACTTGGGCGTTAACCAAAGCAACTAAAAATTATTTAACTTAAAAATATTTTGAATGTCAAATAAACGTCAAAAAAAAAATTAGTACCAACTTAAATTTAGTAATTTTTTTTTTAATTAATTATGTTAATGGTAATGATAAATAATTAATTTATTATGTTTTTAGATTTAATATTAGAATTATTTGAATGCGTTTGATATTAAATTAAAAAAAATATTCTAAATAAATTATTTTTTTTAATTTAATTAATTTGACGTAAACGTCAAATTAATCAAGATAACCTTAAAATATTAAAATTAACTTACTTTGCCAATTTTTATGTTGTACATCATCCTCTTGACACGCTTGAAGCCCCTGTAAATTTTGTTGTCTCGTAGCCGATGATAAATCATCGCTAAATACAACCGCTTTATTTTCGGCTTCTGCGATTAATTGTTGAAGCATATTAACGGCATGCACGGACTGTAATTTAGTTAATGGTGATGGTGTGTCTTGTAGCGATTGTGCTTGAATGGATTGAATCGTCGCGTTTGGAGGGGTTCCCGGCCCCTCTTGATTATTAATCCGTTTTTTAAGCGGTGTGGTGTTTGTTTCTTTCCGGAAACCTTTTAAAGCTTCCGTCGATAAATTTTTTTTCATTTGCTACAACAATAAATAAATAAAATTTATTTTAAAACGTTTTATGATTTTATACTTTGCTTTTAACGAACGTATCAAAAAGGGTAAACGCTACGTTTCGATTACTTTTAGTCCAAGCACCTTTTAAATCGTAAACAACCAAGCGATGGGTTGGGGTGTCTTTGTTTTTTTCGCCGACATGTTCTCGATTTGGAACGACGGTTTCTCTTCCATACGAAACTTTAGCTACCGATAAGCAGTAACATTTCTCAACGGGTAATCGGAAACTCTTTTCGGTTTCGGGATCATCTTGTAAAGCGCTTTTTAACCAGATTTCTGAGTCGTTTAATTCCGAATTCATGTAAACGATGGACCATTCCGCTTTAGGACGATGCTTTAACCCATCATCAATCGGAATTAACGATAAAGAATGTTCCGAACACAGTGATAATCGCCCACCGAGTAATTCGCAACCTCTTTGCATCGCAAACGACATCCAATAACAAACTTGGAATTTATGAATGCTCATTCTGAGATGGAGCTTTTTATAGTGTCGGCTTAATTGGACTTTTTTCGGACGAACGTTGTTAAAAATCGGCCCTCGCCGCGTTGGGCGAGTTATTCCAGATAAAATTAATTTTAAATTCTCAAACCAACGCAAGGTACTCCCAAAAAGTAATAAAACTGGGATATCGGCGTTCGTTGGGGATTGATTCGAAATTGATTTTGTCTCCAAAGTTATTGCTAAATTTACGTTTTGTGATCGGAATGCTCTAAATGAATCGTGAACCTAAAACAAATTACTTAATTATTACTAAATAAATAATAAATCAATTAATTAACTTGATTAATTGAATATTCCGGAATTTTGTTTGGAGCGCAATAAATAACGTTGTGGTGATCGTTCGGATTCGCAAGACACAACCAAGAAATATCAACTATTAACTTCATATTTGGTAAATGTAAAAGGTTACAATCATCGTATTTAGAAGCCGTTCTCACGTAAATATTAAAATCTCCTTTAAATAAGAACCTAGCTAAACAAAAAATAGATATTATTATTTATATAGGAGAATATAATGAGATACTTTGTCCACGACTACTATTGAAATTGATAAATTCATTTTTATAAGTTTATGAATAAAGTTTAAACGTCAATGTGACACAAATTCAATGTTACCAACTGTAACCAACTTCACAACAATTTGTCAAAATTAAATGTCAAATTTAATCAACGATTTTTAAAAATATATATCACACGAATGGTTCATCTTGGAAAGTTCAAATTTGGTATAACCTAACTTGAAACGTTAATTTATAACCTCAAAAAGTTTCGTTTCTTAATTCCTAGTCGTTTGGGAGAGATCAATTTTCTCTTCAACCTCACTTTCAATAAACGTCAATTTAAATTTGCGATTTTCAAATATTTTTATAAAATGAATCATTGATCTTGGAACTTTAAAATTTGGTATAATACAACCTCAAACATTCCTTTATAACCTCAAAAAGTTTCATTTCTTAAGTCCTAACCGTATTGGAGAAAAAAAATTTTTTTAACCTCACTTACGATAAACGTCAAATTTAATCAGCGAATTTTTAAAGATATATATCACATGAACGGTTCATCTTGGAAAGATCAAATTTGGGATAACCTAACTTGAAACGTTAATTTATAACCTCAAAAAGTTTCGTTTCTTAATTCCTAGTCGTTTGGGAGAGAACAATTTTCTCTTCAACCTCACTTTCAATAAACGTCAATTTAAATTTGCGATTATCAAAAATGTATATAAAGTGTATTATTGATTTTGGAACTTTAAAATTTGGTGTAATACAACCTCAAACATTTCTTTATAACCTCAAAAAGTTTCATTTCTTTAGTCCTAACCGTATTGGAGAAAAAAATTTTTTTTAACCTCACTTACGATAAACGTCAAATTTAATCAGCGATTTTTAAAAATATATATCACATGAACGGTTCATCTTGGAAAGTTCAAATTTGGGATAACGTAACTTGAAACGTTAATTTATAACCTCAAAAAGTTTCGTTTCTTAATTCCTAGTCGTTTGGGAGAGAACAATTTTCTCTTCAACCTCACTTTCAATAAACGTCAATTTAAATTTGCGATTATCAAAAATGTATATAAAGTGTATTATTGATTTTGGAACTTTAAAATTTGGTGTAATACAACCTCAAACATTTCTTTATAACCTCAAAAAGTTTCATTTCTTTAGTCCTAACCGTATTGGAGAAAAAAATTTTTTTTAACCTCACTTACGATAAACGTCAAATTTAATCAGCGATTTTTAAAAATATATATCACATGAACGGTTCATCTTGGAAAGTTCAAATTTGGGATAACGTAACTTGAAACGTTAATTTATAACCTCAAAAAGTTTCGTTTCTTAATTCCTAGTCGTTTGGGAGAGAACAATTTTCTCTTCAACCTCACTTTCAATAAACGTCAATTTAAATTTGCGATTATCAAAAATGTATATAAAGTGTATTATTGATTTTGGAACTTTAAAATTTGGTGTAATACAACCTCAAACATTTCTTTATAACCTCAAAAAGTTTCATTTCTTTAGTCCTAACCGTATTGGAGAAAAAAATTTTTTTTAACCTCACTTACGATAAACGTCAAATTTAATCAGCGATTTTTAAAAATATATATCACATGAACGGTTCATCTTGGAAAGTTCAAATTTGGGATAACGTAACTTCAAACGTTAATTTATAACCTCAAAAAGTTTCGTTTCTTAATTCCTAGTCGTTTTGGAGAGAACAATTTTTTCTTTAATAAACGTCAATTTAAATTTGCGATTTTCAAAAATGTATATAAAGTGTATTATTGATTTTGGAACTTTAAAATTTGGTGTAATACAACCTCAAACATTCCTTTATAAGCTCAAAAAGTTAAACGAATAAAGTTTAAACGTCAATGTGACACAAATTCAATGTTACCAACAGTAGCCAACTTCACAACAATATGTCAAAATGTTTTTTTACGAAAATTAATTAATTTATGCTTAAAACATTCTAAAAAAGGAATTTGTTTACGTTTATTTAATGTGAAACCTTTAGAAAGTTCTAAAAAATTAAATTAAATTGACGTTTTTTGAAATTTTGACGTTTCAAATATTAGATTACCCGTGAATGTAATGATTATTCACTCTGTGAAAAATGACTACCCTTTTCTTTTAGAAAACTCATTTATAAGATATATTCGTTTTTCTTCTATAACACCTGTCAAATTGTTGTAAAGTTGGCAAAATTGACAAGGAGTTTTGTTTTATCATGTTTTGAAAATAATATGTCACGCTGACGTTTATTTGAGCTTTCATTATTCGACTTTTTGAATAAGAATGAAATAAAAAGTGAAAAAGACAGGTTTACTGTACTATGCAGGTTACACAGGTGGCTTTTTAGAAAATTTTTTTAGTATTTTAACCTCAACTATTTAGTATTAATAATATCAACAGAAACCCTAAAAAATTTACCTTGACAAGTATTATAGAAAAAAAAATGGCCTATATATATTATTAGTAGTCATGGACAAAATGATTTAATTTAATTTTAATTAAAATAATTCACCATTAGTCCAATCCATGATAAGTTTATTCCAAGTTAATTCCATCTCTTCCGTTGTATTATAAGGGTCCAAAGAAGCATGCAAAAGGACGGTAAGTTGTTGCATAACAACCGTAAATCTTCCATGGAACAACAATCTCATTTTATCCCAAAATGGGAGTCGTGGAGATGGATCTTTCGATGGTGGGAAAATCTTATCGAAGCTTAAATCGCATTGTGCAAGAACCGGTTCCCAACACGGTCCAAATGCGTAACTATAATATTTAATTTCGCAACTCAAATCGTGGTAAAATTTCAAAGGTTGCATCCCCCGCTCGATTTCAACGGTTCCATAAGGTTCCCCTAAATCTAACGAGACGGTTCTTATCGCTCTCCGTGGCGACATTTGCTCAGCACCGGCTAATTGGCCGCACATACAAAAATCTTTAATATCAAGAAGCGGTTGTGGGAAATCCCTCAATTGAATTTTCCATTCATCACACGTCCACGAAATCACTCGACACCACAAAGTTGAAAATTCAAGCCCATCTTCCGGCCACGGCGAATCTGAATCGATTGTTTGAATGATTCGAATTACATTTTCAGTACCATGTATTGATGGATCAGCTAAAATCTATTAAAAATAATTTGTTAGGTTGTAATTAACAAACATTAATTAATTAAATCACCATCAATTCCAAATTGGTCATACTACAAGCGAAAAGTCGAGTTCGTGGAGGGGCCGCACTTAATTGTTTCGAACGCTGCACGTAAATTTCCGCATTTTTCTTTTTTAAATTTGCGTAAAGCTCTTCAACTTTCGTCGCGGGAAGGTGTAGATGAGTTTTGCGAAGTTCATCAACCTAAAATTAATCATTTTTAAAATACGAAAATTATTAAATTAGGTTATATTATGTAAAAATGTCAAAATTTCAAAAAACGACAATTTAATTTAATTTTTTTGGACTTTCTTACCGATTGACATTAAGAAAACGTAAACAAATTCCTTTTTCCGCATGATTTAAGCATAAATTAATTAATTTTCGTAAAAAAATATGACGTTTCATAAAATTGACATTTAATTTTGACAAATTGTTGTGAAGTTGGTTACAGTTGTCTTACAATTAGTTCTAATGATAGTTCTAGTGTAAAACCAGAACTAACACTAGACCTAGAATTAGAAAATATCGGTCAAGTTTTGAGGTGTCCCAGAAGTCATAACAATATGATCACGAATAAAAAAAAAACTAAAAAAAAATAACTTAAAAATTTTGACGTTTCTTATATTGTGATTAATAAATCATAGATGGCGCCAACTTCGTTTACAAGAAACCTTGGTTTCCATGGAGATTCATTGCTACAATTACTACAATAAAATTAGACGCCGATTAAAGTAAATGATGCGATTTTTAATCGATAAAAGAAGAAATAATCGTTTAAATAACGAAATTCGTTCTTTAAAATTAGAAAAATACATCCGATTCATTTAACTCCTATTCATGAGTTTCCACCTAAAATATTCCCAGGTAACTATAAAACTTTGTTATTAAAGAAATTTAATACTTATTTCTATCAAATCAGGCTGTTAAAACGCTAAATTATGGTCCTAGTGTAATTTCTGGAATGTTATTAAAGTTGGATTTATTTACTAGAGGAGTTAATCCAAAAAGCAGCGAAATTGATTGGAGTTGCTACGCTTTAAATTCCAGGTATTTATTTATATTTTCTTTCTAATTCTTTATTTAATTAGTATATTTGTAATAATTAATATTTATTTATTGATAACCTCAAAATTTTGACATTTCTTATATTGTGATTAATAAATCGAAAAGGGCGCCACAATCAAAACTTCGTTGATAAGAAACTTTGGTTACCATGGAAATTCTTACCAAAGAAATTTAATACTTATATCGTACATATCAACCTGTTAAAACGTTAAATTAGGTTCGTAGCGTAATTTTTGGTATGTAATGTAAAGTTTGGAAGGTTACGAGAGGCCTCTAAACTAAACAAAAAAGATAACCTTAAAAATTTGACGTTTCTTATGTTGTGATTAAAAAATCAGAGATGGCGTTCTAGTTCAATAAGAATTAACAACAATCTAGCGCTAAATAACAATTAAAACTAGAGCTAACACTAGTTAAATCTAGTTCTAGATAAATGTTTAAAATTTTAGTTAAATAATGGCGCCCCATAAAAAATTTCTTACCTTATCATTCAACATTTTCCTTCTTTTTAAACTCTCATTAAATTCATCAACTAATAACTCAAAATTTTCTCGGAGTTTAACTTCAAAAGGATCATCGCTTGTTTCAAAGATAAATTCTTTTATGTTAATTAAGAGATCGCTGGGTAACGGGCTATCATTGGTGAATTTCTTCTTCTTCATTCCATGTACTTGTTTTAACCATTTAAAGATTGAAATAAACTCGTTTTGTATGGCATCTGCGTAATTGTGTTCGTAGGGAAAACAAAATCTAAATAAATTAACGTTGACACTCCACACTTTATTCCATGGCAAAACGAAATACTCATTTTCGTTTCTTTCTTCGCGAATCGTGGTGTTATCTAAAACTCTGTGCAAGTCTAATCCTTGTATAGTGAAGATATCGGCCCCGTCTATCGAGATAATCGCGGTGTTGTTCATAACCGATAAATTATCATCTTTATAAATAACAGACATGTCACTTAAAGCCACTTTAACACTGTGCTTTTCAGAAATTTCGATGTAAAAAGCACTAACTCCAAAAACGTGGATGTTAAAAACTTTTAAATTCGTTTTAGTTGGAATCGTTTTCTTCGTGCCCAATTCAAAACGAATGTTTTCAATGCAAGTTTGAATTTCTTGCGTCAACGTAAATAACCTCAAATGAAAATTGCACGACCAATAAGCTCCAATTTCCTCCAACAATTCAATTCGTGTCTCAGCTAGTTCTTTAGCCGTGGATGTATCGACATGGGCAGATTTTATGTACATTTTAAAATTGGTTATTTCCTCACTTTTCTGACAGGTGTAAAATGGCTCGTTGTTTTTAACAGAAAGTAGTTTAAAATGTTCTATGTTTGTAAAGGAAGATTTTTTGAACTTTTCCATTTGAATCATGTTCAAACGCATTATAATGTATTCTAAAAACATATTAATTGATTGGGTGAAATCTAAATTCATTGATTTACCATCATTTTCCGATTGTAAAAAGAAATTTAAATGCGATAGGGTTAACGTTAAGCATGGATTAAATTTTTGAGTTGATTTTGTGGGTTGTTTATCGTTAAAATTAATCCCGTAATCTTTGATGCACCTAAAAATAAAGTTTTTTTTGAAAAAAAGGGATTTTATTTTATAGGGATTTACTTTAAGCTAAAAAGGATGTAATTTCCCAGCATTTTGGACCATTCCAAACGAAGGGTATCTAGCATTGATTCAATTTTGATGTCTTTTAGGGTTGTTGAGCAGGTTATGAGGATCATCCCTACGTAGAGGGGGGTTCCCCAATAATGCAAACTTTTTAATCGGCCATCATTGAAATTTCTTTCGTAAAAACTCTCGTTAAAGCTCCAAAAAATCGATTCGAAAAGCAATTCCGTTTTCCAATGACGATCAGAAACCAAACTTTTAGGTAAAATGCTTTGGGCGCAGCTATCTGAAACATTAATTTTAATCCCTTACTGCATGATTTTTTATATTTAATTAAAAATAAGTCTATTACACTATTAAAATACTGAGAAGCTCAGAAAAACATTGAGAATATGTATACAATTGTTCTTTTTTGAAAGTATTTCAACTTTTCTAAGAAAACTCAAAATTTCTATTGTAATATCGACAAATGTCCTCTAGTGGCAACATACCAAATTACAATCAGCACAAATAAGGCAGGGTTTGTAGTCCAAGAAAAGTTCTTTTCAACGTTACTAAGTTTATTAAATGGACCGCGTTATATATCGGAGAGCGATAGGTAGCGCTAGTTAGCATAAGATTCACCATTTTGCATATTTTTCAACTTTAATTTTATTATTATATTCGTAATCTTCATAAAAAATCCTTTAAAATGAGTCCAAACTCGACATATTTAACTTTAATATTAATGGAAATACAATCACTTCCGGTTTGAAACGTCAACGTCAATTTTGACATATTTGTCATCTTCATAAAAAAACCTTTAAAATGAGTCCAAAGATGACGCACTTATCTCAAAAAGCAAAAAAGTTAGAACAAAAAACGTTAAACCTGAAGTTAGCAACAATGAAGATAGCAATTTAATTTTTATATATTAATACCAACCTTAATTTTTTATTTTTTTTTTGTTTTATTTTTGTTTTTGTGACAAATATTAAGACATTTTATAAATATTATAAGTATGTCAAAATGACATTGACATTTCAAACCGGAAGTTGCTTATATCTCGAGTAATATTGGAATTAAACGTATCATGTTTGGACTCATTTTAAAGGATTTTTCACGACGATTGCAAATATGTCAAAATTGACGTTGACATTCTTAATCGGAACTTGACCATAACTTCATTAATATTGCAGAGAAATATGTCGTGTTTGTACTCATTTTAAAGGATTTTTAATGAAGATTACAAATATGTCAAAATTGAGGTTGTCATTTTAAACCTGAAGTTAGTTATCATATAATAGACGTTTTATAACTGAAGTTAATCTAGTGTTAGTCACTTTTCCGCACTTTCTTTTTATTTTTAACCTGTTTTTTGGGTCATTATTTTTGAAGTATTTTCAATAGTTTGTTTATTACAACTTTATAAACTTTAATTTTGTAAATTAGTAACTAATAATCTAGTTAGCATAAGATATCACCATTTTGCATATTTTTCAACTTTAATTTTATTATTATATTCGTAATCTTCATAAAAAATCCTTTAAAATGAGTCCAAAGATGACGCACTTATCTCAAAAAACAAAAAAGTTAGAATAAAAAGCGTTAAACCCGAAGTTAGCAACAATGAAGATAGAAATTTAATTTTTATATATTAATACCAACCTTAATTTTTTTTTTGTTATATTTTTGTTTTTGTGACAAATATTAAGACATTTTATAAAAATTATAAATATGTCAAAATGACATTGACATTTCAAACCGGAAGTTGCTTATATCTCGAGTAATATTGGACTTAAACGTATCATGTTTGGACTCATTTTAAAGGATTTTTCACGACGATTACAAATATGTCAAAATTGACTTTGACATTCTTAACCGGAAGTTGACCATAACTTCATTAATATTGCAGAGAAATATGTCGTGTTTGTACTCATTTTAAAGGAGTTTTAATGAAGATTACAAACATGTCAAAATTGAAGTGTTTTAACAAAAAAACTATAATTTATCTAAACTTTAAAATACATACTTTTTGTTATGTTAATAGAGCGGAATTCTGAAAAAAAAAATACCGTGATCATCTTAGAAAATTGAAAATAATTTCCAGGATTTTCTCTTAGCCAATTTAGTCGTTAAATTTTTTAGCGCAAGAGTCTACAAGAAGTAGTTTCCACGATATGCGCACTTATTTAGCCACCCTGTATTAATGAAGCACAGAAAGTGTCCCATATATGACACATTAAGCAGTAAGGTGTTAATAAAAAAATCAAAACATTGTGATAATTACCTCTACGATCAACGGATTGTGTTAAAACCGCCTTCATATGGGATAATCCAAAAGTTGAATTATTATTATCTAATTTAACAAGAACGTTTATGTGTTCTAGTTGGATACAACAATTAATAATAATTTGTGTTAATAATTTAGTTAGGAACGATTCCTTTTTTGTTACAATTAAATCATTTTTGGGTTTTAAATGTTGCAAATTCCTCATAAAATTAGTTTTGTACCAATTAAAAATCACCAAGTGATTATATAAAATCGAAAGGGTGTCTAAATTTATCCTAATCGTTAATAAATTTTCACAAAGCTAAAAAACAATGAAATTAATTATTATTATATCACAACAACTCCAACTTACTTCCATTGACAACGAAATTTGTTTCAAAACTAAAAGTTGTTCCTTAATATTTTCAACTTTCCAATCAGTTAGAACCAAATCAGTTTTAAAATAACAAGAATCGTGAACACTCGGCTTAAATTGCCACCCGAGCGATAACTTCTCCAAACAAGACCGAAAATCCAATCTTCCGTTCTCCCTCATTCCTTGTAAATGCGTGTCGGCGATTGTAATTGTAAAATTTTTGGGTATAATGGGACAAATTCTCTCGAATGAGCCGTTTTGTAGATCACCGCTTATTTTTGTTTCTTCTTTATAGGGATTATTTGCCGGTAATAACCCGTAAAACCCATCGTATATTGTTGCGTTCGTTTGCGACATAACAATTTGTAACGTATCGAAAGATAATGGACCTTGAGCTATGAGCATCGCTTCTAATGCGATTGCAAAGCTTAATTCGCCCAAACAACTATCGTCGTTCCCTTGCCGCTCGGAACGTCGTAAAATTTTAATTGATGATTCCGTTAAATTGGCGTTAACCAACAAAATTTTTGCGTTTTGTAAAACACTTCCATCTAAATGTAACTCAGTAACAGTTGCGTGTAATAACCCTCCAGGGCTCTCCGATTGCAAAAACATTGCTGATAAATTATACATATGAATTGCCATAAACTAAACAAAAACTTAATTAATTAAATTAAATAATGTTAAAATTTTTGGTATAATTCAAGAATCATCATCAACATCGAAAATTTTATCAAAACTTCAAATATTGTTTTCTCAAAAACTAAAAGTTATTTTTCAAAACGTGTTGGTTCATTGGAAAGAGGACACTTTTATTAACATTTTCGGAAATTTTTATACTCATAGTCCAAGAAATCGATTTTATACGAATTTTTGAAACTTAATCGGCGAAAATTGCAAAATTCGAAAAAATTTTCGATCATTTCAAAAATTTATTTCTCAAGATCTAAAAGCGATTTTTCAAAACGGCTTTTTGCATTAAAAAGAGGATACTTTAATTAATAATTGGTGAATTTTGAAAGTTATTAATGAAAAATTTTATGTTAAATTTTCATACTCATAGTTTTGCACTAGAACTAACACAAGACTTAGAACTAGAAATATTCAAATTTAGCCATTAGTCTCTTAAGGTAGCTAAACCTGAATATTTCTTGTTCTAGATCTAATTATTTAACATTAGATTGTGGTATATTTTCATTAAACAAAAAGTAGAACTAACACTAGACCTAGAAGTGCACCTCAAAGATTTCTAAACCTGAATGTTTCAGAGGTTAGCTGTTGACCGGTTTAATAAAAAAATGCATGGTTAACATTGCATGTGACCTCAAATCAAAACTTTAATGTGATTTTTCATGATGATTCTAGAATTTTTCCAAACTTTTGTTTACTTGTGCGAATGTAATAATGGGATGAGGAATCTTTCTCTCCCTAAAATCGATTTGATCATCACTTTTCTTATTGTAAAAAACATCTTGTTCATCGTAAACATCCTTATTAATTCTAACGTCTTTAATAACCAATGTAACTAATTTCGTAACTTCGGAATTAAAAATACTGCTTTTAATGCTTATTTCTTCTATGTGCTAAAATAACTTTGATTAATTAATTCGTTTATTTTAATGTTGGGAAACGAACGATCGTAAATCCTTTTCGCGATAAATAAACGTTGAATAATCTTAAAGAAGGTATTGCTATTGATCCCACTCGTAAAGTTACCTTAAATTTCTTTTCAAAGTACCATGATAAGATTTTTGGGACCACCCTAAAAAAAAATAATTAATTTAGAGCTGTGTCGGGCTGTTGGGATTTACCATAATATGAAATAATAGAGAACTATACAAATTACGAAGAATAAACCGTAAGAATTCATTTTATGTAAACTTCACATTTTGACGTAAAACGATTTTATAGGTTATGTTGTCTGATTTGACAGATTGGAGTTAATAATTATAGATTTAATTATATTTTTTGGTGAAATAACAACAAAATTTTCTTGATTAATGATTTTCTTGAATGATTTATATAAATTTGTTGTTTATTTACTTTTATTTCAATAATTATTTGGGAAATACAAATAATTTTATAAACACATTGTAGATGGCGCCTCCTATACTACTTAAATACTTAAATATAAAAATTTATTTAGATTAGAAAAAAGATTATAACTATTAAATTACAATTTCATCCCTTTTAACAAAAATAATTTATCAATATTTTGCGTTGATAAATAAATTTAATAATAAAAGTAATATTTTAAGGGATTTTTTATGAAGTTGTATTTGCAATTTAAAGTCTTTATTATATTTTCATAATTAATTTTCCATTTGAATTGGAATTTAATTTATATTACAAATTAAATATTAAAAATAACGTAAATTTAAATAAAATTAGTATTTTTTATAAAAAAAAAAAATTAGGTTGGTAGTTTTGAAATGTCATTGTCAATTTGACGTTAGATTTAATTTACTTTTTTTGGGATAAAATCAGTATTAAAAACGATAAATTAAAGCAATTAAGAATACTATAAAGATTTTGAAAGGGATGTCAATAACCTTATCAGTATATACGGAGCTTTTTAAAGTATGTATTAATTTTTATCTCTTATACGTATGTTGTAGCAAAATATAAAATTAAAACAGATTCTTCTTGTACTTTAACACTCCCTTTTGGGATTTTCGTTAAACGACTACCGCGCTTATCCTAATCTAGAACGGCGTGGAACCCCGCAGGGCGCTTTTCGAAAACTTGACGAAAGCTCCCCGCGGCGGTTTATGGCGACCGGGTCGTTTCGATCGAATTCAAAGCTTTCGCGCTCGCGCAGAACTGAAACCTACCAAAAATCTCTTGTTGTTTATATACTACATCAAGCTCCTCAGTCTTTGCCGGTCAGTCTTTTACATCGGATGATCAACGATGTTGAGCTTTTGCGGCATGACCATCTCAAAGTCGTAAGCTTGGCTTATCCGTTGTAAACAAACCCGAGAAAATAAAATTTAGAGATTATATAAGAGATTTAGTGTAAAGATTCGTTTGGGGATGATGTAAGTAAATTTTTTAAAATTTAATTATTTATAATAATAATAATATTGAGTTATTTAAAGTTTGATGAAGTAATTAAGTTAATTTTAATCACGTTATATACTAATTGGTCCTCGGGGATAAAAGGGGGAAAATGAATTTCGACTCGGTTAATTTCGCTAATGATTAACGACGGACGTTTTTAAGATCTCGTAAAATTAATTTGGCGTTTGCTCAAAGGACTACATCAAAGATTTTAATTAAAGTTGAAAAAAACCACTAAAATATCTTTGGATAATTGAAATAGCTTCGAAATAACTTTTGTAGTCAGCTGGAATCGACGGGTTAAAGTTCGCAACAATCTGCCACCCTCAAATAACTCGAAACCAATTTGAAGCATCGTAAATTGTCGGAGATAACTCAATAAAGCTTTTAGTATTGGCTATAACGCGTCCTAACATAATCTACATAACATGGCAATTCATTACCATCAAATATTCAATTAATTTTGTGTTTCATTTAAGGTTTTTAACAACATTTTTATTAATACCCTCAGTTTTATTAACAGACGATTTTATCCCATGCAAAAAATCCGAATATAAATGTCTCAATAATAATTATTGCATAAATTTAGATAAATATTGTAACGGATTTAGTGATTGTGCCGATGAAAGCGATGAATTACTTGGGTGTACTCGTAAGTCTTAAAAAAATCGTTAATTATCTTAATTAATTTATAATGTTAAAAGCTTGTAATAAAACGTATTACGGGGAAGTTGGAAAAACGTACGAGCTCGAGATTAAACGACCAAATGAAGAGTTCATCCCGTTTTTATGCTTTTTAAACTTTACGGCTACCGGGAAAAGTTTTGGCGAATTAATACAGGTGAGATAAATTAATTAAAAAATTATTGAATTAATTTGAATTGGTTTTAGATTTCATTCGAAGCGTTTTCAGTGGGAACTTTCGAATCGTTTACTAATGAAGGTTGCCCCGAAGGGTACATATCAATTAAAGAAGGAAATAGGCCGATACCCTCGGGGAAATGGTGCGGAAGTTCCTGGGGGTATTCCGTGTATTACAGCGAAACATCCACCGTTAATTTAACGTTGCATTTAGAAAAATTACCTTTTCAAGTAAATTTTAAATTAATTATGATTATAATTATTAAAAAAGTAAAATTTTTTAGCAAGGTGCTGGGTATACTTTTGAATTTCGAATATCATACAAATTCCTAAAAGCGACGGATGCTCGTTTGCGATACGGAAATTCCTCTCGGCGAACTTATCGGGGAAAACTCACCCCGGGCACGTACTGTGACAGGCAACTAGATGGTTGTAGGAAGAAGCCGTGCAAGATCCAATCCCCTAATTATCCCGGAATATATCCGAGGAACGTGTCGTGCCAATACAGAATCCGGGAACGGAATACACCCGAGGGAATGCACGCCCTTATCGTACTCAGACAATCTTCTCCCTTACACCAACACAAAGATTATATGACAAAATTTGATAACAGCGATAGAGTATTTAGGTAATTTTTTTTAATTAATTATTTGAAAAAACATTATTTTATCCTACTGTTGGATACACAGAAGTCTGTTTCTCTAAGACGTTCTTAGATTTCCACTATAAAGCTGGATTGAATGTTTAGACTTTTTATTCAGAAGGAATTTATGTAGGTATATAAATAAATAATCAAGGAGTCGTCGAGAATCAACACTAGTATTAATGATTTAATGGAATGAACGCGCTTTCAAATCCTTTCGATTCGAGTAACATATATTTGCTATTGGGATAAAGCTGTAATGAGATCCCTGTAATTGTATCTCAATCTCATTTTACCTTTATGACAAGACCTTTCTGCCTTCAAGCATGATGTGTAAATCGTTTACAAAAACTCCTAAGTACCTAATTTGGAGCCTGACTGAAACTGAATAAAAAATTAACCCTACCAAACATTCTTTTCTGACAGAAAATCGATTGAAGAAACTTGAGAAAAATTCAAGAACCTTAAAAATCGACGATTTTTTTTAATCAGTGTGAAATGACCCAAAAAACACGTTAAAAATAAAAAGAAAGAAGAAATTAACTTCAGGTTTAAAATGTCAACCTTAATTTTGACATATTTGTAATCTTCATTAAAAATCCTTTAAAATGAGTACAAACACGACATATTTATCTTCAATATTAATGAAGTTATGGTCAACTTCCGGTTAAGAATGTCAATTTTGACATTACTCGAGATATAAGCAACTTCCGGTTTGAAATGTCAATGTCGTTTTGATATATTCTTAATTTTTAGAAAACGTGTTAAAATTTGACACAAAAATAAAAAATAATAAAAAAAAATCAAAAATTAAGGTTGGTATTAATATTTAAAAATTAAATTGCTAACTTCGGGTTTAATGTTTTTTATTCTTACTTTTTTGTTTTTTGAGATAAGTACGTCTTGTTTGGACTCATTTTAAAGGTTTATTTAATAAAGAATACGTCATGAAAGAACATCATGAAGTTGTCTATTATATGATAATTAACTTCAGGTTTAAAATGTCAACCTCAATTTTGACGTATTTGTAATCTTCATTAAATATCCTTTAAAATGAGTACAAACACGACATATTTATCTTCAATATTAATGAAGTTATGGTCAACTTCCGGTTAAGAATGTCAACGTCATTTTGATATATTCTTAATTTTTAAAAAACGTGTTAAAATTTGTCACAAAAACAAAAAAATAATAAAAAAAATAAAAAATTAAGGTTGGTATTAATATTTAAAAATTAAATTGCTAACTTCAGGTTTAATGTTTTTTATTCTAACTTTTTTGTTTTTTGAGATAAGTGCGTCTTGTTTGGACTCATTTTAAAGGTTTATTTAATAAAGAATACATCATGAAAGAACATCATGAAGTTGTCTATTATATGATAATTAACTTCAGGTTTAAAATGTCAACCTCAATTTTGACATATTTGTAATCTTCATTAAAAATCCTTTAAAATAAGTACAAACACGACATATTTATCTTCAATATTAATGAAGTTATGGTCAACTTCCGGTTAAGAATGTCAAAGTCAATTTTGACATATTTGTAATCGTCGTGAAAAATTGTTTAAAATGAGTCCAAACATGATACGTTTAATTCCAATAATACTCGAGATATAAGCAACTTCCGGTTTGAAATGTCAATGTCGTTTTGATATATTCTTAATTTTTTGAAAACGTGTTAAAATTTGTCACAAAAACAAAAATATAACAAAAAAAAAATTAAAAATTAAGGTTGGTATTAATATTAATATTGCTAACTTCAGGTTTAATGTTTTTTATTCTAACTTTTTTGTTTTTTGAGATAAGTGCGTCTTGTTTGGACTCATTTTAAAGGTTTTTTAATGAAGATGACGAATATGTCAAAATTGACGTTGACGTTTCAAACCGGAAGTGATTGTATTTCCATTAATATTAAAGTTAAATATGTCAAGTTTGGACTCATTTTAAAGGATTTTTTATGAAGTTGACAAATATGTCAGAATTAAAAGTTGTTTTTGGTTTTTTGAGATAAATGCGCGAGTTTGGACTCACTTTAAAGGTTATTTTATGAAGATTACGAATATAATAATAAGATTAAATGATTATTGACAACTGAAAGTTTTCTTCACGACTAAACCCGAATGTTTCTAGTTTTAGTTTAATAAAAATATACAACATACAACATCCATTTGTCCAAAGAAATGAGTTTAAGAGAAGCGGCGTTGTGGTACAACATTCCAAAAAGTACTCTACATGATAAGACGTCGTTATTGAATCTGGGAAAAAGGTGACGAAGATGGGTAGATTCACTAACACCTTCTTACCCGAGTACGAACAAATTCTAGTAGAATACGTAAAAGATTTGTCTAATAGATGTCTGCCGCTGGTGAAAAAGGAATCGATTTGGCTGAAGCTTTGAAGATTCCTCATCGTTTTAATAACTACGATTTCATGTAAAGGCATCCAGATATATAGCTGAGAACACCTGGGTCGACGAGCATAATGCGAGCCGTAGGGTTTAACAAACCTGTTTTATGATAACTTGGAAAAACTGATGACACAATACAAATTTCAACCTTCCAATATTTATAACTGTGATAAAACTGGAGTGAGCTGCGTGCATAAACATCAAAAAGTTCTTGCTCCGAAGGCTGTACGTCAAGTAGGAAAGCTTACTTCTGCTGAAAGGAGCAAAAATATAACAGTTCTCAGCCAAAAGGCTGGATGAATAGTGATCTTTCCTACAATGGTTGAATGGTTTTCCTTCAGTGAATGTAGATCAGGAGTGTTAATGTAGCCCTTCACAATTCTCTCAGGACATGCACTGTGGAAGGCCTGAGTTAGTGTGTCACCTACGAGGTTTGAGTAATTCTCCAATTCATCGGTATTTCCAGGAAGGGTATCTGGAAAATCTCGCAATTGCTCATTTAGACAGCTTGCAAAAATGCTCAAATCAGTCAGAGCATAATTGGTGCTAAATCAATAATCGTCTGACACCTAGCTTTGACGAACGTGGGTTCACAACCTTGGTTGATTATTTCCAAGTCAGTACTCGTAATAAATTAGTAGCCATTTATTTACCTTGCTGGCGTTGACTAATGTTGTCAAGGCCGCAATAGGAGCCATTTCTTCTATAAAGAGGGCCATCATGCCGAAGTGTAGTGTGTGTTCGCAAAACGTTTCGCGTTATGATGACACAATTATCTGTTCAATTAATCAATGTGCTCGAGCATACCATACAAAGTGTGTTGGCATTGACGACAAAGTGTTACTGGACCTCAAGACAACCGGGAATGTTGAANTCAATATTAATGAAGTTATGGTCAACTTCCGGTTAAGAATGTCAAAGTCAATTTTGACATATTTGTAATCGTCGTGAAAAATTGTTTAAAATGAGTCCAAACATGATACGTTTAATTCCAATAATACTCGAGATATAAGCAACTTCCGGTTTGAAATGTCAATGTCGTTTTGATATATTCTTAATTTTTTGAAAACGTGTTAAAATTTGTCACAAAAACAAAAATATAACAAAAAAAAAATTAAAAATTAAGGTTGGTATTAATATTAATATTGCTAACTTCAGGTTTAATGTTTTTTATTCTAACTTTTTTGTTTTTTGAGATAAGTGCGTCTTGTTTGGACTCATTTTAAAGGTTTTTTAATGAAGATGACGAATATGTCAAAATTGACGTTGACGTTTCAAACCGGAAGTGATTGTATTTCCATTAATATTAAAGTTAAATATGTCAAGTTTGGACTCATTTTAAAGGATTTTTTATGAAGTTGACAAATATGTCAGAATTAAAAGTTGTTTTTGGTTTTTTGAGATAAATGCGCGAGTTTGGACTCACTTTAAAGGTTATTTTATGAAGATTACGAATATAATAATAAGATTAAATGATTATTGACAACTGAAAGTTTTCTTCACGACTAAACCCGAATGTTTCTAGTTTTAGTTTAATAAAAATATACAACATACAACATCCATTTGTCCAAAGAAATGAGTTTAAGAGAAGCGGCGTTGTGGTACAACATTCCAAAAAGTACTCTACATGATAAGACGTCGTTATTGAATCTGGGAAAAAGGTGACGAAGATGGGTAGATTCACTAACACCTTCTTACCCGAGTACGAACAAATTCTAGTAGAATACGTAAAAGATTTGTCTAATAGATGTCTGCCGCTGGTGAAAAAGGAATCGATTTGGCTGAAGCTTTGAAGATTCCTCATCGTTTTAATAACTACGATTTCATGTAAAGGCATCCAGATATATAGCTGAGAACACCTGGGTCGACGAGCATAATGCGAGCCGTAGGGTTTAACAAACCTGTTTTATGATAACTTGGAAAAACTGATGACACAATACAAATTTCAACCTTCCAATATTTATAACTGTGATAAAACTGGAGTGAGCTGCGTGCATAAACATCAAAAAGTTCTTGCTCCGAAGGCTGTACGTCAAGTAGGAAAGCTTACTTCTGCTGAAAGGAGCAAAAATATAACAGTTCTCAGCCAAAAGGCTGGATGAATAGTGATCTTTCCTACAATGGTTGAATGGTTTTCCTTCAGTGAATGTAGATCAGGAGTGTTAATGTAGCCCTTCACAATTCTCTCAGGACATGCACTGTGGAAGGCCTGAGTTAGTGTGTCACCTACGAGGTTTGAGTAATTCTCCAATTCATCGGTATTTCCAGGAAGGGTATCTGGAAAATCTCGCAATTGCTCATTTAGACAGCTTGCAAAAATGCTCAAATCAGTCAGAGCATAATTGGTGCTAAATCAATAATCGTCTGACACCTAGCTTTGACGAACGTGGGTTCACAACCTTGGTTGATTATTTCCAAGTCAGTACTCGTAATAAATTAGTAGCCATTTATTTACCTTGCTGGCGTTGACTAATGTTGTCAAGGCCGCAATAGGAGCCATTTCTTCTATAAAGAGGGCCATCATGCCGAAGTGTAGTGTGTGTTCGCAAAACGTTTCGCGTTATGATGACACAATTATCTGTTCAATTAATCAATGTGCTCGAGCATACCATACAAAGTGTGTTGGCATTGACGACAAAGTGTTACTGGACCTCAAGACAACCGGGAATGTTGAAAACTGGGTCTGTCAACTTTGTAAATCTGAACCTAACCTCCAAGGGTCAATCAACAAAAAGAATACAATAAATATTGGGTCAGAGTCAGCAACACCCACTACCAACGTTAATATCGAAAATATCGACAGTATAATATCATCTAAGGTAAAATTTGCTATAAATTTGATTACCGAAGAGGTTATAAATCTTCTAAAGAAGGAAATATACCATCTGAATTCAAATCTGTGACAGACTGAAAGTATCTTCGAGTGCTGTAGTGTCGATACCATTATAAATAAAAATCTTTTTACGGTAGTATGCTTGTATCGTACACCGACTAGTAACTTTAATGTTTTTTGCGACAATTTTGAAAATATGTTAAATAGTATATTCGCTCGTGGTCATCAAACGGTCATAGCAGGGGATTTTAATGTAGATCTCTGTTGTGATACTCAAGAATGTAATGTATTTCTAAATTTATTAGCTAGCTTTGATGCCGAAATATTGTTTCGTGTACCTACCAGGATAGCTAAAACAGCTCAAACTTGTTTAGACAATGTAATTCTTATAAACCCATCGCGTGCTAAAAGCCCTACTATTGTAGCTACGACCTCACAACGTACGACCTACTCCGATCATAATGTTTTAACAGCTACTATAAAATACGATATAAAGCCGAAACCGTTATTTAAGGAAACAAGGGTAATTAATAAGTATTCAATAAATAATTTTGTAAGCGCAATATCTTGTGAAACCTGGGCTGATGTGTACGATGATGATCTCGATATTAATGACAAATTTTCTATTTTTTTAAAGACCTATGTGAATTACTTTAATAGATTCTTTCCAGTAAAACGAGTACGGATACATAAAGACAGCTCATAAACCTTACCGACTCATCTTCTAAAATTACGCAACTTGGTTTCGGCTGTACAGACGGTTGCTACATTCGACTGTGATTTTAAATCAACCTATAATTTATACAAAAATCTTTATGACACCGAAATTAACCAGCTAAAACGCAAACGGAATGATCATATACTTGAACGATCAACTAATAAGAACAAAAGTATGTGGAAAATAATTAATGAACATACAGGGAAGCAAAAGTCATCCAAAGGTCACCCCTTCACGGATGACCTTCAATCTCTGGCTGATGATTTTAATAACATGTTCTCTAGCATTGCCGGTGGTTTGCCTGATATAGTTGGAAAAGATTTAAACACAAGTTACAATAGTTGTCCACATACGTTTTATTTTTTCCCAGTTTGTAAAGACGAACTGGTTTCGATTGTAAAAACGCGGAGTTACTCACAGGCATGTGGTATTGATGGAAAAATAAAAATGTCCACAAACTTTTATGGATCCGATATGCCACATAATAAACCAATCTCTGTAGTGCGGGATATTCCCTGAATACCTAAAAAAGGCAATGCTTATACCACTATATAAGAAAGGCGATTCAAACGATATTTCTAATTACCGACCAATCAGTTTGCTAACTGACTTCTCTAAGATCTTTGAAAAGGTAGTCTACAACAGACTGTATAATTATTTAGAAAAGCACAAATTACTGAGCGAGCGCCAACATGGTTTTCTGAAACGGAGAAGTGTGGAAACTGCATTATTCACGTACACGTGCGACATTTATGAGGCTTTGGAGAGAGGAGATATAGCTTGCGGTGTACTCCTGGACTTATCGAAGGCGTTCGACACGATTAATTACAAAATACTGATCTCGAAATTGGACTCCTGTGGGATGAGGGGAATCGCTCTTGACTGGTTTGCTTCGTACCTATGTAACAGAAAACAAAATGTGCGAATTACGGAAAATGGCGTTCCAATTATTTCAAGGGAGACCACTATGTCGAGAGGTGTACCGCAGGGCAGTATACTGGGTCCTATATTGTTCCTGATATACATAAATGATATACACAGTGCTACCGAACACGTAACTGCAAACTTCTCCGCTATTAACTACGCTGACGATACCAGCTTTTTATTATATGGTGATACATTTGAATCTATTGTTACTGGTGGTTCAGAATTGTTAAATACTGTAGAAAATTGGCTAACCACCAACGACCTCATTATAAACCATGACAAGACTAACGTTATTTTGTTTAAAACTACAAATAGCTCTTATCCCAATACTATAACTTTCAATCATCGTTTATATACAACTGAAGAACGGGTACGTTTGCTTGGAGTGGTTATCGACGACACTCTTAAATGGAAATCGCATATTGATGCACTCTGTAAAAAGTTGAGCAGTTTTTACTACGCTCTACGTCAAATGAAAAAGTTGGTGAATGATCGCGTTATACATTTATGCTACTACGGTTGTTGCTATTCGCAAATACGGTTTGGTATCATAGTCTGGGGAGGCAACAGTCACCATGCTCGGTTTAAGTTACGGACAATCGTGTAGAGGCAATTTTAGGAAAAATAGGTTGTTAACTGCGTCTGCAATATGTATTTATGAGATTTTAGTTTTTCTGTTTAATAACAAAAGTCTTTTTTCACAAAACTCTTTTAATCACCATTACGAAACTCGAAATAGGCGCGATTATTGCTACCCAAGACATCGCCTAGCTGCTAGTGAAACTTCAACTGGTTATGCGGCCCTAAAATTATATAATAAATTACCTAACTCGATAACACATATTACCAAAATTAGTACGTTTAAACAAGATTTGTTCAATTTTCTAATCGATGTAGAACCCTATAATGTTGCTGAATATTTAGATTTTAAAATGTAAAATCTTAAAAATGACGTTTGTTGTTGTAATTTTTTGATTTGTCAACAACACAATAAAGATTATTATTATTATTATTATTATTATTATTATAGGCAGGTAGAGTCAGCATTGAATCCTGACTATAACGGAGTACCGATTTGATGTCTCACAAAAAGAATATTAAAATTTGTATATCAATGTGTGTCATCAATATAAATTAATATAATATATCCAAAAAAAATTATTGAAATAAATTTCTTTGTTTAGAGTTTTTGAAAAATGTAATTTAATGGAAGACTACATAGAAATATTCGACGGTTTCGAAGACACCTCCCCATTACTATCCCATTTATGCAGCGGCGAAACAACCCAGGAAATAATTTCGAGCGGCCCAGAATTATTAGTTAAATTCCGCACATCTCCATTTGGAAATCCGTTCCATCCGTTGCCGTTATCTCAACTTCCCGGTTTCGAAATGGAGGTGCAGGTGAGACAACGATTTACTAGAAAACGGTTTGTTTGAGTAGACCTCGTAAAACTTCATTATAAAGTTGCAAAGTTAGATCCGGAGAGAGCGCGTTCTCCTCTCTAAACTTCCGGCTTTAATAATTGTTGGAGGGTTGTTTATCTGTTTATAATGCGGCCGGAATTTGCCGGCGACGTGAACAACTTTCGCAGAGGTTCCTTCTCGTTTTCGACTATACGGTTGTAAATCAGATTAAACTTTTCGTTTTATTTTGGTATAAACTAAAAGTACTTAATTAAAATGGATACGAATTTGTTGATCTTTTGCAACAACCAACATAAAAAAGTTAAACAATAATATAAAGAAAAAAAAAATAAATGAAAAATTCATTCTACAGGGTGTATCTGAATGACATGCCCAAACTTCAAGGGGTGATTCTTTAGGCAATTTTAAGGGTACTTTGGTATATAAACCATGGGCGACTTGGGCTCCCCTAAGGAGCTACACCCCTCCAAAAATGGCGGAAAATTTTGGTTTAATTTTTTTTTCTCAAAAACCATAAACGCTAGGACAACGAAATTTGGGGAATATGTTTAACTGGTAGTAGGGCACGTTTTCACCCTATTTGTACTTTCAACCTATCCTTCTAAACTACTAAACGTAACCACCCCCTTTACATTTTTGCTAAAATTTTTTTATGCGGAGGGTAAAAATTTATATGAGAAAGTACCCTTAAAATTGCCTAAAGAATCACCCCCTGAAGTTTGGGCACGTCATTCAGATACACCCTGTATATGTGAAACTAATTACAATCTGCGGCCAATCTGTTCAACTCAACCTAGAGTTGAGAACGACTAATAATTACATATTCAATTGTTTTCAGCAATTAAATTAATCAATTCAAATGATTCCCTATATAACCAATAAATAGATAACAACCCAATGTCAGAGCACTGAGGCAGCATAAGGATTATGTTGACCCATCTGAAGCCGAAACAAGGTGTTACGCAAGTTAACTTTAAAAACGGATAGACTTTTATTTTTAAATTCAGGAGGACAGGAATTATACTCCTTGGCCACATTATATGAACAAGAGCGCCTAAAAAGAGCTTTCCTGTGAGCAGGAACGGCGATAGTATTTTTGTGTCTAAGATTCAAGTTATGAACATCGGTCCTATAGGTGATTTTATTATATAAGTAAGGTGGAGTCCCCGTGGCAATTAACTTGTGCACAAGACACAAGAACTGACGTTTGAATTTGTTTCTGATATTTAACCATTTTGCAGTAACCAATGTGTGACTAATATTTTCACGCTTACGAACGCCATACATAAAACGAAGACAGCTATTTTGAACCCTTTGAATACCATGAAGTTCATACCCAGTTAAACATGGACTATACATGGCAGCACAATGCACAAAATTTGACAGAACAAGTGTTTCGCACAAACGTTTCTTTGTAATTATATTTAAAATGTGTCGGTGTTGATAGAGGCATCTAAGAACACCATAACAGTGACATGACTGCTGAATCGCAGATTGCTGTCGACAAGCACACCCAGATTTTTTGACTCAGGGTACACTACCACCTCTCTCCACCCAAAAATATACCGACACTATCAGAGTCCAAGTTACCAAAGATGACTACCTTAGATTTAGTGGCATTGAGAGTTAGTGCCATCTTGTGCGAGCAATCTAAAATAGCGTTCAGATCTGCATTTATTTTTGAGCAAGCAGAAGCGAAGTGTTCCTTTGGAAAGGTTATGTAAATTTGGGTATCATCTGCGTATATGTGTATCGACGAATATTGAATGCACTTAGGCAACTGGGATGTATACAAGGAAAACAATAGAGGAGCCAGAATAGACCCCTGTGGCACTCCCACTCTCACAGGCAGTGATGATGAAGATACATTGTTCAATTTTATTATTTGAGCACGATTGGATAGGAAACTTTCCAAAAGCAAAACCGCTGAGTCGGACAGACCAACATCCGGGCTTACGGGAAAATAGACTGTTCAAGACAGGTATTTATAATATGTATAATGTAGGGCAATATTTCAGGGAGACACATTCTTATAAATGTGATGTTCAATTCGTCTCTACCAGAAGATGTTGATTTAATGCCATTTAAAATTTTAATGATCGAAGAGGTGTCACTGAGTCCAAACGAAAATCTCTCATGGGAATTTGGGTAAAGCATATTTGTACCATAAAAAGTGAGCAAATCATCATCCACATCAGCATAACCAACAGAATTCACAAAATAATCATTAATATTTCCAACATCATCTAAATGTGCGGGAACAGTGGGTTTGGACCTGTTGACAATCTGCAAGTTGGATAACAGCTACCAACTACTCTTTACATCACTAGTCACAAATGTACTATTTAAGAAAGATTTCTTTTCTCGTCGTATCTCTATCCCTCAGCGACATCATTAGTTTTATTGTGTCCGTTAATCATGGTGCAAATGGCCTATGTAATCTGAGTGCATGAAAATCTAGAAGTGCAAAAGATGAGTGTTTAAAAAATGTACTTTCTGATTAACATCAGTTATATGATAGATTGCATAGAGTGGTAACCGGGATAAATCACCCTTCAGACTACAAAATTTGGTAATCGGAATGGGCCTTGAATCAGAAATAGTAATGTCACATTGAACAAGATTGTGGTTTGACATATGCATCGGTATGCTTGCCTGGTTAATACAACCGTCAGGCTTGTTAGTGATCAAACAGTCAATCAAAGAACTCGAGTTTGTGGTGATACGGGTAGGAGAATTTATCATCTGAGAAAGGGATAACTCTTCTAAAAGCGTATTAAACCTCTCTGTATATGTGTTATTAAAATCCAGCATGTTTATATTTAAATCGCCCGCGCAATACAAATAGTCAGTAATACCCTGTAAGCAGCATAGTGTGGGGCATAAATTATCAAGAAAAGCACATACATTCGAGGCAGGGGACCTATAAATGCAGCCAAAAGAACATGCATATGAATTGAATAACAACCGGACCCAGACCTGTTCAACATCATTATCAACAATCCCCATATCCCGCTCACAGATATATTTCAGGCCCTGAGCCAGGTACAATGCCACTCCTCCACCCCTCGTCTGTCTATCACGTCTCACAACATTAGGGTTGTTCCAACCAGCGGTTTGACTCGTCGTGGACTCGTCAAATGCAATCGCACAGATAAATAATGCAATGAAATCCGCTGAAATGTGACGACATTACTTGACGTGTGCGATTGCATTTGACGAGTAACGGACGAGTCCGACCGCTTGTTGGAACAAACCTATTATAACCCGGAATAGTGATTGCAGCGTTTGGAATCTGTTCTGACAACCATGTTTCACTTACTCCAAATACGTCATACTTGCCGTCGACCACGACTCTACTCAATTCGTCAAAATGCGCCACCAGCGATCTGACATTGAGATGGCCAAACTTTAGCACTCTAACCATAGAACTATAATATAGGTATTGTGATGTTTTACTTGTGTTTTTACACAAGTTATTAAACTATAAATTTGGGTTTCTTTAATTTTAAGAGACTCTTATTAAAAACTCAGGGTTTCGGGCAAATTCAGGTTCAAAAGAATATTAATCAGGTTCGACAAAAAATTCATTTAATTAAACACAAAATCAAATTAACTCGTTTTATGAGTATCAAAAATAAATGGTTTTCCTAAATTTACTTTAATAACAATGCTTATTTACGAGAGATAAATTTTTAAATAAAATAGATAACTGCGGTTATCGACTGAAATATCGATATTAGAGAGAACCCGTTTATTATTTGAGAGAGAGAGAGTAGGATAAAACTTGTTAGAACCGTTCTTTGAAAATCATAGATTAAATAAATATACAGGGTGGTTCAGTTTTTAATCGGGAAACTTTACTAGGATGTAGAATAGTACTTGCTAAAATAACACAATTTTTTTATATAAACATAGGGTCGCAACTCTTTTGTTTTCGAGCTATGAGCAATCAATGTTGAGCCAAAAATTTACATTTTGTTTTGTATTTCGGTTGTAAGTAAACCGTAGAATTTGAAATTTTGTATGCATGTACTATTGGTTAATATCTTATTTTCAACCATACCTTAAACTTCCCTAGCGCCCTCTAAGGGGATGAAATTCACAACCCCTTTGATTTTTTTATAAGAACTTTTTAACACCATGGAATATTAACATAAAATAATATGGGCTCTAAAAACCAACTAATTCTAAGATAACAAAGTATGACAATAAAACTAAGGAAAACTAAATTATACAAACAAATAAAGTACTAAACAAATCTATAATCAAACGATATAGATTTGTTTAGTAGTTTAAATAATCAAACGATAAACACGCAAAACTGCACAATAATTAAACAAAACACAGAAAGTTCGTTAGTTCTGACAGAACTGGACGTAGCCGTGGGATTTACAGATTTACGACTTAAAATACATAGCGCCATCTATTGCTTTCTCTTAACTCTACGAGTTTGCGACTTAAAAATTTTGAAATAAATGGTGCCATCTATTGGTTCGTTTAAATACTACTGTAACGCGACAATTGCGCCATCTACACAGTTTCAGTTTATATGAGAGAGAAAGTACCATACGAATTTTTCATTTGTTGAACAAGGATAGATAGGAGTGCCAATTTATTAGCCGGAGTCCGGCCTCTGTATACTCTGTGNGGTATCTGGATTATGGATTGTCTCTTGTGTTCGGGGCACTAACTAATTTTCTGGATTGTCTACAGGATTCTTCTTACGGGAAATTGAACTGTTTGTTCTTCGGAAATAGGGTCTTGGATGATCTCGAAGAAGTATCGGTAGTTCTTGGAATAGGTTGTAGGATGATTCTCTTTTTATTTTAATATCGTAAGTTGATTTGACTTTTAAAAAAATTATCTTAAATTTTTGAGGTTATCAAAATTTCTTCTATCTGACGACGTGGATTCAACGCTGGTCCGACGACGACTCTCCCACTCCATCTTCGCGATCTCCTTATATACCCCGGCACTCCAACTGTTTTTTCGTCGTCTCTGATTGGCTCTTAGCTTCGCGCCCTTTTAAAAATTCAAAATTTTTGCTTCGAAACTAACGACATCTCTTGATTTTTCTCGGAATTAACCTTCAAAATTTAAATCTTTTTTCGTTGATTTTTCCCTTATTCCTTTATGAAACATAATAAAACTTCGTATTCAACGTTGTCTTTTCTTGTTTTCAGACATACATTGGAGTACACGCCAAATTTCAACAATGAGTAAAGTTAGAAAAATTCAAATTTAAATCAAGGATTTCTTCCTCAAAATAACGTTAAAATCTCAAAAGATGGATGAAAAATGTGCTTTAGGAGCTGAACTATAATAATTGATACTTTTGGAAGCAAACAAAACGGTTTAAGATAAGATTTTCACCAACAAAAATCTCTCTGTCACAAATTCTAGGTTATGTTCTCTCGGTGAACTAAGAGAATGTTAACATTATCACAGTATTTATAAAAGTAACTTACTAAATGAAAACTAGTTTAAAGTTAATTATGTTTTCTACGCCGGATACGCATAAAATCTCAAGTGAGAGACAGTCTCACCGAACCTTCAGAAGAAAAAATTCTTGAATTGCATAACGGATCCTCTGTATTCAACCATGACTCTGCCATCCTTAGTCCAGGCCTTCCCTCGTCCAACAATTGATTGCGCTTGCTTAAGTAAGTTAAAGCGTTTACTTGTTAAGTCCTCTTGTACGACAATTCCGGACCCCTTCAGTTTCCGTCTAGCTGTACAAACCAACGCTCGGGTTCGATAGCTAACAAATTTTACTATTATCGGACGTGGATTTTTTCGATTTTTATTCCGCGAACCAACACGATGACATCTGTCGATACTTTCGGTATTAACTGATAGCCCCAATTGATTATTAAATATGGATAACACCGCTCTCTCCGGGTTTTCATCTTTGCTCTCAGGTATTCCGAACACACGCACACTGTTGCGACGCGTGTATTGCTCCAATTCATCCATTTTTTCGGCGAGCGAGTCGTTGTCTCTTTTTAGTTGTTCATTTTCTACCTCATCAATTTTCTTTTTAGATATTCTACGTAAAAAAGGATTCGCCGACTTACGTCGAAGAAAAAAAGTGCGAATTTTTAATAACAACTCAAAATAAACGCTCGGGATTCTTAAGAAACCCAATTCATTCTTTGCCATCGAACACGACGTGTCATTATCATTTCCACGGACTTGAACGTGATATCGTTTGGATTTCATTTATAAAGTATCACGTTAAAAACGAAAGGATCGAGGAGTTAGAATGCGACGTTCGATTACAAATTTGGGACGGAGATGTGAAATCGAACGCTAAAGTCCCGTTAATTGGGCAATTCTGCAAAGAGGATAAACCCAAGTTGTGCGATCATCGTCTGTTGGGGAATAAAACCCGGAAAATGTTGCGACCTTGCGATTTAACCGAAAGTTACGTCTCAACAGGACCCGATTTAACGTTAACACAATCGATTAAATACGGAAACGTTTTGTATCCAGTTCAATTTTTAATAAAATACGAATTCGTCGATTTTTCCCAAGAGGGTTTACAAAACAGTTTAAACCCGTGCGATAGAATGTTTAGGAAAAATTCCGGGCGATTTTATTCCCCGAAAATAACGTTTTTATTCGGGAGAGGTGGCCAAAAATCGCTAAAATGTTCTTATCACTTCGAATCGAATGAAAAAAGAAAGTTAGAGATCACCATCGAAAAATTAAAAGTAAAAAATAAAAGTTGTTTCACAAAATACAACAAAGAAACGGGACGATACAAATGTAACCCTAAAAAGGGTAAAGAAAGCAAAACCGAAATAAAAATCTTCGAGTATCCTTGGAGAGGTATTGAGATTTTAAGAGATTGTTTTTGCGAAAATTTTAATTACCCCGTTACGATCCAAACGAAAACCGCTCGGAAAATAATCGTTAACTTCGAAATCACCAAAATGAACGTATCCGATGATTTTAACGACCATTTTTTCGAGGCGACCTATAATTTTTTACCACAAAACGAAGGCTGTTTAAACCCGTGGAAAACGAAGCGATTAAAAGGATCCAGCGGGGAGATTTCAATAATTAATCGAGATTTAAGAAACAATTTTAAAGAAAATCGCTCCATTTTTTATTGTACCCAACAACCTTGGTTAATAGAACCGGAAAATCCTTTCAACAACTTTATTTATTTAAAAATAAACGGGCAAGAAACCAAAAATGTAACGTGTTTAACTAAAAATCGAATTTTGATTTATCCAGTTGGTAACGCTGAAAATCTTAAAATCATTTGCCCGATTTTAAATGGATCCAACGACGTCGTTGAATTATTTTCGGAAGGGTGGGATTTTTTTAATTACAAAACGATACGGTTAAGGAATTCGAAAAGTTTCGTTGTCGAATTTATCCAAAATGAACCGGGAAATTTTATCGTTACTTGGATGGAAATTTCTAAAAATCCAGCTTTGACACTTCCCAGGAGTTTAATGTTAAATCAAATTAACGTTCCAAATTGTATTCACAGGTACTAAAGTATTCTATTCTATTTTATTAGGTATTCATTTTTATTTCAATTTTTAGTTGCCCGGAATTAGAAGCTTGCATAAGTCCCGATTTATGGTGCGATGGGCTACGTCATTGCCCATCTGGTAACGATGAAACCGAAATTAATTGTTCCATCAACAAAAACTACAATTTATTAACAATTATTTGCACCGCGATTATTTGTCTTCTTATTTGTACAATCTCCGCCTTGTTTGCGTGTTTTTGGAAAGCTCATCGACGAAGAGAAACAAGAAACGTTATCGTTTCGGTTACTGACCACACTTTTCTTGAATTTAAAAGAGGGTTGTGTTAAGAATTAAAATCTGCAAAGATACTTCATTGTAAAGTGGTAGGGATGTTCCTATTTGTAAAAGACAATCAGGTGTTGTAATGAAATGGTTAAAAATCGAGGGAAAATAGATTGTATAAATAAAGTATTGACAATATTAATTGATCGTAGATTGTATTATTAGAGTTTGTAAGAAAATAAAAACTTGTATGATAAACTTATTTGAAGTTTGAATAACCTCAAAATCGCGTTTTGACATTGACATCTTAAAATTTTACCGATTTAATTCAAATTTACAATCTATTTAATTTACAACATTTATATAACGATTATTATTCAAAACAAGACATTAATTAAACGTATTTATATAAATGTTTAAAAATTAACTTTAATTTGTAATAAGAAGTGTAACCAACCTTGACGAAAACGATTAAAATTAAAAAGAATGTTATAAAAATTTTAATATTTAATGTAGATAATAAATAAATACAATAAATTTATATCTTAAAATCGTCGTTTTTAATGCATTTTTTGACGTTATCGATTAAAACTTTAAAAATAAATTAGATTAATGACATAACTTAAAGAGGTTATGTGTCAAAAATCAAAACGGCAACTTAAAAGTACTTAAATCTTATTTTATTTTTTATTAAAATATTTTAGTTTATTTATTATATTTATTTAATTTATAACAATAAATTAACCCCTCTCACCATCGATAACACAAATCCATCGTTATAATCAATCGATTAAATTAACTCTCCCAGTGGCGGCTACAACAATCTCAGCATCCGAATTAAACTCGTTTTTATAAACTTCTTTCACTTTCCTCACCAAGGTTGTTAAATCGGGAATATTTGCCATTATTCGGTTAAAAAATCAATTCCATATGATTATTAAATAAACAGGCCTCTAAACAAAAAAGATAACCTTAAAAATTTGACGTTTCTTATGTTGTGATTAATAAATCAGAGATGGCGTAATTATCACATTTTGTTGACAAGATATTTTAGTCTATATGCAAGGTCCGTTGAATATTGAACCAGAATCTTTCCAGTTCTAAGTCTAGTGTTATTTCTAATGATATAAAACTAGAACTAACACTAGACCTAGAACTAGAAACGTTGAAACTTTCTAGTTCTAGGTCTAGTGTTAGTTCTAATTTTAATTGTTATTTAGCTCTAGATTTTTGTTCATTCTTATTGAGCTAAAACTAGACCAAGAATTAGAACTAACATTAAACCTAGAACTAGAATCATTCGGGTTAGCCGTCTTAAGAGACCCGAATGATTCTAGTTCTAAGTCTAGTGTTAGTTGGAGTTTCATATCATTAGAACTAATACCATTCGGATTTAGCCGTGTTAAGAGACGCACAGCTAATATAAAACTGAACGCAACGGTGTGGATAGCTATTCGAATGTATGTGCATTAAAATTATTCATTTAAACAGTTACAAATAAATAACTTTTCATATAACGGGATATCTGCATTATTTCCCCGTATTAATCGAGACTTTTACTGTATTTACATTTTAATCCCATCCAAATTTCATTCTTCAACAATTAATAGAAGCAGAAATAACATAGAAAGTAATTTTATTTATTTTAAGGTTATGTTTGACATTTAAACGTAAAATAAAAAATTAATAAAATAATTCTTTTTAAATCTCAGTTTAAACTTTAAAATTATTTAATTTAAATTATTTTAATTATATTTAACATTTAAAAAGAATAAATTAATTAAGTTATTGAGATTTAATTAAATTTTTAAAACGATGTCACTAGGTTTAAGTTGGCACCACTTTTTTTTAATGTTTATTTAAATTTATTTATTTAATCTTAAAATAACATTATTATAAAAACGTATTAATAAATATACCGTTATTAAGGATATATTTAAAATAAATAACGAAAATTTTAATATAATTATATTTTTTTACTAATTTATTGTTATAATTTAACTATTATAAGGCCAAGTTTGATTTTGTACATGCCCCGGGTATTTATCTTTATATTTCAATCCTGTTACGATGGTTGAACTCCTCGGATAAGCGGTTTGCCCGCCGAATTTCGTGTCAGTATCTAAAAAAAATTAATACAATTAAAAGAATTTAAGTAAAAAGATATAAACCTGGATGATATCGGTGATATTCATATTGTATGTGTAAATTAGGAGGTAATTCCATCGTTTTTAATTTATCTAAGGGGGTTGTTGTAGAAATTGGGGTGCCATAAAATTGATAAACATCCCCGACGGTTTCTATTTTGTGTAATAACGAATTTGGGACGCTATGTTGGAATTCTTCACAACAATTATTTAGGATAACGAATTTTTGTTGTGTATTCAATTTTGTTGTTGTTTCCACGCTTCCAATCACTGAAGTAATGATGGTGTTTAATCGTTGATTTAGGTCGTTTGGGGGGTTATAATCTTTTTGCGAGCGTAAGAATCTAAAAAGAAATTAATTTTAAATAAATTTTTTGGTTTTTATTGGGGTGAAGTCCGCGCAGATTCGCATATATCGACCCCGTAGGGTGGCTCCGTCTAGCGTTTTAGTCGATAACTCCACGAGAGAGAGTTATAATCATGGCTTCCCGTATAATGCCAGTGGCGGCGAATACGTTCGGCTCGCGATTATTTACTTACCCTTTCGTCGCTAAAGATTGTGCCGATGAATCAATTTTCGGTCCAACCTTCCTGTCTAAACCCTTCTTTTTTTCGGCCTTCGTCGCGTAACTCCGCCACGGGACCTTTAAACAACATCAAATCAACTTTGTGTTAAAAAAAAATAATAAACGTGAGTTATTCGGTGAGTTATTTTCGAGAAACAAAGTGATCTATCTCGTCGATTTATCAAGTGAATTTGTTTATTAAGTTTGGTGATATTTACATTTTTGTGAAGTTGTCCAATTTTTGACAGTGCGTGTCTGACGAGTGTTGCGGCCATTTTTTATGTGATTAATAATCGACGTGAAGTTGGCACAGGTCGAAGACTAAACGGTACCATCGTTTTCGGTGTCGACCGCTTGGAGGCGTCCTCGTCGGTTTAGTGTCGCTTGTTATTTCGTCCGCCATCTTGCGATCGCTCCGTTAAAAGGTGAAATCGTATCAAATGCACGTCGAAAATCGACGTTTTTAAACGGTGATCGCGTTGTGCGACCATTCGTCGGTGTTGTGCCTCGATAAAACAACTATAATGGATCAACCATGACGCATCCGAACCTACAAACCAACGGCGCCAGTTTGGAAGATTGCCACACTAATTTCTTTGCCCTGGTAAGTACCGTTTACCTCCTTTTATTTCTTACGTTTGCTTTATTTTTAAATCAAAGTGTATTTACGTTTAATACACGCAATTAGTAACGATAATTTTTTATTTTTGCATCGATGCGAAATTGTTTATTTCAAGAACTTTGACATCTCAATTCGTATTCTCTATCTCTGTGTATTTAAGTGTGTGTTGTTTTTCTCGTCTGACGTAACTATAGCGATAAAACAAACGACGAATTTTAGGATTCTTTGTTTTCTTTTATTTTAGTGAGGTTATGTTGTTGGTTTCTGGATTATTCCTATCTTTCTATTTTATTTTATTTAATTTTTTTTTGTATGTGCGGGCGTTGAAACATAAGCATAATAATAAATACATAAGTGGAATGAGTGTGAACGATACACGCACACACACACACTAACAAACGGGTACGGGGCCGTTTCGTTGGTTCGTTCGGGCGAAGAAGGCGCCCTGTTGCCATGTCGTCGACGTGTAACGGTCTCGGCGTTTCTCTTCACGAATATCTGGATCGCGCTCTTTGCTTGCTGCCGTGTTTTCTAAGCCGGCTGCGACCTGTCTTTATGTTCAACGACCTTGTCCATTCCAAACGAGTCGGGTTTTACTTTGAAAACTTGACTTTTTCCACGAAAAATTCACGCATTCCATCGCATCGATCATTTCCTAATTACTAATCGCTTATCAATATCAATGAATCAAATCGTTATTGCAACCATCCTTGGAATTTTTTTAAAATTTAATCAAAATTCGTTACAAAAAAGTCAAAAACGTCAAATTTATAATTTGACACTTAAACGTCAATGTCATTTTTTTAAATTTATTCATTTAATTATTTTATTCTATGTTTTAATGTGATTAGATTTGTTGATAACGATACAGATAATAAATCGTTTTGTTCCTATTGTTATTGTTGATGCGTTTTTAAAAATAAAGGGCCACGCGCGCTCGATGCGGTCGAGATTTACATAACCGCGGTATCTTGTGGGGCCGTGGTTTTCACGGTGCTTCTATCGTTATCTCTTTCTGTCGCTTGCAAATTGTTGCGCGTCTCTAAAAACAGGTAGCGGAGATTCCTGGAGAGTGCGCTATCGTCGTTGTTGTCGCACTCCTCACCGGAACGACATCGAATTTCGAATCAGCTGCGCTTATGTTACGGAGTGTACACGCCGAAGAACTGTCACCGGTTCGCCGCGTTGCCACATTTACGAAAAAGACGTACCAACATCGGTCAAGAAATGCAAATCTAATTTTAATTTTATTTTTATGTAAATGTATTGGTTGGGTTAATAAAAAGTTATTTGTGCGTTTGTTTTTGTTGTGGAAAGTAACGATAAAATTATCGACCGCGATGAAAGTGAAAGTGTAGCATAAATATGAGGTTTGCAAGGGTATTTCCGAAAATTACGAGGTTAGCATACATTCTTTTCCTTTCTAGAAACGACCAGAACGTTTCTAGATGAGAATAATTATTAAATTTGATTTATTTTAGTTCCTATTGGTGATAATTTTGAAAATAACGAAGACGATATTGCGGCAAAAGATGAAATTGAAGCAAAGAAGAATTTTGCTCCCAATCTGTTAACTTAATAAGATTCTCATCTTCAGCAGAAAATATTTTAGACGACGCATTAAGCTGTGATAAGGCCTCCTCATCGTGGCTTTTATATTTTTAGAGAGATCAAGGTCATTTGACTTCAAAAATTGCTGTAATAAAAAACAATCTTTGCCTGTATCATTACACCTCTTTACAGTGTAAGTGAACAAAAAAAATGTACAAATGAAATTGTACAAATTTTACAAAAATGGAACGATGAGACAGTTTAGAAAGAAATGGAAGTAATTAGAAAATGAGTAAACTGTTTAGTACAAAAAAGAATAAAGATCTAAGGGCAACAACCACGCCACGAAAAATAGCTTTAGATTGTTGATGTTTTATGGCTACACACTCAATTATACAACACACTTCCCGAGGTGACTCTGGTTGCAATCAAGCCTATTAATAACGATCTTATTAATGCTGCTTTGTTGGAACTTAGTGTAGGTGGATTTACACAACAACACTGCGAGTATCAATCATGTCAAATGGCAACAAAGAAGTCTTAAAATTGTCTAAAAACATAGTTAATAAGGATGTTCCGAATAATGCTTATATTGTAAATTGAAAATGAACGCGACGTATTGGGAGTGATGAGGTAATGAAACTTATTCTAAATTAAAGCTCAAAGCTTTCTCTTTAAAATGATGTATAATAATGGTTGTGTTGGATCACAAAAATGTGGAGAAAAAAAATGTTGAAATAAAACTGACATTTTCGTATAACCTAAAAATGTCAAAAAAGATGCAAATTTAAAAATTCCTGGAAGCCGTATTTATTGAAATTAAGGAATGAGACTTATTTTAAATTAAAGCTCAAAGCTTTCTCTTTAAAATGATGTATAATAATTGTTGGGTTGGATTGGAAAAATATAGAGAAAAAAAATGTTGAAATAAAACTTACATTTTTATATAACCTAAACGTGTCAAAAAAAGATATTGATTTAAAAATTCCTGGAAGCCGTGTTTATTGAAATTAAGAAATAAAACTTATTTTAAATTGAAGCTTAAACCTTTCTCTTTAAAATGATGTGTAATAATGATTGTGTTGCATCACAAAAATGTGGAGAAAAAAAAATGTTGAAATTAAACTTACATTTTCGTATAACTTAAAAATGTCAAAAAGATGCTAATTTAAAAATTCCTGGAAGCCGTATTTATTGAAATTAAGGAATGAAACTTATTCTAAATTAAAGCTCAAAGCTTTCTCTTTAAAATGATGTATAATAATTGTTGGGTTGGATTGGAAAAATATAGAGAAAAAAAATGTTGAAATAAAACTTACATTTTTATGTAACCTAAACGTGTCAAAAAAAGATATTGATTTAAAAATTCCTGGAAGCCGTATTTATTGAAATTAAGGAATGACACTTATTCTAAATTAAAGACCAAAGCTTTCTTTTTAAAATGATGTATAATAATTGTTGGGTTGGATAGGAAAAATATTGAGAAAAAAACTATTGACATAAAACTTCTTGGAACAGCGGTCGATTGCATACACTTGTCGAAGTTGATCTACCGAACGAAAATTTCTATATGTACCCTTCCTTATCTTCTAAGCACCAGAACTTATAACCCCTTTTTATGGGCTTCATGAGATTGATTTGTTTCATACTTGACCTCTCTTTGAAGACTACCATGGATTCATCCACAGCCAACTGCCTAATGCCATGATAATAACTGGAAAACTGACGGTTAAGTGTTTCAAAATACTACTGTAGGATTAATAAAGTATCACCAATTATTCCCTCTGGATAATGGTATCCTGGAATTTCAGTGTTTTCCCCGTTTTCTCCAGTTTCTATCAATTTCTGCCTTGTTTTTCTTGTTGGGCCTTTTGCCACGTATTTCTACTACTTCAGTGTCACTTTCCTCATTTTCATTATTTAGTTGTTCTACTTCTTCATCTTCCAGCATAGGTACCTCACTAGCACTAGTAATAACAACTTCATCTTCTATTTCTCAATCTCAATATTGTACCTGTTATTATCCTGACGGTACTTTTAAGTACCAAACACAAAATGTAACTTTTTTCGGGATAAAAATAAGAAATGTTTGAAAATTGTATTTGCAATACGTAAACAATACTTGAAGCTGCTAACAAATCACACCTAATAACCATTTATCAAAGAGATACCTTTTTGAACAACGAAATTCAACAACACCACTTTTCACTAAACTTCTAACCTCACATCTGGATGAATAAGTTTAAATATACCTAAAAAGATTCTTTCTTGTATAGTAGAAAGTACCGACAGCTCTAAATGCACCGAATAGATGACTACAGTTTAAAATGAGTGTTAAAGTACCGTCGAGACACAAAGGGTTAAACCAATTTTTTGGCCACATCGATACACAATACTTTATCAGAGTTACTATTTAGTGTAAACGTTGCCTTGAGTAACAATGCGGTAACTCAGTGATGAAGATATAAATCTAAGATATAATCTGGGAATGTTTCTTGATCATCTTAAAATAGCATTAAAAAGGAAACGGTTATGACCGATTAAAAAAAATTAGATTTCACTTACAAAATATAGATATTTGTTAACCTACGAGATAAGGTAAATATCGCAGCGATAAGAAGTTTTTCCTGTTATTGTTGTACCACCTTGTTTTGACTACGTCGATGGTCGTAATCGCGAGCAGCTCCGCGCCAGGCGTCTATATTTGTTGATCATAACGATGGCGGAGGGGAGAAACCGGCGAATTTCTCCTTCGCCACACTATCTTCTGCACCGTCCCCGGAATCTGGGTCATGCCGTGAACAATGGCAACGCCGGCAATTAGAAATATTTAACGGCCCGTTAAATCTCTCGTTCCAACGACGTACTCTACTATAAATTCGCGCGCAGTTTCGGCGGTGGGGGTCCGATATCCCATTCATTCCCCGCCCATTGACGGTGTCTGGCTGTGAAACGCCGTGGACATTTTACGTTCGAAACATTAATTTATTTAACATTCTTAAGAAAAATTTATTTATTAAATCGTTGTTATCGTTTGATGCAATTATTGGATATCTCGCCTTGACTGACTTTCGAAACTTCGCGGGTCAAGGCGAAACATCAACGTTCAACGGCCAATTTCAATTGACGCCAAGAGCCGGTGTCGTATCTGTTAGATACAGTGTTGCCATACGTACGATAATTCCACTAAATGTACCGTGTATGGTCCAAAAGGGAATACCGTTTAAAAATATATGGTAATTTAGAAATCTGTAATTTAATTTAACAATACACAGGGTCATCAACACAGGGTAAATCAATATACAGGGTGTCTCACGTAACTGGTTCGTTAAAACTTTTGTAGGTTCCACTATTCGTAGAGGTTTGAAATTTTGGTAGCATGGGTTGTTCATTCTAAACATTCAATCTAAAATATTTTCAAGATGGCCACCACTTCCGGTCTACCGGAAGTAGACCACAACTTTGTTATTTTAAATGGAATACTATAGTTTTTATTACACCTTTCAATTATACATAAAAAAATATGTTGATTTTCATAAAAGTTGTTGGTACCTAGCATTTTTTGTTTTAGAGTTATTTTGATTTTAAGCTTTTTTTGGCAAATTTCACCATGCTCTTTAAAAGCCCATATCTCAGTTAACGTTCATTAAAAAAACCTCTAAATTGGCACGATTACTCTTCAGATGTTGTCAAATAGATTGTCATTTCTTGTATCAAAGTATCTTATACAGGTTGGTCAAAAATTGAATTACCGTTTGTCCATATTCAATGGCTAGAAAGTCGAAAATTTTAAATGGAATGCCCCGTATTTTTTTACCCTATCAGAAAGGGAATTTAATTCTCTACAAATTATCTATAAACATTCCTATACCTATTTATTGTAGTTTCCCTGATATTGGGATATTAATCAAAGCATGCACGGAATGCGGGAAAACATTTGATTTTTTTATTAGAAGGCCATGGAATTTTGACAGTTTTTGGTCCATATTTGTGTTATTGTTGTTGTTACTTACTTTTGATTACGAGTGAAAGTCATTGTATATCATGGCAAATTATTCCAACGCCGATATTTTAAATTTGTTTTATATTCATGGCGAATGTAATAAATTTCAATGTTTTCTATGTCTGATTTTGATTAATTTTCCAATATCAGGGAAACTACAATAAATACGTATAGGAATGTTTATAGATAATTTGTAGAGTATTAAATTCCCTTTCTGATAGGGTAATGAAATATGGGGTGTTCCATTTAAAATTTTCGCCTTTCTCGCAATTGAATATTGAGAAACGATAATTCAATTTTTGACCAGCCTGTATAAGATTCTCTGATACAACAATTGACAATCTATTTGGCAACATCTGTAGAGTAGTCGTGCCAATGCCTATATATATGGCCTTCTATGATATGGGCTTCTAAAGACCATGGTGAAATTTGTCAAAAAACACTTAAAATCAAAATAACTCGAAAACAAAAAACGCTAGGTACCAACAACTTTTATCAAAGTTAACATATTTTTTTTACGTATAATTGAAAGGTGTAATAAAAACTATAGCATTCCATTTAAAATAACGAAGTTGTGGACTACTTCCGGTAGACCGCAAGGGGTGGCCATCTTGAAAATATTTTAGATCGAAAGTTTAGAATGAACAACCCATGCTACCAAAATTTCAAACCACTACAAATAGTGGAACCTTAAAAAGTTCTAACGAACCAGTTACGTGAGACACCCTGTATAAGGAATCACACTGTAACATAACCAATGAGAAAAATCGCACACAATATTTTCGTTGGTTATATTGGCGTATAATATTCTTGTATATTTGTGTTTATTCTTCTTCTACTCTGATTCTGTGTTAAAATTTTATAATATTCCAGTTGTGACACGATATATACAGGTGTCCCGAAATTCAACGTGAAGCGAGTACCGCGCGAAAGGCCAACCCATGCCTGTTTTTTTAAAAATACGAAAAAAACCATGTCTCTTAGTTAAGTGATAATAGACATATTTTTGAAAATGTTTAAAAATGTTCCTGTAGATCATATCTTTAAGTAGGTATCTACTACGGCCCGAAATGTTTGTAATTTAATAGTGATTTTTTTAATAATGTCACAAATCAAACAACAAAAGTCGGTAGTTTTACGGAAAAAATATTAGCTTGATTGAGTTAAGATTGAAAAAACTTATCTCTATCAAGTTTAACACACCATTTCTAAAAAAGGAGTACCAAAGCACCCATGATAAGTTATTTTAAAAGACGACCTGTTTAGGCAAGATTCCCAAATGGTACAACACTTGCTATTTTTCTTTTTAAAAAAATATTACTGCCTGTAGCATGCTGTGCATACGACATGTAACAAATCACGATCGTGTTGCTAAATAAAATCAATAATTATATTCAAGTCATTCAAATTATTATATTATACTAGCTGTACCCTGCGCGCGTTGCTACGCTACCAACTAAAATAAATTTGAAGGAAAGACATTACGCAAATATTCAATTGAGTCATTTTATTGATTTTGAAAAAATTATTGCATAGAAATCTTCGTGGGCTCATGCACAATAACTTTGCTAAAGATCATCACATGATCAAATGCATAGTTTACGATTCTATAAAGGACATACAGACAAACATTCATTTTTATATATACAGGGTGAGTCAGAAAGAATGGGAAATCCGAATACCGAAGATACTAGACACCAAAATATGTTGAAAGTCAAATTCTTATTTCGAAATTTCTTGATAATTTCGAAGGTTTTTGTACTATTAACATAAAATTTGGTAGTTTTATGTTTTCGAGCATGAGAAATACGAATTTGAAACTTGTTTTGTTATTGCTCGTAGAGGGCGCTAGATACACGCTGCTCGTTTGATAAATCAAATCATAAGTTTTTTGGCTCGACAGCTACGACCAATAAGAGCTGCAAATCACAAAGAGTATTCAATTTTACATAAAAAAGGTACTCTTATTGAAATTGTCTAAGTCTATCGGTTTTCGAATTATTTACTTTTAATTTTATTGTTTAAATGTATTTTTTCTTCTAAAATATTTATTTTTTAAGATAAGCAAAGTTGGGTTATTTTTCCGCTTATGTTTCGACAATGCCTGTTAATTGTCAACATTGATCTAATTGCCGTGTGCAATAATCATTTTTACCAACAATAAAGTTATTACCAATTTGAAAATGCTACGACATAATGAGTTTTATCATAGTCAGAAATCCAGATTTAAGTCCACTGGATTTTTGAAAATGGTCACAATATTCTATTGTTATTAATTAATTGTTATTGTTATCGTTACTAATTGCTATAGTTACTGTGTGTTATTGATTTTAAATGTTAACCTTAAAATTACTTTGAAACAATTAAAAGCAGATAACTTGGAAACCAGTAGACTTAGACAATGTAAGCAAGAGTACCTTTTTTGTGCAGAATTGAAAACTTCTTCAGATTTCTGGTTCTAATTCACCATACCTCAACTGACAAAATAGTTATGACTTGATATCTCAAACGTACAGTGTGTATCTAGCGCCCTCTACGAGTAATCACAAAACAAATGTCAAATTCGTATTTCTCATGCTCGAAAACATCTAACTACCAAATGTTATGTTAATAGTACAAAAACCTTCAAAATTATCAAGAAATTTCGAAATAAAAAATTAACTTTCAACACCCTGTGTATTAAAAACCACTCTAGTGTCTCCGGTATTCGGATTTCCCATTCTTTCTGACTTACCCTGTATACAGGGTTCAAAAATGGCGGAAAATTTTGGTTTAATTTTTTTTTCTCAAAAACCATAAACGCTAGGAAAATGAAATTTGGGGAATATGTTTAACTCATAATAGGGCACGTTTTGACCCTATTTGTACTTTCAACCTACCCTTCTAAACTACTAAACGTAACCACCCCCGTTCAATTTATGCCTAGATTTTTTTTATGAAGATGATAAATACATTGGAAAAATTTCAGTTAGATAGATAAAACTATTCTAAAACTTTTTTGTCTCTCTGATGTTCTTCGAAAATTTAATAATTTCTGAGAAAAAAAATAATTAAGCAAACACTAACTGTTAAGCTGTAGGGTTGTTAATCGAAAGTTGGAATGAATTTTTAATGAAAAAATCTTAGTAGGCTTTGCAATCTTTGTCAGAAATATTTTTGACGTTTAAATGTCAGTGTTTTTCTTACTATTATCATTGTTTTTCAAATAAAGTTCTATCGCATTTACGCTCGTTCACTCGACGTTTCACAATTTTAAATAAAACAATAATAATAGTAAGAAAACCACTGATATTTAAACGTCAAAAATATTTCTGACAAAGATTGCAAAGCCTACTAAGATTTTTTCATTAAAAATTCATTCCAACTTTCGATTAACAACCCTACAGCTTAACAGTTAGTGTTTGCTTAATTATTTTTTTTCTCAGAAATTATTAATTTTTAGAAGAACATCAGAGAGACAAAAAAGTTTTAGAATAGTTTTATCTATCTAACTGAAATTTTTCCAATGTATTTATCATCTTCATAAAAAAAATCTAGGCATAAATTGAACGGGGGTGGTTACGTTTAGTAGTTTAGAAGGGTAGATTGAAAGTACAAATAGGGTCAAAACGTGCCCTATTATGAGTTAAACATATTCCCCAAATTTCATTTTCTTAGCGTTTATGGTTTTTGAGAAAAAAAACCAAAATTTTCCTTGAAGTTTGTTGCAGTCATTCAGATACACCTGTAGATTTCATCCAACGAAAGTGTTTTTTTTGCAAAAGAGCACGTTGTTTAAAACATTCTTTCGTATGCCATTTCTATTTCCTATACAAATCCTTAATATCTACGAAGAAATGTGGTTTCAACAAGATGTTAAAAAACTGTTATTTTGTTATACTTAAAATAAATTTTATAGTTCATTTTATAGCATTTATTTCGCAAAACCTTTTGTGTCACTACCATTTTTAGTACAAGTACGGTACTACAGCGTCCTCTGTGTAGATACAGAAAGTTTAAACCCTACGATGCGTCGCTTGCCATTGAAGTTTATTCCACGCGCACCTAAACGATTTAATCGTTGCGATGGGAAAGTAACCCACTGACCCATAAAGTTTATGTGACGACAAATAATAATAAGTCTATTACATCATTTTGAGAAATTTTTCAATAAATTTATTTTTTTTTTTTCATTTCAGACCGAATTATCGGGTATAAAATGGCGTAAACTGGTGTGGTGCGAAGGAGGTGGTGTTGGGGGAGCGTACGGGGGCGCGCACCCCGCTGGAAGCGGAGGCGGGGAACCCCTCGAAGACGTCGTTTTGAGAAGTTACGCCCGGTGTCTTGCAGCGGATATCCTATGCGTTTGGAGACGCGTTTCGGCACCTCAAGCGACGCATCCTTTCGACTTGGTCCCACCACCACCGAGTCAACCGCCGCCCCTTAGTCTTGCTGCGGCTAAGGAACTTTGGATTTTCTGGTACGGCGAAGAACCAGACCTCAAGGATTTAATTGCACCAGATCTTTTACAATGCGGTGAGTTTTATAGTGAATGGTGTTGTTGGCCGTCCTCTAATAATCGATGCGTCACAGCGAGTCCGCGTGAATTCACTCGGTTGCTATGACGACCACGCGAGACACGTTCGATTAGCGACGACACCGCCATCTGACCGCCGTCGCTTTGTTTACCTTGGAATGCTTACCGTCACATTTTCAAGTACAATTTAGATGGTTCTAATAAGCTAGAAACGTTTAAGTGGCATCTTTTAATTAGCTCTATCTTATTGCATTTTATGATTTAATAATAATTTATCTCTTTGTCTAATTTCAGAAAGTGAACAAGGATCGTGGGAAAGCGGTTTATCATACGAATGCAGATCGTTGCTATTCAAGGCTTTACACAATTTGATCGAACGTTGTTTGTTATCGAGGGACTTCATAAGGATAGGAAAGTGGTTCGTGCAGCCTCATACGGGCTCTAGGAAACCGACGGACGCCAGTTCGGTGCATCTATCGTTTTCGTTTGCGTTTTTCGTGCACGGCGATAGTTCCGTGTGCGCTAGCGTCGACGTCAGGCAACATCCGCCCGTTCGAAAACTATGCAAGAGCCACCTGCATCAGGCGCAGGCGTCCACGTCGGGTTTGCAAGGTAAACATATCGATTCGAACGGCGAGGCGACCGCCCTTGTCCCTTCTCCGTAATTAATGGGTCAGTAAAGCGAGATTCCGTTTTAAGAACGAACGTATTGAACGCGCCCGACAACTTCTGAATCTGGACGAGATCCTCGAGTTTTATTTCCGTCTCCATCCGATCGCTCTATAAACGGGTTGAATTGGAGCGGGGATTTGATTGACTCTATTTCAAGCGTAAAAGGAGTGCGCGTGTTGCGATTTAACTTGTTGCTTGTAAACAACTAAAGCAAACTAATTCAATTTTAAATTAATAATATTTATCTTAATAATAAAATTAAAGCCCTAGAAAGTTCTAGTAAATAGGTAATTTACGTTCTGAGCTTTCGCTTCGTAATACGCCCGTGAAACGAGCCTCTTTTCGGTACAATGAACCTTGCGGCTGAACCCAACGCTTGCGCGATTTTATCTACGATATGGCGATAGCGCCGTCTAGCGGTGGAATCGCGCGTCGAAGGAAATTCCTTCTTTAACATCATATTTCTTTTTTTTTTTAATTTGAATTAATCTTTGTTGTAGTTATTCTTGCCCCGTTTGGATTGGCGGGAACAATAACCGGACAGACGTTTAAAAATTGCGACAACGCTCGTCTTTTGGAAGATTGGGGACACTTTTTTCCTTTAGACAAAAATTATTTGCAATCTCCGACGGAGAATGGAGTCGTGGAGGTGATTGTTGGCGGGATGAAGATGCGATATCCCTCGGGCTACGTTCTCGTAACGGACATTGACGATACCGTGAATAATTCAGCCCCGACTTCCGTTGATTCTAATGTTACCACTCCTCTTGTTACCATCACCAATACAAATTCCTCCGCAAATGGCACCACCAAACATGGAAATGGGGATTTTTCGAGTAATTAAATTAATTTATATATTATACAGAGTAACGAATATCGGGATTTTAACGCTTCGTATTTATTACATGAAACTTAAAATCATAATTAATACATGAAGTAACTCAAACAGTCTTATCCAAATCTTATCCATTTTGCAAACAAGTTTCTTAATATTTCTTTTTGTTTTGTTAAAAAAGATCACATATCAAAGTCGAAATCAGATTATTAGTTACTAACTTACAAAATGTAAGAACGCTCTTTTTTAACAAAAGAAATATTAAGAAACTTGGGAGAAATTCAAGAATCATCATGTGGCTTAAAAATCGACGATTTTTTTTAATCAATGCGAAATGACCCAAAAAACACGTTAAAAAGAAAAAGAAAATGACTAACACTAGATTAACTTCAATTATAAAACTTCTTTTATATGATAACTAACTTCAGGTTTAAAATGTCAACCTGAATTTTGACATATTTATAATCTTCATTAAAAATCCTTTAAAATGAGTCCAAACACGACATATTTATCTTCAATATTAAAGAAATTATGGTTAACTTCCAGTTAAAAATGTCAACGTCAATTTTGACATATTTGTAATCGTCGTGAAAAATCCTTTAAAATGAGACCAAACATGATACGTTTAATTCCAATATTACTCGAGATATAAGCAACTTCCGGTTTGAAATGTCAATTTCATTAATTTTTATAAAATGCTTAATAAACAAAAATATGATAAAAAAAAAAAATAAAAAGTTAAGGTTGGTATTAATATTTAAAAATTAAATTGCTATCTTCATTGTTGCCAACTTCGGGTTTAATGTTTTTTATTCTAACTTTTTTGTTTTTTGAGATAAGTGCGTCAAGTTTGGACTCATTTTAAAGGTTTTTTAATGAAGATGACAAATATGTCAAAATTGACGTTTCAAACCGGAAGTGATTGTATTTCCATTAATATTAAAGTTAAGTAAGTCGAGTTTGGACTCATTTTAAAGGATTTTTTATGAAGTTGACAAATATGAAAAGTGGAATAAGGAAAAGTGACTAACACTAGATTAACATCAGTTATAAAACATCTATTACATCATAACTAATTTCAGGTTTAAAATGTCAACCTCAATTTTGATATATTTGCAATCTTCATTAAAAATCTTTTAAAATGAGTACAAACACGACATATTTATCTTCAATATTAAAGAAGCTATGGTCAATTTCCGGTTGACAATGTCAACGTCAATTTTGACATATTTGTAATCGTCGTTAAAATCCTTTAAAATGAGTCCAAACATGATACGTTTAATTTCAATATTACTCTAGATATAGGCAACTTCCGGTTTGACATGTCAATGTCATTTTGACATATTCCTAATTTTTATAAGAATGTCTTAATATTTGTCACAAAATTAAAAATATAATAAAAAAAAATAAAAAATTAAGGTTGGTATTAATATTTAAAAATTAAATTGCTATCTTCATTGTTGCTAACTTAGGGTTTAATTTTTTTTATTCAAACTTTTTTGTTTTTTGAGTTAAGGTTTTTTAATGAAGTTGACAAATATGTCAAAATTAAAAATTGAAAGTTCGAACTTTTTGGTTTTTTGAGATAAATGCATCAAATTTGGACTCACTTTAAAGGTTATTTTATGAAGATTACGAATATAATAATAAATTTAAAGTTGACATTGACAACTGAAAGTTTTTTTCATAACTAAATCCGAATGTTTTTAGTTTTAGTTTAATAAAAATAGATGTTAATCTATTTGTAGAGTCTCTGAAGATGGCCAAGGTCCGAAACTAATTAGACTTAAATTCTACAGTGTGTCCGTAAAGTAACGCGTATAAGCGATAAAATCATTATAAACGGTTTATTAAAAAATTCCTGAAAAAGATTTAAATTTTAAATTTATATCGTTTTGGAAAAATCTAAAAACCTCCCTCTAGTTAAGGTTTCCTTAAAAAGTAAGAACTCAGGACGGTGTCTCATACTATTTCGCTACACCATAGTTTATTTCTTGCCCAATGTCGATTTTGGGTAGCCCAATACCGACAATTTTGTCTATTTACTTGTTCACTCAATGTGAACGTTCCTTCGTTGGAAAAAATATGTTTTTGACAAAGTCTTCGTCATCGTAGCAAAATTGTTGTTGGAAAAACTACGACTCATTGCTCATGAATATTTTGTATAATGTTGATTTACTAATTCCAAATTAGTAGTCCAAATTCGACCCAATACCGCTGACAGTATTGCCCAGAAAAAACAACCTTTTGTTGAAGCTGAAACGTTTCGGTCAGGCAGACTTTCAGAAATCTCTAAGATGTCCATGTTTTTTTAATTTAGTCACAGTGAGCTAAGCAGTTTTTGTTCAGGTAATGTTACATTAAGGAGGTCAACTACTTACTAAATCATTTTTTGACACTTAGAAAATTGTTTAAAATAATTGGTTACCATAGATACTCATGGCTACTGCTATTTTTATCATGTCAACAAATTAGAAGTAGTTAAACTTTAAGGTAACTTATGTAAGTAATATTAATATTGACTGTACTACATTCAGAAAAACATCCTCTTCATATTCCGTAATAAAAATGGTGGAAAAAATTTAAAATCTTGGTGCAGATTTGTGAGTTCTTGATGAGTTTAAATTTCATGTAATAAGTAGTACAAAGCGTTAAAACCCTTTAGAAACACCTGTATATTAATTTAATAACTTTTTTAGATATCCCATCGAATTTACAAACACCACCAGCATCTCCTGTTCCAATTAATAGTAAAGTGCCACATCCTGGGCCTTTTCCAGTTTCGGTGGAGCACCCCGCTTCTATGCAACGGCCTTCAACGGCGGCTTCGGTGTTTCCGGAACGAGTTTGGCAAGAATGTATGTTGGGGCAAGCTGGGACGGCGCAAGGATCTTCAGGTCCTGGCGAATGGGATTTTGTCGATCCTTTAAAAAGGGTCATCTGCTCGTGTTCAAGGTAAGTTTGTTATGATCAGTGGTAGGTAGTTCTCTTAGGTAGCTTACCTGTACGCAGTACGTACTTAGTGTCCAGATTGAACTGTGTTGAGTGCACGTGTATTGCAGGTGTAGAAAGTACGTGGGCAGCATGACGAGCAGTAAGTGGGCCTCGCCGCGGCCCTGCAAGGGGGCGCGGGGCAGAATCCCCTTCCATAGACGCTCCCCCGTGCCTCCAGAGAACGACAGGTTGGTCACCGCTTTGGGTGACGGGCTATCGCACTCACTCATTCATTTTTTTTTAACATCAGTTTAATTTAATTTTTGATAACTCGATTTAATTAAAATTAATTCACTTTTTTTTTGAGGTTTTCATATATTATTTATCCTTTAACAAGCTTTTATCGGTTTGGTTTAATTATAAAAGCCTCATATAAAAAAATTAAGTCCAAACATTGAGCCATGATTAAAAATTAACAAATTCACACCTGCCCTTGAGGTAAGTTTCATTTCACAATTTGCTGGTGTAGGTTTCATCGCTTGATTAACTGTAACACTAAACTGGTCGCTGAAGCATGCCTCCAGGGATGTTTTTTTTTATTTTAATTTTTGTAAAGTTTATATTAAAGAGAATTTTTGTCCGTTTCAGGTGTGTGGGTTCGTGTACGCCACATGGTGGGCCGCCTTCGTATCCTCGTACGCAAGAATCGCTCGCAATTCCATCCGTGGGAAGTCCGCAATCGGCCGCACCATCTCCGTTGCCCAATCCGAGCTCGGAACAACCCGCGTCGGTGCCCCCCAACGATCAAGGCATGCTCATTATGCCGACATTGTCGCCTATACCGTCCACGACGGGGCAATCGCCCGCTGAAAAAGTACTCAATACGCAAACACCGGAACAACCGCCGAAAAGCACCGGATCGATAATTAACAGCCCGCATCCGCTAACAGAAACAAAATGTAATGGCGCGAACGAAAATAGTAATTTAACCACTTCAACATTAACAGCTCCGATTTTGAAAAGACCAACGTTAAGTTCAAAAGAATACGAATCGGCTGTTGGTGAAGAAGATCTTACTTTGGATTTACTTTATGATTTTTCAACATTAAATGCTTGGTAATTAAATTTTTTTAGTTTATTAATTACTTATAAATAATTTATTAATATTTTAGGTTAAATCATCCTGTAAAGAAGATTAAGTTGGATTCGAAAGACATCCAACGAAATAACAGATCAAACAAAGACTTGTATTCTATGTTTAAACAAAACGGGGATTCGCTTACAAATAATGATCTGTCTGTTAATAATATTAGGAAAGAACCGTTTTTAATTCATGACATTAAACAAGAACCAGGCCTTGAGGTAATCTATTTTTTTTTTTATAATAAAATAATTTTATTTATATTATTTTTTATTTTATTTTGGAATCAAAATTAAATTTAAAAATAAAGTGAACCCAAATATTTTATTTATTACCGAAATAAAATAAATTATTACAGAATAAATAAAATTATTACAAAATAATAATAATTATTATTAATTATTAAAGATGGAAACAGAAACAACAATATTACCCGGCCATGGAATAAAAAGACCGGGCGATCCTTACGATTTTGAAGAGGAAGGTCCAAATAGTGATTGTCATCTCGATAGTTTTAAACGTACCGGAATTACAATTAAAGAAGAGCCAAAAGATGTTAAAAAAGACCTTAGATTATTGACCAATGAAGATCTCCAACCTTCGTTTAGAGATCTTGATGAGATTTTTGAACATTCGGATGATACAAGCAGTGATGAAGCAGTAAATTTGATTTATTCTATTAAAATTTATTTATTAATGTAATTTTGTTATAGTTGCACGCTCATATACAAACTCCACCCGATTCTAATAAATCGATTGGACACCACGATGATAACAAAAGACTTTCTGGACATAGTAGTGGAAATACAAGTGGGGGAAGTGCGGGAGCCGGTTGTTCGTTAATTGGGGGACTTCGACCCGAGGAACTTAGTAAAATGTTTCCTACACCTCCCAGTTTGGAACATAATCCGATCGCTTCACCAATTGGGCAACAAGATTTACCACAACCGGATTTAACCGAATTGAGTTTAATTCGAAAACAAGATATTTATCCAAATACGGGAAGTCCACAGGAAGAAAATATAGGTTTGTGTTAATTAATTAAAATTAAATGCTCTCAAAACTCAACGTCAAGTGGGCCAACCCATTCCTGTTTTGGGAAAAATATCAAAAAAATTTCAAGTCTCTTAGTTAAGTAATAATAGACATATTTTTGAAAGTGTTAAAATTCGTCATATCTTTAGGTACTATGGTCAAAAATGTTCGCAATTTAATAGTGATTTTTTTAATAATGTATTCCTTTAAACCTTGCTGCTATTGGCTACTATAGAAGCAGGGTTAAAAAATCGCGAGATGTTGAAATTTGTTTAAAAATCACTCAATTTTAATAATATGTGTTGCATTTAGGCATAGGATTCAAGTAAAATAGTTTAGACAACGTTTGATAATGAAAAGGAAATAAAATATTACAGTTTAAGTAATTTCTTAGCGCTATCTAGCGGCGAATACATGTAAGTGATAGAAAAATTTACAGTAACCTACAATTCGAGTTGAAAATGCTTTGATTTTATTAACACTAATTATTATATTATTAATTATTACAAATCAAACAACAAAAGTCGTTAGTTTTGAAAAAAAAAACATTAGTTTGATTGAGTTAAGGTTGATATGTCTATTAAGTTTGTAACACGATTTTTAAAAAAGGAGTAGTACAACACCCTTGGAAAGTTTTGTTAAAAGATGGCCTGTTTAGTCAAGATTCTAAAATGGTACAACACTTACCTTTTTTTTCCTAAAAAATATTGGCTGTTTTTCTGTAAAAAACGCGTTATTTAAAAAATTCATGCTTTTGTATGTTGTTTGTATTTCCTCCAAAATAATTTAACAACTTTGTTAGAAGATATCAATATCTATAGAGAAATGTGGTCTGAACAAGATGGTTGCCCAGCTCATTATGCTTGTTCTATATGGGATTGAATACAGAAAATAATAATAATAATAAATGCCTTTATTAATAAGTCAGAAAAGCGAAAAAAGAAATAATATATTCTTAGAAAATAAACTCATTTTCCAGAATATATATGAATATTCTATGATATGTATGTTAAATTGAAGCTTAAAGATTCTAGTTTATGATGTGATATAAAAACAATAAGATAATATTATTGAAATTTCCAAGAAAAACTTATTAAACAAGAAATTGTCAAATTTATAAATCAAAGAAAATACAAAATTTTCAAAAAGTCATATCTACCGTGTTTTTAAGAATTATGATATGATATGTATGTTAAATTGAAGCTTAAAGATTCTAGTTTATGATGTGATATAAAAACAATAAGATAATATTATTGAAATTTCCAAGAAAAACTTATTAAAGAAGAAACTGTTAAATTTATAAATCAAAGAAAATACAAAATGTTCAAAAAGTCGTATCTACTGTGTTTTTAAGAATTATGATATGATATGTATGTTAAATTGAAGTTTAAAGATTCTAGTTTATGATGTGATTAAAAACAATAAGATTATATTATTAAAATTTCCAAGAAAAACTTATTAAAGAAGAAATTGTCAAATTTATAAATGAAAAAAAAACTAAATTTTCAAAAAATCATATCTACTGTGTTTTTAACAATCATGATATGATATGTATGTTAAATTGAAGCTTAAAGATTCTAGTTTATGATGTGATATAAAAACAATAAGATAATATTATTGAAAATTCCAAGAAAAACTTATTAAAGAAGAAACTACCAAATTTATAAATCAAAGAAAATACAAAATTTTCAAAAAATCATATCTACTGTGTTTTTAAGAATCATGATATGATATGTATGATACATTAAAGCTTAAAGATTCTAGTTTATGATGTGATATAAAAACAATAAGATAATATTATTGAAATTTCCAAGAAAAACTTATTAAAGAAGAAATTGTCAAATTTATAAATCAAAGAAATACTAAATTTTCAACAAATCATATCTATTGTGTTTTTAAGAATCATGATTACTAGGACGTAGTACTTGCCAAAATAACACAAGTTTGTTATATAAACATAGAGTCGGAACTCGTTTGTTTTCAAGCTATGAGCTGTCAAAGTTGAACTCAAAAATTTACATTTTATCTTTTATTTCATTTATACAGTAAACTGTAGAATTTGAAATTTTGATAGTATAAAGCGATGCATTAGTAGCTCAGAATATAAAAAATATCATAATGACTCAAGCAAGAGGGAGGATTTTAACTTACTCTTGAACGAAATACAACTCAATCCCATAAGGTGCACTGGTAGATTATTGTACGTTTTATCTGGTTATCTGATAGGAATAAGGAGGCCGTTGACTTTCCTAAAAGATGGATTGGACGTCTTGGTTCGAATACCAACCTCATTCTCTGCGCCTAAATCCCCTTGATTTTTTTATTACGATTGCATAAAAGAAAACGTGTATTAAAAACCGATTCAAAATCTTGCCCAACTGCGCCACAATTGTTCATACAGCAACAGAAGAAATGCAAAGAAATTTGCACAACTAGTAAAATTAATGAAAATAATGCAATAAAATTAATAATAAATTAATAATTCCTTTTGTTTAATGTTCTCTTTAGGTTAACCTTATTCGAAACGGTCCTTTTGCAAGACATAAGGGTAACCATCTTATTGAAACCACATTTTGTAGTTTGTAGGTCGCAGGCAAATGGTTATTTCAGGTAGATAGCTTTTTCTTAGACAGATACTGTCTGCCTAGGCAAACAGTAGTTACAGTTTTATCATTAAATGTCTAGGCAAATACTATTGGACAAGACAAATGGTATTTGTTTAAGCTTGTTTTAGGCAAATATCGTATTTTCGATACAACAATGCAATATAGAGTAGATAGTAAATATGTCTATTACTATTTAACTAAGAGACATGGAATTTTTTTCTTATTTTTCCCAGAACAAATATGGGTTGGCCTCTCACCAGATGCCTGCTTGACGTTGATTTTCGGGCCACCTGTGTAATATTTTTATTTATTTTTAAATGTATTAGAAGACTGGAGTTTTGTATTTAAACCTGGTACTGTTTGCAAAATGGTTGGTTCGAGTAAATACGCCCCACTGACAAACCTACCGAGTCAAACATTACCGCCTGTGATATTTCCCTCAACTTACATCTACAAGCCTTCATGGGAACAACACACCGATCGACAAGCTCAACAAACAAACCGCGAAACCAGCACACAACAACCTTCATCAACCACGCCCGCCACTTCGAATCCAAAGACCAACACCGTACAACATATTTTATCTCAACAACAACAACAAACTCAACCGCAACAACCCCAACAATCGTCGCAACTCTCTCAACAGCCCTCCATACCGCAACTTCCGCCTGGAATGCTTTCTGGTATTCATGGCAACTTCCCGTCAAGTCCGTTACCACCTAATTTTAGGCCGCCTCCACCACCCTACGAATTACCAAGCCCCGCAACTTCAACCGCGAGCAGTTACTTAAACAAAAACTTAAACAGTGTTGAACCGGTGTCAACTCCAACGACAGTGCAACGGACTCCCGAGGCTAGTTCTCTTTTAGTGAATATTTTATTAACAGATACTGCATTAAACATTTTCCGCGATCACAATTTCGATAGCTGTACGTTATGTGTGTGTAACGCGGGAAGTAAATCGGCCGGGAATATTAAGGGGGCCGATGCGGGGGTTTATTTGATGAATGGACAAGGTAGTGACAGATCAGTGCATCAACCCAACAGTCCCTATCAATCGGGAATGGGACAACCACCTCCTTATGGAATGTTATCACCACCACATCATCCTCATACACCGGGAATCGATGAGGACGCTGTTAGGTGTAGTTGCGGATTTTCAGCGGTTGTTAATAGAAGGTTATCACATCGAAGTGGGTTATTTTATGAGGATGAAATGGAAATAACTGGTAATTAAAGATTTAATTTGAATAATTAAGGTTGTTAAAAAAATGTATATTTTATTGTTTAGGTATAGCTGAAGATCCTGGGGAATTAAAGAAAACATCAATGGTATCATTTTTACTTTCAACAAGTACCACAAAACAAGAACCAGGATTAGATCGCGATCAATTAGATGTTGTACCACACAGCGTACTCGATTTAGTTCGAGATCAATGCGTGATGATCCAAAGTACTGCAAATTCTTTATACCGAATCGCTCGTTTCTTATCAAGTCAACCCAACGTGAACGGAGTCTCGTATTCAAATACAATTAATTCGTTAGAGTTTCGCGATGGGAATGATGTGACGAGCGTTGCTTTGGAGCAAAGTAAACACCCGGATAGTTTGCCTATGTGTAAAATGGAAGAGACGATTCAAAGACGAAATTCGCACAGCATATCAGTGCACAGGTGGCCTTTCTTAAGAGCGTGTGGTCCTCAATGCAATCAAGATATAATAAGAATGATGAAAAATCTTCAACCGCTTTTACAAGAGGCGATACAGAAGAAGAGTCAAACTAAACTTTGGGATGCCCCTTCAGCTGTTAAAGGACCATTAACTTGGAGACAATTTCATCGGTTAGCTGGGAGAGGTACAAATGATCGTTGCGAACCACAACCGATTCCTTCGTTGATTGTGGGTCATGAAAAAGATTGGTTGTCTTTATCTCCGTATGCGTTACAATATTGGGAAAGTTTATTACTCGAGCCGTATTCGTATCCGCGAGATGTAGCTTACATCGTAGTCGCGCCCGATAATGACGCAATCCTTCCGAGGGTGCGGACGTTCTTTAAAGAGTTATCATCAGCTTATGAAATGTGTCGATTGGGAAGACATTGTCCAATTACGAAAATTTTAAGAGAAGGCATTTTAAGGGTTGGAAAAACAGCAAAAATTAAAATAGGAAATGAACCTGTGGAGGATTGGTTTACGTTGCTTGGGGAGGGTGAAGCGACTGATATGTTAAGGTTGTACGCGCAAGTTTGTAAGCATCATTTAGCCCCGCATCTTCAACAATTACCCATGGATAAATCACTTTTGGATCAAGCGCCCGAAATTATCGACAAATCAATGCCAAGTCCTATGCCTCCACCAAGTACACCAGATAGTAATACGCAATCAAGTGATAAAGCTCCGTCTACACCAAAAAGTGAACAATGTAATATTATAGAAATTAATAGACAACCTAAGCCTTGACGTCATAGTGATGGGCGGAGCTTATACCGACTCCAAATTTTAGTTGCTAATTGTGTAAATTGCCCTATGCAATTTTTCATTTAGTGTTAATAGTTATTTAACCAACAAGTGTATTAATGAAGGCGATTAATTATCGAGATATTTCGAAAAAAAAAAAATTTTCGAATGAAATCTGTAATACCGACCGATTCGGTAAGACTACAATAATAAGTTTTGACTTTGACACATCAAAATCGTTTATTAATAGGTGTCATTAATGAATGATTTTGTATACATTTATAAATCGTATAAACACACAGTCGACGGAAATAGTTATTTAACCAACAAGTGTGTTAATGAAGGCGATTAATTATCGAGATATTTTAACAAAAAAAATTCTTGAATGAAATCTGTAATACCGACCCAACCGACCATTATATCTAATCGGTAAGACTACAATAATAAGTTTTAACTTTTGACACATTAAAAGTGAGGTTAGATTTTTATATTAAAATAGGTGTCATTAATGAATGATTTTGTATACATTTATAAATCATATAAATACACAGTTTTAGCGGGTTTATCGATAGCAACGAAATTGTTTGGAGTCGTTATAAGCTCCGCCCATTTCTGTGACGTCAAACTTAGGCAGTCTATTTATTATTAATTATTGGGTTAAATTAATAATTTTTTTTAGCTGATCAAGAAGGTTTATCAAGCAAAGATATTCCACAATCTTCCGGACCATCGTTGGACATTCCACATGACGATGAAGAAAGTGAAACCCCCGCGATTGTGATATACTTAGTTGACCCATTTTCGATGGGAACCGATCAACCCGAATTCCAAAGAATCGCTTGTTTGGCTCTGTTACGTTGCTTCCAGTCAGTTCTTAATTCGGTTCCAGAAAATATACGAAGTAATATTAGCGTGCAGGTAAATAATTTATTTTATAAATGATAAAAGCGTTTGTTAAATAAATTTTTATTTAGATCATCTCTCAAGAAAGCATCATCGAATTAGGAAAAGCTCGCGAACGATTTAGATTTAACGACCACATGCGATCCTTGGCTCTAAGCATTTTTTCGCAAAGCCGGAGATTATTGATGCATACCAATAGTGTTAAATCACTCACTGGGTTTGGAACGGCTGCGATGTGTGATTTATTCCTCAAAAATAAAGACGTAAGTTTATTGAATTTGATATGGTAAAATCTCGATATAACTGACAATATTTTTAAGTCATACTATTAATATTATTTAATATATAAATGCATTGAGGATTTATATATAATCTATAGCCTAAAATGAAGCCAGAAAGGAAACTTTACAACCTATTTGTCAAGTTTGACGTACAAGTTCATAAATTTTCGCTTCTTTTAAATAACATTACGAAATACGTGTCTTTAGTTATTTAAGTTTTTTATGAAAACGACAAAGGTTTTTAAAAAATAATAAGAGTAAAAAAAGTTTTAGAATTAAATTCCACATAAAATGAAGTAGTAATGTATTAAATCCGTCCAAAGGTTAAAAAAATCTGTCAAAATTTAGGGTCCATCACCCTTAATCAACCCTTTGAAATGCCTCAGTTGAGTTCAATTTGCTACCAATTAATACCTTTGGTACACTCATAACGTATACCAAATTTGGTTTTTCTAGCTTAATGTATTACAAAGATATTAAACTTTTTAAAAATTTAAGAGCCCACTTTGAAGGCCTATAACTCCTCAGATGTACAGTTTAGTAGTTATGTTAAATCATCTTAATTTATTGTCCTCTGTGAATGGCCCTGTATAAACATCACAACTTTGTTGTTTCAAAATTGAGCCAAAAATTTACATTTTATCTTTTATTTCGGGTATAAGTAAACCATAGAATTTGAAATTTTGTATGTATGTACTACTGGTTAATTAATACCTTATTTATTTTCAACTGTACCTGAAACTTCTCTAGCGCCCTCTAAAGGGATGAAATTCACAACCCCTTTGATTTTTTTATAACAACTTATTATTAAAAAAAAATTTCTTTATACCTGGCTATGGAAATTGTGCTTATAACTAAATAACACCAATTAATTGTGATTTTAAAATGTTATTTTCTTCGTGTTAAATGATTAACTTAAAATATCAACTTCAATTTTGACATATTTGTTATCTTCATTAAAAATCCTTTAAAATGAGTACAAACACGACATATTTATCTCCAATATTAATGAAGTTATGGTCAACTTCCGGTTAAGAATGTCAACGTCAATTTTGACATATTTGTAACCATCGTGAAAAATCCTTTAAAATGAGTCCTTACTTTCTTAATATTTGCCACAAAAACAAAAATAAAAAAATTAAGGTTGGTATTAATATTTAAAAATTAAATTGCTATCTTCATTGTTACTAACTTCGGGTTTATTGTTTTTTATTTTAACTTTCTTGTTTTTTGAGATAAGTGTGTCATGTTTCGATTCATTTTAAAGGTTATTTTATAAAGATTGCGAATATAATAATAAAATTAAAGTTGACATTAACCCCTGAAAGTTTTTTTCTTAGCCGTGCGTCGAAACCCCTTCAAAAAACGTCAAAATTATTTTTAGGCACTAGATTTAGTGTTAGTTCTAGTTTTAATTCGAAAAAAATGATTTTGATCTTTTTTGCAAGAGTTTCAAAGATGCCAAAAAATAGAAAAAACTTATTGGTGTGTGTCAAAATGGTTGAAATCGACTTAAAACATCTTTTCCTTACTTAAGTTGACTAAAATAAATTAATAGAGTCAAAACGGATGTATTCTAGAAGATTCAAAGAATTAAAAATATGCAAAAAGTTGATTGGAGGGAGTCAAAATGATTCCAATCGATTAAAATCACCTCGAGGATGCTTAGCAAGGATGATATTATTTAAAAAAATTAGTTTGGTGTTTTTTGAAAGACTTTCAGAAATTCCAAAAAATAGAAAAAACTTTTTGATGTGTGTCAAAATTGTTGAAATCGACTCAAAATGTCTTTTTCTTACTTAAGGTGGCTAGAATAAATTAATAGTCATACCTGATGCTTTCTAAAAGATTTAAAAAATTTAAATTATGTGAAAAGTAATGTAAAACGAGTACAAATACGACAAATTTATCTTCAATATTAATGGTCAACTTCCGGTTAAGAATGTCAACGTCAATTTTGACATATTTGTAATCGCCGTGAAAGATCCTTTAAAATGAGTCCAAACATGATACGTTTAATTCCAATATTACTCGAGATATAAGAACTTCCTGTTTGAAATGTCAATGTCATTTTGACATATTCTTAATTTTTATAAAATCTCTTAATATTTGTCACAAAAACAAAAATATAAAGAAAAAATCAAAAATTAAGGTTGGTATTAATATTTAAAAATTACCATGGCTGCCTTGGCTTCTAAGTAATGTACAGGGTGGTTCAAATTCGATGTCCGAATAGGCTAACTCGAAAACTATAACAGTTAGAAGAAAAGTAGCTGACATGTCATGATCTCGTTTTTCGAGAAACTGCTAATGCCGAAAACCTCATAGCGGTATCGTCTTTTGTTTTTCCCCTAGAGGCCAAAATTGAAAATATCGTAAAACCAATAAGTGCAATCAATTATCTTGGTTATTATTATAGGTGGAGTATTATAACTATGACATTATATGGACACTTTTTTACAGAGAATTGTATGACATAGTCAAAAAAAATTTTCGGTTTTAGATTTTGAGATTATGAGAATTTTCGTTTTTTTTAAATAGGGTTCAAAAATATAGGATTCGACGGGTCTATTTCTTATTGTTTTAGAATAAATCTAAAAATAAATTTTTTTTATAAAATTTCCATCTAGTGTCGTCGAGGAAATTAAATTTACAGTTTCCTGTAAGTTACGGGGCGGTAGGTAAAATCTAAAAAGTTAACAATTAAATACGAAGATAACTTCTGGTATTTAAAAACAAATAATTTTTTAATATGTAACATTCTAACATGTCAAACTTTTTAAAATTTTCGTAATTGATCTTAAAAACAGGATTTTTAAAGTGACACTTCAGAAAATTTTTGACACTTTTTGAATACAAACAAATGTTGCTATGTTTAGTTGAATTAAAAAAAAATAAACATATGACGTTTAAAAATAATATTAAATCGTAATAAAAAAAGTCTCTATTCCAACTTTTGTGTAAAACATATATAAATTAAACAGTTCAACAAATATATTTGTTTCAAATATCAGAAATATGTTTTTTTAATTTTTAGTTATAGAACCGTAATTTACAGGAAACTGTAAATTTAATTTCTTCAACGACACTAAAAGAAAAGTTTATTTTTAGTTTTATTCTAAAACAATAAGAAATAGACCTGTCAAACCCTATATTTTTGTAATCAGAAAAAAATAACGAATTTAATAAGCGAATAATCAGTGATTGTTTCCATTTAAAAAAACGAAAATTGTGATAATATCTCAAAATCTAAAACCGACAAAATTTTTTTGACTACGTCATCAAATTCTCTATAAAAAAGTGTCCATATATTGTCTTAGTTATAATACTCCACCTATAATAATAACCAAGATAATTACATTTGCGGGTTTTACGATATTTTTAATTTTGGCCTCTAGCGGAAAAACAAAAGACGATAGCGCTATGAGGTTTTCGGCATTAGCAGTTTCTCGAAAAACGAGATCATGACATATAACCTACTTTTCTTCTAACTCTTATAGTTTTCGAGTTAGCCTATTTGGACATCGAATTTGAACCACCCTGTACAATTGAATGTGCAAATTAAAATTTTTTTGGCTATCTCCGACACTCTTCTCCATATTAGTCCGTTATATCGAGGTTTTGTTGCATTATCTAATATTAATTCATTTTTTAGGAGAAAAATCGAGCTCCATATAAAATGTACACACCGCCGTACGTTTTAGCTCCATTAAAAGAAAAAGTAGAATCGATCGAATCTTTTGGCCAAGCTACTGAACAAGCCTCCGTTTTGTACCTGAGTTATTGCCTATCGGAGGATCAGAGTTGGCTTTTAGCGGTAGTTACTGATGAGCGGGGTGAAATTTTCGAAACGATCATGATTAATATCGATATTCCGAATAGAAGTAGAAGGAAAAAGGCGTCCGCGCGCCGCGTTGGACTCCTAAAATTAATGGATTTCGTGTTGGGGGTGATGTCGCAAAACGTGAAACCTTGGAGATTGGTCGTCGGGAGATTAGGACGAATAGGACATGGTGAATTAAAAGGTTGGAGTCATTTGCTAAGCGGAAAAAATTTACAAAAAGCATCGAAACATCTGAAAGAAATTTGCACGCAATGTTCTTTAACTTACCCGAGTACGGTTCCGTGTATTTTAAGTGCTTGTCTTGTTAGTCTTGAACCCGACTCAGTTTTGAGATTACTTCCGGACCAATTCACCCCCGACGAACGTTTCAGCCAAATCAGCATTAACTCCCAATTATCAACACCTCAAGACGTGACTTGCACTCACGTTTTAGTATTTCCAACAAGCGCGACCACCCAATCGACTCAATCAACCTTCCAAGAAACACATTTAGACACGGGGGATTTAGGAGACGACGAGTTATTCCCCGTGGATGAAATCGACGAAATCGACGATTTAAATGACATTTTTAATTGGTCAACGGGGCCTCAAAGTCCAACGGGACGCGAAGAGTTCCGCCCGGATAGTCCTAGTAATGTGATGAACGCCGGACATCAAGATAGTCCGTTTCAATGCGCCGGAAATCAAAGAAATAATGAACCCGTCGAGGAGGTTGGGGCGGTTTTACAACAACCCCTCGCTTTGGGTTATTTGGTTTCGACGGCGCCAACGGGGAAAATGCCGAAATGGTTTTGGTCGTCTTGTCCGCATCTTGAAGGTGTTTGTCCGGCTTTTCTTAAAAACGCTCTTCATTTGCATAGCCCTAATATTCAAAGATCCGAGGATTTATTACCGTTACCTCATGTTACATCACATCCTTTAGATTCTCAATACACAACTGATGTTTTAAGGTAAATTTTGATTTTAAATTTTAAATAAATTAATTAATCTTTTTGTTAGGTACGTTTTGGAAGGTTACAACGCGTTATCTTGGCTTGTTTTGGATTCAAATACGAGGGATCGCCTTTCGTGTCTCCCAGTTCATATACAAGTATTGATACAGCTGTATCATACGACAGCGGCGCTCCTTTAACCGAGGGGGGCACTGAAGTAGCACGGTACCCTATTAATTAATTTTTTACGAGAATACTCAAAAAAAATGCAAAGATGTGGACTCATTTTTGTTGTTGGTAATATATGTTCAATTCAACTAAATTTAGGTTGGTAGCATTGATTTTTGACAAGTAATAACCTAAAATATGTGTCAATTTTAAATTTTTTTAATTTTTTTTTGTATTGAGCATATATTTGTAAATAGTCGTCGTTAATTTATTAAATTATTATTTTTTTTTTCATCATTGTCTGAGAGAGTATTGTGATATAACGAATTTCTGATTGCATCGCCGAATTTCTCATCATGGACCGCAACTGCCAAGCGTACTTCAGTGGTTCCCTTCGTGTCCGACTTTGTATGTTTTGTTCGCATAATTAGGTTTGTATATAGTTGTAAATTATGTGCATAACGTGGGAATTAATATATACCTATTTTTAATTTTATTGTTGTGCCGTTAAGGTCGTAGCATCCATAACGATGTAATAGTAAAAGTATTTGTTATCTTTTAAAATCTGATATCAAAAATAACACTGGGGAAGCAATTTTTTCATCGTAATGAGACGTATCCACCTTCGTCGAAGCGGTAATTAAGATAATTACGGTTATTAAAAGAAATGATTAATAGATAATTAAGTGAACATGAAATGGGTACAATTTTTGTCTTAAAATTTAAACGTTGTAAATAAAAGTATTTATATAAGAGGTTTATTAGGTCGATCCAGATTTTGTACAGTAGCTACGGGATTAAATAAATAAATAATCAAAAAAAAATAATTATTAATAATTAATTAAAAAAATAAATAAACGTATTAAGACGATTGCTTCACGCGTTAGTTTAGCCTTTAAATAACGAAACTGAATAAATAAATAAAAATGATACTGGGGCCAATGGTTGAACTTATCTTATTAATTGAAATAAATGCCTCAGAGCGACGTCGCTGCGACATTTTTCATAAACGGATCTCAAAATCATTATAACCAATCTTCCATCCTCCGTCTCAGTATTGCCCCCTTTTTGTGTCCCCTAAAAAATCGTCCTTTTCCCCCAAAACCCCATTTTTCTTCAATTCGGGACTGTTAATTGTTAATTTTTCACAGCGACTTTGTAAATAGTTTCGTATTGATACCGATGAAGCTACCTAGTTACTGTTTTAAGGATGTCAATTTTAGGGAATTGGGAATAATATTAACGATGATTATGATAGTTAAATGAATTTGTACATATTTTATTGATATATATATATTATATATATTAGTTGAATTAGCGACAAAAATAAACACATGAAATGTTAAATAACTTTATAAATAATTATATACATATTACTTAAGTATTATTAATAAACAGCTCCAATGAGTAATCATTTCTTATTAAATTAATCCCTAAATAAAAATCGTTTCGATGAAGTAAAGAAATAAAACGCAAATAAAATCTGTTTGATTTTTATTACATCATCTTAAAAACACATTTCCCTCGACGCAATTCTTTCTTTAAAATTACATCACAAAAAATCCCTCTCATCCAAATCCGAGCCCCTTCGCCAATCTTCTACACCGATACGTCACTTCGTCTTGAACGAGGGTGAAACACATCGCAACGACGATTAACCCCAAAAATAGGTACAAACAGCACGCGATCAATTGTAATTGAGCTTGTATATCGGGCGAGTTTGGTAACGCGTCGAATACACCGATTGTGGAGAGAGCCGCGAAACAAAAATACGCGGCGTCCAAGAAGTTCCATCCGCGAACCGTTGCGAAGACTGACGCGCCGAGACACACGTATGACGAGAAAAATGCTAGGACTAAAACTGCAGGCACTGGTGGCGGTGGTTCTTGTTGGTGGGATGGTTGTAATGATGTTGATTGAATTGGAATCGACGAATCGCTTGGTCGACAAATTAAAGGAACTCTTGATGGTGTATCAGGTATACAAACCCTAGAACATAAGCTTAATTATAGTACAAATCTTTTTATATTTTTAAGTTATAAACTCGGGGTATTCCCCTAAACCTAAAAACATTCTTTGTTGAATGAGTAAGTTTGTAATAATTTATTTATTTTTATACAGAACTAGGACAAGTCCCATTAGGAGCTACCTCACAACTAAAGAAAACTAAACTTTAAAATTCGTAATCATAACCGACGTGGAGGAACATGCAAGTCAATTCTTGAGAGAAGCTTTGAACAGGAAGCGAACATAACTACAACATCTACGCTGTTGAAGGGTGGGCATCTGATAGTTTTGGGAGGCAGACAAATAATCTGAACTCTCTTTATTCTATTAACATAAACATAAACATATCAAATACTATTTAGAAAATTTCTTAAAAATTTTGACGTTTCTTATATTTTGATTAATAAATCATAGATGGCGCCAACTTCGTTTACAAGAAACTTTGGTTTCCATGGAGATTCATTGCTACAATAACCTAGAAATTAGAGTAAATAATGCGATTTTTAATCGATGAAAGAATAAATAACGAAATTCGTCCTTTAAAATTAGATAAATGCATCCCATCTAATTCCTTTAACTCCTATTCGTGAGTTTCCACCCAAAATATCCCCAGGTAACTATAAAACTTTTTTATTAAAGAAATTTAATACTTATTTCTATCAAATCAGGCTGTTAAAACGCTAAATTAGGGTCGTGGCGTAATTTCTGGAATGTTATTCAAGTTCGGATTTGTTTACTTGAGGAGTTAACGCAAAAAACGGAAATTAAAAAGGGGCGAAATTGATTGGAGTTGCTACGCTTTAAATTACAGGTATTTATTTATATTTTTCATTAAGAAATAAACAAAAAGAATTAAATTCTTTGTTTAATGAGTAAATTTGTAATAATTAATATTTATTTATTGATAACATCAACGTTTTGACGTTTCTTATATTGTGATGAATAAACCAGAGATGGCGCCACAATCAAAACTTCGTTGATAAGAAACTTTGATTGAAATTTAATACTTATATCGTACATATTAGCCTGTAAAAACGTTAAATTAGGTTCGTAGCGTAATTTTTGGTGTGTAATGTAAAGGTTGGTTTGGTTACGAGATGCCTTTAAAGAAAAAAGATAACCTTAAAAATTTGACGTTTCTTATATTGTGATTAATAAGTCAGAGATGGCGTAACAATCACACTTCGTTGATAAGATATTTAGGTCCGTTGAGTATTGGAGCCGTCTTAAGAGACTTACTGCTAGACCAGAATGTTTTCAGTTCTAGGTTTAGTGTTAGTTCTAGTTTTATATCATTAGAACTAACACTAGACCTAAAACTGGCCACATTTGGGTTTAACCGTCTTGAGAGACGAATGATTCAAGTTCTAGATTTAGTGTTAGCTCTAGCTTTAGTTGTTATTCAGTGCAAGATTAGTTGTATATTTTTATTGAACAAATTAATTTTTTACCCATGTTCACTATCTTCATTTTCCTCGGTTTCTTCTACATCCGAAGTAAGAGAGCCAGTAATCGATCTGGAAGTAGTTCCGTGATGCGTTGAAGGACAGAAATGTGGGTCAGCCAACATTTGCCTTACTTGACCCTGTCGACATCTTCCTCTTGCATGGCTGGCTCTAACGGTGGCCAAGATTGCTTTTTTGGGAACATCTAAATGATCTATGTGATACTCTTGCGTCTTATAATTGACACTATTTTGATTGTTGTGGGGTAAAATTTGAATTGAACAATCTTCGTTTTTATTTTTGCCACTTCCTGAGGACGCTTTATGAAACCCCACAACTGTATTAACCTGTTTATTGGTTTTATCTTTACATCTAATTTTTGAGTAAGCTATTTTGGCACCGTTGGCTAACATTGAGCCTAATAACGATAAAAGAACCAGCATTAAAGGGACGCCTATTAGCGCGTAGATCATCGCGATGATTTTCCCCAAAGTCGTTTTTGGGGACAATTTTCCATATCCTATAATTAATTTTTTTTAATTAATTTAAATTAATTTCTTTATTAATATTAATAAGTTCTTACCCACTGTGGTTAATAAAGTTAATGTGTATAAAAGAGCCCCACCAAAAGTCCAATGATCCTCGACCCGTTTCGAAACGGGGGAATTCCCCGATTCAACGACAACCTTTTCAAATCGCTTTAGCTGCTCTGTAACCAATTTCGTCCAGTTTTTCTCGTAGAGTACGTTCAAACGTTCTGAAATAAATAGAAAACGACGTTGTAGGTTGGTGAGAATTGATGGGTTACCGCAAAAAAGTTTCGGCATTTATCTTTACCCCGATGGCGAGACCGTACTAATATTTCTAAAAGACAGGAAGACGTATATCTCAATTCAAACGTAATTCTGAGCAATTTTGTGGTGCGCCACACGTGTGACCAAACTCGCAAAGTTATAAATGCGACCGGTTATTGGGTGCGCCGGAGAGAATTCACGAAATTAATGTGCCCGCATTTTTTTTCCAAACGATTTTTCGCTTTGCAATTAAACCTTCACCGCTAATGCACTCTTGAATTATTCATGTCCTATTAAAAGCGGTAAGCTTCAACCGTAACGAGCGAATTATTGCACATTTTAACATTGAAAGATAATTTTAAATTTAATTACAGCAATCTGTAATGAAATGTCAAAAAAGTTAAGTCTCTTTTATTTAAGTTTTTTATAAGTTTACTTAAATTAATTTAGTGGAAGATAATCAATAAAGCGAGATATTTTTAAAATTGTAATAAGTTTATAATAATCAATATTTATTGATGATGAAAAATTTGACGTTTATAATATTGCGATTAATAAATCAGAGATGGCGCTAGTATCAAATTTCGCTGACAAGAATCTTTGGTTACCATGGAGATTCTTTGCTACAATCAAATAATAATTAGACTAAATGATGCGATTTTTAATCGATAAATGAAGAAATAATCGTTTAAATACGTTTAATACTATCAAATCAGGTTGTAAAAACGTTAAATTATGGTTAATGTTACCAGGGTCAGATTGGTTTACTTAAAAGGTGAATGCAAAAAGAGGAAATTAAAAAGGAGTGAAATTAATCGGACTTTAAATTCCAGGTATTTATTTATATTTTTAACCATAACATAATATATAAAAACAATTAATTTCTTCGTTTAATGAGTAAGTTTGTAATAATTAATATTTATTTATTGGTAACCTCAAAATTTTGACGTTCCTTATATTTTGATTCATGAATCAGAGATGGCGCCACAGTTAAAACTTTGTTAATTTTGATTTCTATGAAGATTCTTGCTTTCTAACTTTGTTATTGAGGAAATTTAATATTTCTTTCGCTCTAATTAGGCTGTAAAAATGTTAAATTAGGTTCGTAACGTAATTTGTGGTTCTTCGTCAAAAGATTTAAGTTTGGTTGCATTTTTTAATAAAATAATTTTTTTTATAAATAGGAAGGTTACTAATTTAGTGGAAGATAATCAATAAAGCGAGATATTTTTAAAATTCTTTTGGTTCAAGTTGAGTGAAATATCAGGGTTTGTTGAAAAACTAGAAAACACGATCCGACAAGCTTTCATTATGTGAATAGAGATAATAAAGGGTGTTGTCGGAATACAAGGATAAATAGGGCGGGATGTCACTGTATCTTCGTTTTCCATTTACACAGGAAACAACTCCACAGAAATTGTGTGCTAAGCAGGAAATTAAATATCATATAAACGTCTAAAGAGAAAGTAAAGAGTAAATTTAACGTTTTATAGATATTTATGTAAACTGGCTTCATTGAATTTGGCCCTCCCCACAAATTTCATTAGGTAACCAGCAATTTCCAGGGACGTTGCGGTCACATTCGCCGCCAGTGACAATGAACAGTTCAAAGACCACTAAATTATCATCCCTTGATACTTTAAATCGATATCGTTTTGATCAGGAATGGACTATAAAGTCCAATAAAACTTAATAAAAAAATCTGTTGCTTTTTGGTGTCGTCGCAAATTCTTTCCCTTTACTTTCACTATGTCTGTAGCGTGAAAACTTCTTCGAAAGGAAATTGGATGGAACGTCCCCGGGGTTTATAATGCCTTATCAGTGAGGGAAATTGAAAGAAGGTAGTGGAAACGTCCCCGGTTCCAATTTGACTGCGCGATCTTTGGAAAAATGAACCTTTCTAAGAAATTCCCGGAGTTTTCTCCGCGGAGAAGGTTTCAATTCAATAACAAGTTGGTCTTTTATCAATTTCGCGTCCAAAAATGAGATTTTTTAATCAAAACTTCTTATTAACACCGATCTTATTTGATCTCGGCTTTATTTTACAAAACTCAACGTTTCAATCTTGCAACTTCGCCAAGTGTAAACCCCGAGTGTACGACGAGTAACCGCCCGGCTTCGTTACCGACGATTAACCACTTCTCATTTGCCGTCCGTCTTCTAATTTCAAACCCTCTCGGTCCGAAAACCAACGGCAAAAAGCGGAAATTAATTGACCGAAGTGCAAAAAGGAGCAAAATAAATTGGAGTTGGTTAGACTCATTTCTTTAAATTACTATACCAAGTATTTATTTATATTTTAGAACATTTTTAAAACATTGGAAGGGATACTCCACATATACAGGGTGTTCAAGGCATTACGATTTTGTTGTGAAGAACCGAATATTGTATAATTCATCAAAATCAATAGGTTAAAGTAGAAACGGGGAACCCCCAAAGCAAATGTTCCGCCAAACAGTTTAGACACAATAGCTAATATAAGGAAATTGGCAGGATAGAACAGGCCAAGACTCACTAATGATGATGATGATGATGAATTTTTATATCGTAACCTAAGAACTACAAAGTTTTAAGTGATATTATTGATATTTGAGATAAATGATATAAAAATAATTATGAAAAACGTGTGAAAATGTAATAAATCTACAAGATATGGTTAACGAGAAAAATAAAGCTGTTGAAAGTGGTTTATAGGTTATAGTTGACGTGTAGGGAAAAGATAAAATCGTAAATTCCCGATGAAAATAACGTATTGTTTGTAGTTATTTTAGAATTTTATTTTAAAAAAATTCGAATTTACTGATAAAGGAATAACGATAAATTTAAACTTTTCTAGGCAATATCACTAAATTTAAAAGCAACAACAGTTTTAGGTGAAAGCTTGCCGATTTTCCACTATATTCCAGAAATGGTAACTAAAAAGTGAAAGGCAATAAATTTCCCGTAAAAGTGGACTGTAAATACCCGAGAATAAAGACGACTGGTTTATGGGATCATAAACAGGGTCGGTGTGCACGGTTTGTATTTGCTTATCTTGCGACGTTGCTTTTACAGTTTTTGGGACGCGCGGGAGATCTTAAATTTCCCATTTCGGGAAGTGGGGAAAACGGTTTAGGAAAATTGGTCGAACCGTCTGGGAAAACCGCGCTCAAGCGACATTCTTCCTCTTTTCGGCAAATATTGAAATAGCGAAATGTCACGTAGTATTTGTCGGCGGGGAATATTTACTCGCTCGCGAAATTAAATTAAATTGTAAAATAAAATATTAACCCTTTAAACTCAAATTGATTTATTTATTTAACCATTAAATATTTAAATTTTTAAAAACACATTTATAGCAAGATATAAGTATCCCTCATGATATCAATAAAAGTCCAGGAATGATAATGTGAGATGTTTGGTACGATGTAGTTGAATGACAGAGTCGCTATATGTCTAAGATGATGTTGGGATGATACTGAAGAATGTCAATATCTGAATAATTCTAATATCTGAGCTAAATGACAAGTGAATGTTGCGATGATATTGAGATTTGTCAGAGACAATATTGAGAAATGTCTTGGGCGATATTGAGAAAATGGCGAAACGATGTTGTGGTGTACTAGGCACCAAGAATAATATTGAGAGGTGTCCGATATGACTTTGAGAAGCGTTTAGAATATTGAGAAACGTCTAAAACTAGAACTAGCACTATCACTAGACCTAGAACTAGAAACTTTCGGGTTAAGCCGACCGTTTTTTGAAAAAATTTTTGACGTTTCGGATGCCATGTTGCAATCTTCTTCAAAAACAAATTCGAAGTGACGAATTCGGTTAAAATTTGACATTAATCTAATTGTCAACCAAGTTGTTTTTGTCAAATCTAGGTGGAGAAGGCTTCGAGTTCCCAACCATCTTCTCTATTCATGTTATTCCCATGTCGATGAATCTCCGCCGCCTAAAAGGGGGCGCCGGCGCCTTTTTAATGTTTTCTCCAACAATATCTTATCTTTCTTTTGCAATATTTAGACCTGTCAGCAGTAGATAATCTTCAGAAAGCAGTATTTAGTCTCCACAAAGCAATTTTAGTCTTTAGAAAGCAGTATGTAGTGTTCCTGGCGCTGTATTTAGACCTGTTGGCAGTATCTAGTCTTCAGAAAGCAGTATTTAGTCTTCTAGAAGCAGTATCTAGTCTTCAGAAAGCAGTATTTAGTCTTCTAGAAGCAGTATCTAGTCTTCTGCCAAAGTTATGTATGTTTTCTCCAAAATATTTTATCTTTCTTTTGCAATATTTAGACTTGTTAGCAGTATCTAGTCTTCAGAAAGCAGTATTTAGTCTCCACAAAGCAATTTTAGTCTTTAGAAGGCAGTATTTAGTGTTTCAGACGCTGTATTTCGACCTGTCGGCAGTATCTAGTCTTCAGAAAGCAGTATTTAGTCTCCACAATGCAATTTTAGTCTTCAGAAAGCAGTATTTAGTTTTTTAGAAGCAGTATCTAGTCTTCTGCCAACGTTATGTATGTTTTGTTCTTGATACTGACAGCAACTTCTTTCTGGGTGTCTATCATAGTCTTTTTGGGAGCCTCTTATTATCTATACGGATCTTGTACCACCCGGTACCTCATTTCTGCAGCTGTTACTTTGCTTTTGTGCTTATCCTGCATTGGCAAAATTTCCGTATTAGTGATTTCCTGTCCTGTGCAATATCAAGACAAGTCCATTGGTTTCTTGTTCATATTCTTCGCATTCTTTTATTGAACACATAAGTATTGCCATGAAAAATCATGTTTGGTTTATAATCAATTTTTTGTTTTCTCTGTACAGTAATTTCAGACTTCATGTGGACTTTGAACAATATAATTCCTATTTTTTGCTGAAGTCTAGTTTATAACTATTGCAATTTCAGACTTTTTCTTGCAAATTAACCTTCTGACCAGAGTATTCCCGACTATTCCCTTAAGTTTGGTTTTTCACCAGTATAATT